TTCTGAACACACAAATTCGGCTTGTGAATGCGCTGACAAACAGCTTCCAAAACTTGTAACTGCAAAAGATAACCATGACGAGCACGGCACAAAACAGAAAAACAGGAATCAGAATAAGTACGACAACAGTCAGTACTAGAAACCAAATGATTGTATACTGAAGACTTGTTATTACGAGACGGACGCACACAATCTCGACTCACGCGCACACCCTCACACTCACCCTCACTCAGCTCACCTTCTCCCTCACTGTCCGAATCAGAACCTACTCCGTCATCCACCGCGGTTTGACTCTCCTCCTCACTTGCATCGTCCTGCGTCTCACCTTCACCACCCACGCCAACCGTGAATGCCGTTGCCTTCACGTCAGTCGTCGTCCTTTCCGATTGTTTCCTTTGTATTTTAACCGTGAATTCATAGGTCCGGTTGTAATCTGCTGTAGATCTCCGTGGTCTGTCATTTGCTGCTTTGTTTTGTGGATTAGTTGTTGTTGTTGTTGGATGTGAACCTGGTGTTGTTGTTGGATGTGAAGCTGGTGTTGTTGTTGCAGCCATGGTTGTTGGTCTTTCTGTTGAATCCAGCTCTGGTTCCGGTGGGACAAATCGACCGCCGCGGGTGCTCCCCACCAACACAGACCTCGAAGGAGGAGGGTCAGGGGGAGGCAGAGGTGCTGTCACCACTCGAGGCACAGCCCCATGCAACGCACCCAAAGGCACAGACTTAGGCACACCCGAGGGCTGCACCAATGGCGGTTCCGCACGCACCTCCAAAGAGCTGCCAAGCTCAAGCCCGTCCAACACAGATGTCAGAGGGGGAGCGGCAGACAGCGGCAGGGAACTATCCTGCCATCTAGGTGATGGGTTTTTCCTAGGCCTCCCGCGTTTGGGCCTCTCAGATTGCGCACTGGGTGGAAGGATGTGAAGTGGAGTGTGTTGTTTGATACGTGCGTTCAGGTGCTGAACAGTCCTACCAACATACCGACTAGCACAATGTCGGCATTCGAAGTTGTAGATAACATGACTGAGGTGGAGGGTTGGTAGGACGTCCTTCCGCACCGTGAACGCACGCATTGTTGTGAAGACTGGCACAAAATGTGCTGCATAATAAGTACGACGGACGATAGACTTGACTTCGTGACACACTTTGATCGATTCCTGCCCCTTCCATGGCAAACATAGATAGACGGGACAGCCAGGTGGACCAATCAGCACCGATTTCGGTTTCTGCTCCATGGACAGAAAACAACAACTAATCCACAAAACAAAGCAGCAAATGACAGACCACGGAGATCTACAGCAGATTACAACCGGACCTATGAATTCACGGTTAAAATACAAAGGAAACAATCGGAAAGGACGACGACTGACGTGAAGGCAACGGCATTCACGGTTGGCGTGGGTGGTGAAGGTGAGACGCAGGACGATGCAAGTGAGGAGGAGAGTCAAACTGCGGTGGATGACGGAGTAGGTTCTGATTCGGACAGTGAGGGAGAAAGTGAGCTGAGTGAGGGTGAGTGTGAGGGTGTGCGCGTGAGTCGAGATTGTGTGCGTCCGTCTCGTAATAACAAGTCTTCAGTATACAATCATTTGGTTTCTAGTACTGACTGTTGTCGTACTTATTCTGATTCCTGTTTTTCTGTTTTGTTCCGTGCTCGTCATGGTTATCTTTTGCAGTTACAAGTTTTGGAAGCTGTTTGTCAGCGCATTCATAAGCCGAATTTGTGTGTCCAGAAAGATAGTGTTATTACCCTAAAATTGTTCAAATAATGTTCTGTTGTGTAGTGTGGCAACGTTGTTGCCACTTGTGCCTAAATGTGTTTTGTCACCTTCTTGTTTATTATTGTTATTATTATCATTCGTTCTCACTTTTTTGTTTTTGTTGCTGATACACCCTTGTCACGCTTAGTTCTTACTTGTATACCCTTGTTTTCTGCACACTTTTGTGAGAAATCGCACCTCGATATTCCAGTGCTGTCATTGTATCGTGTCACCCTACCTTGATTGCTATATTATTTCCTTTGTTCTCATTTTGTTCTTTAGTACAACGGTGATTCCTGAAGAGTGTTGCACGAAAACTTGTTCGAATCATCTTTTTTTCTTCCATTGCCCTTTTTCTTCTTACATGTAGTTTTCCTCACCCTTTAGGTTGTTTCTTGCATCGTCTCCATCGCTTACATTGTTAATAAAGTAGTCCACATGTCGCTTCAGCTCGTCCTACTTATTGCCATATTAGTTGACTGTACTTCTTTTTTCTTTTCTTTTTACAATGTAGCTGTAACTCGACTCGAGCCTTTTTACGGGGAAAGGAACTACATGTACTAGCTACTGTGTACTTGTTTTCACCCTCAGCAGCTGCATGCAGCATGGTTTATAAGCACCGCTGGGTGATTACCAGTTAGCCCTGCGAGATATTTGAGTAAAAGCCGTAAAACCCGATGCTGTTGGTTCCACTGTCCACATGCCATGATCGCTTTCGACACACCCTTACAATCACGTGGTAAAGATGTAAAACTTCTCTCTAGTGTGCATGGAAGTAGTGTCGCAACTGAGCAATATAGTATCAATGCCGATGTCAAGGAATATTCTAGAACACCGATACCAGAAAGAATCCGAATGCAGGCAGTAACATTCGAATATTCTTATTACTCGAAGTTCGTGCTGGGTTGCTGCATTGTGCAGCTCCGACCATGATCTCCTCCATAGCCCGCGTTGAGGACGAGAGTCAAGAAATTATGTTCTGAGAACTTTGAAGGTTGTTCTTCGGCCAAATCTACTCTTTCACTAGTGGATATTTGCTATCCACGCGATCAGCAGACAACAATGGCTGTTGGGTCTGATTGATTTAAAGTGACTGAGCCCCATCAGAAGAATACAGAATATTCGTTCATTTGCCAATGCAATATTCGGGGGAATATTCGCTCGAAGAAAACACCATTTCTTGCATCACTGCTTGATATTTGTGAATGCCTGGTATTCACAGAGTTCGAAGCGCCGTAGCTCATTCTCAAAATAGTTAATTGGAAGGCAATGTTGGCAAGGTGTTAAGCAAAGTCGAAAGTGTTGAGCAGTTTCAATATCTTTATCCAAATGGACGTGAGCACAAGGAGAACACAAGGAGAACTGAGGAAGAGATTCCGACAAAAGAAAAGGAAGAAAAAACAGTTTGTTGAATTCCATAAAGTACTCGGTCTGTTTTTTTGGTAATTCCCTTTCCGGCATCCAATCTTCCGGTTTGTTATTCGGCACGCAGGTATCTTTGGTACAGTGGACAGGTTCTACTTGGTGTCAGGGTCTGAGTTGTTCTGCATTGTACAATTTGTAGTTAGGGTGGTCCTTACGAAAGACACTGACTCTGTGGCTGGAGGTAGGAGTCACTCCCGTGTACTGCTTGATGATGGTGCCGACATTTGGCGTTTACTTTTAATAAAGTAGCTGTAGCGTTTGGGGGCAAAATACACATGTACCTTGTACTCAACGTGGTGGCTTCCCATTCTGTATAACAACATGTACTAACTTATACATGTACATGTACAATGATTATGTAATCAAGTAGCGTGATCCACTGACCACTGCCCGAAGAGTGCTCAATACCCATGCAGGGCAGAGCCTTCCACACAAGAGAGATGGAGAGATAGAGGGAGAGAGAGAGAGAGAGAGAGAGAGAGAGAGAGAGAGAGAGAGGTGGGGGGGGGGGGGGAGCTGGGGTGCGACTCCGAGTTTCATGTAGTCCCGATCCTGATCATCAGGCACAGACTGACTTATACAAGGCGTTAGCCTTAGGGTAATCCTGAAATAAAGATTATTATTATATTTTTACAATGTATATTGTATAATTCCGAGCCACCAAGCTAGTTGCATGGGTGGTGTACTAGTACTGCTTTTGTGCTTCGAGTCGGACCGCATTGTCAAGTACATGTACATAATGTATCTCATTGATCTCGTCATTATCTAGTAACAGTCGCTTTGTTACTGTAGGACTTGGCTAGTGCACAACTCCGTTGCGCTCGCCTTCCCCTCTTTGGTCTTTCACTAACCGTGAACCGTTCACTGACTGACCAACCTCCTGGCAACCCCAAATCTGGACACCTGTCAAAGCCAGATCTGAACGCACACGAAGTGGAAGTGTTGACTTCTTTCTTTCTTTCCTGTTTGCAAACTCTATCATGTAATTTGAGCTATGATTGCGTTTTTCCAAATTTCCAACATTCCCTGTGCTATCCTGAAGAGAAGGGAAAGAAAACGTCTGATAGAAGGAAGCGTCTTTGCATGCAAAGGTATATTTTTTATAAAATAAAACAAACAAACAAACAAAACCGAAAAAACAGCAGGAACAATGCATGACGTGACATGACGACAATGTACATTATGTACATGTATGTGCTGGGCCGGTACGCGGTACATGGATCGAGAGAACTACATGTACACTCATACCTCTTATCCGGGCGCTTCGGGACCGGACACTGCCCGTAACTTCGAGGGTGCCCGTAACTCCAAATAATACATCTTGATGGGGAAAAGGCCATCGATATGGCATATGACGTCAATATTTCTACGAAAAGTGACAAAAGAGTAGTAATATTTCCCCTGAAACTCGCCCAAATAGTGCCCGGTAGACCGAAGTGCCCGTAACTTCGAAGTCCGGATAACCGAGGTATGAGTGTACATTGTAGTAAAAAAGTGCATCTGAAGAGAGACTAGACGGCCGCGCGCGCCGCGCGGCACATGACTGCAGCCGATCCGGTTTGTTTACCCGTATTACCATGATTACATGGTGAGTGCGTTCGATTACACACTTGAATCGATTCATGAATCGATTCAAGTGCATTCAAGTCGTTCGATTTTCATGTCATGAGCCCTGGAATCGATTCGGAATCCATTCACTCTATTCACATGGGGTGATGTGAATACCGCGAATCGATTCATGAATCGATTCGTGAATCGATTCGCGCGTGTAATCGAACGCACTCAGTAAAGCATGCTAGCAGGGAGTCGTAAAATACGGTGTTTTACGACTCCCTGACGTAAAGCCATTTCCATCGCATGCGCATTTGTTAGGCAGTTCGCAGGGCAGATCTCTGTTGCCTTCAAAGGTTTCATGGTGTTTTACTTATTGCAGACATGGATCCGGGTGATGCCAAGGAGCCACTGCGCCATTACCGTCCGAAAAATGCTCCCAAATCTCCGTACACCAGAGTCAAAATCGACAGAGGGGCTCATGGAATAAGCGACGTGAGGTGTTTTCCTGAGCAGCAGGAGGAGGACGCTGACTTTGAATTTGTTAGCATGCCGGACTCCAGTCCCTCTAGCTCTAGCGCCGCCGGTAGGGGTGACTTGAAGCGTGCGGAGCGTGATAGAGCGAAGGGTCCGCCAACAGCGCCGCGACGTGCGCTACTCCAGGCACCTGTAGCGCCGCAGGTGAGGAAGGAAGCTCCCAAACTTGGACCACGCACCCCGGAGAAGGCAACAGGAGCAGCGCAGCCGGTGGCAGTAACGATGCAGCAACCAATGGAGGACAGTTTGTATGAGCCGATGGACATAATTGGCAAGCCGCTGAGCCTATTCACAAGTACTTCACCGTGTCCCACACCTCCATTAGGCGTCAAAAAGGAACACTCCCATGCCACAGTACAGAATCTGCCCGTCGGAGAAGGGTTTGAGGAATCATTTGAGTACGAGCCCCTGGACATAGTGCGGAGCAAGGCTGCGTCGCTAGGAAGCCAGGGCACTGGGACACTTACAGCAGGCCAGCTAAGAACTCTGGGTGCAGCATTCAAGTCAGGGGATTCAATGGAGCTGAATAGTTTGTACGTGCGGTCGCCCAGTTCGAACGGAAAGTCGCCCCTACTGGAGACAGGAGCCAACACTTTGGTGGATGACGGCGGTGATGGTGACGTGGTTGGTACGATTAGGAACTTGCCCGACAACGGTGGACTGGATGAGTCTTTCGAATACCAGCCATTCCAGGTGTCGTCCGGTATGTCCCTGTCCGCTGCGAGCAAACCCGTGAAATCGGCAACTCGAGAGGAGCAGGGCGAGGCGCAGAGCATGCAAGAAGACTACCTGGTGCCAAGTGATCTGGATCCCATGCTGGGGAACGCTGACGATGTTGGCGAGACGGCGTCGACTAGCGGTGGTCCGTATGCCTACACCGTACACGATCGCCGCTACACTGTGGACAGTGTCGACTCCCTGCCGCCGCAGAAAGGAACAGTAGCCGGCCCGATGAGTCAGACGGGCACTGACGGCTACGTAGTCACGCACAAGGAGTGGGTACGCATGTCGCGGCGCCAGCCACACGCAACACAGCTCGCAGCCGGCTCACGCACAACACAGCCTGCAGCCGGCTTCACCACGGATGAACAGGCACAGTACGTTGATCCTGCACAGCGCCTGCCTTCGCCTCTACCCGGTGGTACGCTTCCAGCTACCAGTAAGTTGTGGCTTACACAACATGGCACAGGTGGTTGAATTTAAATAAATTCGGGAGCTTTACACCACCACTAATGCAGCTGGTCTCTTTGCTGCACAATTTCAATCGCAATCGATTTTTCGGCCAGGAGCAGTCATCAGGATTGAGGGGAAACTGGTTAGGTGAAGCTATAGCCATACGACACAAGGTGGAGTGAACTACGCCTCGCGTCATAGAAGTACACGTACACCATCATTGAATGAATGATACATCTATCACGCACTGGACTCGCACACGCACACACACACACACACACACACACACACACACACACGCATACACACACACGCATACACTCGCACTCACACTCACACGTACACTGATACACACAAAGAGGGGTGAAAATTAAACATTCTCAAGTCCAACACACGGCGCTTCGGGCCAAGCCACACTCTACTTGCATAGTACATGTGTTACCATCACAGCGACCATGGTGAGGAAAATTCCATCAATCTAATGACACTGAACGACCTGCAGAGAGCTGTTTTGCTCCTTTAGCGCTCACCAGTAGCCGTATAAGATGTGGTGATGAAAAAGGATTGGGCGCAAATTGAAAACTTATGCAGTTCAACTGGTGCACTTGTTGCACTCAATAGAAGTGTCTAGAAATGTCACACAATCTAAGGCATTCAAGTGATACACCTGATAGCAGAGCTGAAGTGATAGCGCGCATGTCCATAGCTTGGACATTAGTTCATGCAGCGCTAGAAAGAATTGGACAGAAACTGGTGGAGAGAAAAAGCAATCATTCTGACACTGAACGATAGCGAATATTACCACACACATGTACATACTTGTACATGAAGAGTGTGACTGACTCAGACTTTGTCAAAGTTCGCTTGTCACTTGCTCTGTCATCATGTTGATCACATCAATGTGTTAGGAAATGCACCGTATTTTCTGGAGTATAAGTCGCACTTTGTGCACTGAAATTTACCCCCAAAACGGGGGTGGGGGGGGGGGGGGGTGGTGGGGGTGCGGCTTGTACTCTGATGATCATAATGGTTATAAACTAATAGGATAGAGGTATGTGTTTTGTAGCGAAACATGGGGGGGGGGGGGGGCTTATACTCCAGCGCAGCTTATATTCCGGAAAATCCGGTACCTATTGAACTCGATAAATTTTCATCTGTGCAATACCATTACTCATTCAACATCCTTTTACCTTCACCGATGAGCTCTGAAGGAGTGGAAAAGCTGTCGGCAACATCTTCATAATCCATGCCGTCTTTAGACTCTTTACCTAATGTCCTAAGGGTGGTGGAGGGAGTGGCGGCGATGTGCTAGCAGAATGCTGGTTTGCCAGGAACGCAATGCCGTATGGTGGACTATATCGAAATATAATATGAGTTAGCGTATTTTCCGGAGTATAAGCCGCACCCCCAATTGTTTGCCACGAAATACAGACATCTACCCTAGTATGCATCAATGTTAATTTGATCATCGGAGTATAAGCCGCACTGCCCTTTTGTTGGGTGAATTTTGAATGTTCAAAATGCGGCTTATACCCTCTGGAAAATACGGTATGTGGCCGAGTCTGTTGTACCTTTCTCTTTCTAGTACAGTACCCGAACACTTTTCAGTTATATCTGTTTTGAAGGTGTATTCTGGAAATCTGAATCACCCCCACGTGTGTGCAATGGTTCGTCTCCATTTCAATGTATCTACTTAGAAAGGCATGCAGCTAGCCAGGCAATCCGAAATCTATAAGCCTGTAAGTTGAAAAGACCTAAAGTGAGTATTATGTTAGAACATGCAGCTGCTGTGGATGTTCAGTGTTGGGATGATCAAGGTATTCGGATAACCTTGCTCGGACTACGAGGACGAGTGGAGTTGGCAGTGAAATTGTGGTTGCCAGGTAAACGGTGTTCAGGTCTGACGTTCTGAACATAGCTTTCGAGGCTTCACACCTCCCACTCGGGTATCTGTCAAAGCAAGAGTACATGAGCCCCAGAGTGTGCAGTACCAATGAGTCGCCGTCATGGGAAGAATTCCTGGACTCAATCAGTTTAGTGATTTAGCATACAGAAGCAAGGGTTATACAATCCTCTCTTTGCTTTTGGTCTGCCTTAACAGCATGAGAACTGCCTTAACAGCATGAGAACTGCCTTAACAGCATGAGAACTGCCTTAACAGCATGAGAACTGCCTTAACAGCATGAGAACTGCATAAACAGTGGTGTTTGGCTCATTTGTGAATACTCTGCGTGTTCTACAGGTGCTTATATGGATTTCGATGGCGAGGATAAGAACAAATCAAGCACCGTTTCAGGACCGCGTCTTCCTCTAACCCAGTCTGATTCCTCAGGTAAGGCTTTAGTCAGTACGTTGTGCATTAGAGGTTGAGCCAGGTGTAGTGCACTACTCTACGGTATGTTTATGGCATGATCCACAGTGCAAATAGTAGTTTTTCCTCCACACAGCGCGGTTTCGACCACAATAGGTCTCATCAGCGAAGGTTGATAATAGTGAATTATTCATACGTATCCGCCGGATGAGTACGCGTGGCCCATGCACCATGGAGATCAACGAATACAAACCAGCATATTGTTCCCTCAGCAATAACGTTACAAGCAAGCAAGCAAAGATAAATGACACCCCAGGCAGCGAAAACAAAGCGAAGAGAGGTGAGGCCATAGGCAACGAAAACAGTTCCAAAGCGTAGCCAGGGATTGTATAGTAATGACAAATAAGAATATTGAATGGCCAGAATTAATTTGGAAGCACAGTTTTATACATGTACCTACATAGAATGAAATGAAGAAGCGCGATCCCGCGCTTAGAGGTAACAGACTTGCTATGTGCTAACACGCGTGTGCATATCGTATATTTAGAAATCTAGAAGCTGGCCTGAAGGTATTCGCCAAGCAGACCAGCGACGAGCAAGTGCAACACTTGTTCTCATTTGCCGCTGTGATCGTGTACATGTGTTTGTGGTGTGTGTATGTGTGCGTGTGTATGTGTCACGGTATGTGTGTACACGCGCACATCTGTGTGTGTGAGTGTGTGTATGTGTATGTGTGTGTATGTGTATGTGTGTGTATGTGTGTGTATGTATATGTGTGTATATGTATATATAATAGTGTGTGTGTGTGTATGTGTGTGTGTGTGTGTGTGTGTGTGTGTGTGTGTGTGTGTGTGTGTGCGTGTGTGCGCGTGCGTGCATGCGTGTGTGTGTGCTTGTGTACGCGCGTGTGCATCCATGAATTCAAACTTTCCATCTACAGCTTCGTTCTATCAGCCACTTGTAAACCCTGAGCATTTCCTGCCCTCCGAGACATATTACCAGAGGCTAATGGACCTCAGCAAGACGAATCGCAAGCACCGTATGGCAATGATGCCGCCTCTAGACCCGAAGCTCAGCGCCAGCGAGGTGAGGATAGAGCATGCCGCTGGGATATGATTACGATAATATCATTCATTTGGATCGTTTGAAATCACTCCCGATACTCTGGTTATATGAACGCACAGGGTTAGCAGTGCAAAGAACACCCCTTATCCGGGCAGGTCGGGACAGGGAACTGCCCGGGACAGGGAACTGCCCGTAACCAGAAATTGCCCGTAACTCAGAACATACATATTGTATGAACATACGTATTGTATGTATTTTATTAAAGTAAACATTTTTCTTGCAATCGATAGTTCTTGGGCCTTGTTTCTTTGAAAAGCCGAATTTTGGAACTCTACTACAGGGTTCAAAAAGGTGCCCGATAGACGGGAGTTCCCGTATCTGGGAGGTACAAAGTAGGGACTAGGGGATTTTACTGTGGTAGCAAAAGTGCCATAACCCCCCTCCCCCCCCCCCCCCCGATATTTGTACTTTGTACTGTTGAGGCAACGAACTGAAATAATAAAAACCAACCAACCAACAACCCCCCCCCCCCCCCCCTCTCCAATATGCCAGTCTGCATTATGCTGTGTTGAAGCAAAATGCGAACGGTACATGATCCAAGAGCTGCAAGGTACCACAAAATTGTAGGTTATGAAGCTTTGCCGACAGACCTGTGTAAACTACAAGCATGCACAGACTCTAGTGGTTGATGGTTGGTAAAATTTACCAACCTTGATGATGCTGCCACTTCATATTTACACGCTGAGGAACCAGAAGGAAATCAGGTGTAAACCAACACCAACGCACCTTCATTAGCCTCTTTTCCCAAACTTTTAACATGGCTAGTAGCGCTCTGACCACTCGATGCACGCATTATGTGGACAAGAGACGTAATTTTACATATGGATCAAAGCGGAATGTGTGCTGATGATGGTCAATAGCTAAAACATTTGAATTTTGATGTATTCGAATTTATCCACGCTACTCACAGATCAAGTAGTTAGTGCATCAGAGGCAAGTCACAAAGTGCACACTCGAGAAATAGAACTTGAACAATCACCAAACTCATTTAAATAAATGAGTCTACCCGTATGCCACTTCAATCTCATCTTCACAAACCTACAATGCCGTGTCTGAAATGATTCAAAATTCTTAGGCTTTGGGTGGAAGAGTAGGAATGTTCAAAGTACATGTTTGCACACACCAATGTGACCATCTTCTGTTCATTGAGAACTTGAGGAATTTTCACTCCCATGCTAGTGATGTGTACTTGTAAGCGGAATGGGTGGGCCAAGATCGCATTTTACTAGAGTGATGGTGCAACTGATGCTTGTGTTTATTGCAATGCTGCTGTACACAGCAATATCGACATCGTATTGTCCAGCACCTACTGGAGACGGAAGAGTCCTACATCAAAACACTCAGGCTTCTCTTGGACGTGAGTTAGAGCATTTGAAAACACTATAGTATTATCTTGCTGGCCTCAAGCGAAGATCCCTGGTCCGAATCCTGGTGGTGACAGTCAATTTCTTCAGACTTTTCCCGTTTGCATCTTTCCCTCAGGCCAGTGGATACTATAATAATGATAATGGCACAGTGTGCTTGCGAAAACAAGAGAACATTGTTATTGACTTGGTGTCATAGCCAGGAGTATGCATGCATGACTATGCTGTAGGTAAGCGGGCAAATTATGCCCTGGTGCAAGCAGTAGCATTGACTGTGCATAAGTATGGGCTTCCAATGTGCTATTTTTTGCAAGGCCTAGTCAGTCTTCGGTGGGATTATGATTGCAGAAAACGAGGCAATATGTGTGGCCCAGGGCCATGTTTGCTTGGGCATATGTGATTGTGTGAATTGTCACTCTGATCATGGGCCAGTGCTGAATATTTGGTGAAAGGAATGATTTACCGTGATCATTTGAAATGATCACGGTAAATCTATTCACAGTGAAGGCACTGTTGTGGGAGTTAAAGAAGTGACACTGAGTTATGTTTGTGTACTGTCGTGGACATGGAAATCCGGTCGAATGACCGGGGCCGGCGCCCTCAGTGCGTACAGAACGTAACTCGTTGCATACGATGAAGCGTCGAGGTGAACGCGCCAGACGCCTGCTGTGAGTTGATGTCGTTCACAGCTACTACCGTATGCCCACTCACGGCCGCATGGCCATCGCCCTGGGGCCGCTTGTCCTCCGACTGGATTTCCATGTCCACGACAGTAGTTGCACGTATGTAAAATGTCCATGTGTGCGCATGTAAATGCATTGTCTGTCTATTCGCAGACGTACGCACCAGCTATTGCCGACCTGCCGAGCCGCACAGGCCTAGTGCGTCTGCTCGAGAAGCTGCGCGTCTTCTTCACCACCATTCAGAAGATCTTGAGCCTCCATCACATGTTCAAGATTGGCTTATCCGGCCCAGTCTCCGACTGGAGCAGCAAGCAGAAGATAGGCACTGTGTTTGAGGGCGGTGTAAGTTCCCGGTGATCTTCTGTGCGGAAAGCGTTTATATGATAATCTTGTTGACGATAGCACAATTGCATTTTAGCTACTGCACTGGGAGAAGGGGTAAAATTATATTGAATGCAATAGAAGCGCTGTTCGTTAACCTACAATTCAGGAACCTACTTCAGTATTCAATAGTCCAGCAGAGATTCCCGATACACAGACTCAACCCCCCCTCCGAAAAGAAGATTTGTTTATGTCGCTGCACACCCCATGGGTACATCCACATCTTCTCACTACTCCCACGCCAAGAAAAATAAGATTGTGTGTGTGTGTGTGTGTGTGTGTGTGTGTGTGTGTGTGTGTTCATGAGCCCAAGTATTTATACTAGTACTTCAAGTATGTGGGAGTTTCAGGGGGTGGCGGCCGTTGGGCGCTTCAGTAGCAAATTTTAGTCATCTTTCCAAGATTCCTTTTGGATCTCTCTCCCCTGTGCTGGGGAGACCCATGTGACCAATTTCTGGTCCTGAGCAAGTGCACACGTGTGTATGCGTGTATCTTTGTTACCACTGCAGTTTTCCAAAGCCATGGTCGTGGAAGTGTACAGTGAATACATTGAACAATTCTCGACGGTGTCAACGGCTGTGCAGACCGGCCGCAGAACTCAACATCTGTTTGCCGAAGTCCTGCGGGTATGTAACAGTTGGAAATGGAGCCTGTGTAGCTTTGACAATGGAAACATCATAGCAGGCAATGAACTGAGTGCCTGTCCCTGCTAACAGGCAGGCACACAGTTCCTGTGACTACCGTGCTGATCCACGTGCGTATACTTCATTCATGTTAGGCATGCAGGACTATCAGGTTGTGCTGCGCTGGATCCATCTCTGCTGATTGGCTGTGTGGATCTGTTTTCGAAACCTGCTCGGTTTCACAGGGTAATTGCCTTTTTTGTATTTCCCCGTTTTTTCTAGTGTTGCGACCAAGAGAATGGTCTGCGGCTGAATCTCGAGTCTCTTCTTCTGAGGCCTGTGCAGCGCTTTCCACAGTTTCTGCTCATCATTCAGGTATGGCATGGGAGACACATTGAATTTGGAGCTTTGGAGTTTTTGCCATGAACCTCTGAGTAACAACAAAGTAGCCCTATTTTACTTCCTTTTGTGTACCTCTTGCGTAGTATGCTCTGCCCATTCCGGGCATTTGAGCACTATTGCAGGTTAAGGTGCACTGCCTCTGGATTCGGAGCCCACTTAGCGCAAACATGCATACTAGTAAAACGAAATTTGGTTTCACACACAAAACCACTGACGAAGTCAGACTGGAGTACATGTCTCATGCTCAATATTTTTGTTGATGCGGAACTCTGAACATTAATTGGGAGAAATTGCCTCAAACGTTCGTGTTACTGGTACAGGGGTTCCTCTGTAGTTGGTCTGTCTGGATATACCAGTTTGATCGTTAACCTCCAGCTGCAGGGTCCAAGGGCACAGTTATGGTGGCCTGTATGTCTGGAACCAACCATCCAGTTTACACAACCACATTCTATTCATGTTAGAGACTTGGCCAATATCCACGGACTGCCTAGGGTGATTCAAAACGTTCAGCTTCTCCAGACTTCACCCTGGAATTGTCAGTGGGATAGTGCCACTTTGGTAGCATCTGTTGATACTGGCACATTGTATGCTGTTTGAAGTCCATGCTGAAGTCACATATCTGTTTGACCCCGTTTTGGATTGCTCTGTCCAGGACCTACTCCGCCACACAGAGAAGGATCACCCGGATCGTGTACCCCTCCAGCTGGCACTGACGCGCATTGAGAATGTCACCGAGCAGCTGAACCAGCGCAAGCGACTCAGCGACCAGCTCCACCTGGTCGACCGCCTGCGCAACCGCATCATGAACCTGCCACTGGTTAGCCTGCACAGTAACATTCATGTGTTGTTGTTATTGCATAGAGTGTGCTATTCGCACAGTACAACAGTGGAGCAAGGCTAGTTTATTGCGACCCTGAATTTCATGCAGCCGCTCAGTGCAATCATCTGGAAACATGTTGTACTGTGTACTTTGCTCCGTCTTTGCGGAATTCAAACCATTGGGTGGAGGGGGTGCTATTCATATTGAATCTGATTCTTTGAATTGTGATCCACACTAAGTCAAGTCTCCAAGAGAGAATGCATGCGCTGGAAAATACTACTTTGACAATGGCGTTCAAAGCACTGGATCATCACAGTATTTCTTTGTTTTTTCCTTCTGCTTCACGGTCTTTTCAAGGATATGTTTGCGGAGAAGGTTCGCCTTGTCAGCCAGGATGAAGTTTGCCAAGTGGTGAGTGATACAGCAGGCCCAGAGCGGCTACTTTCTTGTTCTTGACACTGTTGTGAAACTATGCACCGTCCAGGTGTTACTTGCCGATGGTACTGATTGTATGGTAGTCCAGTGGGTGATGTGATCCCTGGAGAGCTTGTCACAGAGAAGCAAGACAAGGCACAGTCACCGGCAATAAGTGTAAAGTTCTCCGATAATAATTAGTAGGAGACTGGCTTGCCAGGATGTCAATCTGTGATTGGTTATCTGAATTTGGTCGAGGAGGTGAAGGCGGCGAGGGAGGGAAGAAAAGCATTCGCGGCCCACAGAACGTGAGCTCATCAAAGCAATTGGCCTCCAAACACCTCCTGGTTCTCTGGTCCCAATTGGCTATGCACATCGCCTTTGCCCTTTCATACCTTGCCCAAGTGCTCGAAAGGGTACATCATGGTTCTGTAAGCTCACATGATTGTATTGTGAACCAGACACTAAACCAGATGGTGTGTTCGCCTGCAGCCACGCAGGAGTCCGTTGCGGGACAAGACAAGGCCTGAATTATTTACAACCAGCATGCGTATAATAGATGAGAGAGAGACTATACGGAGAGGGACAATACGGAGAGGGACCATACGGAGAGGGACAATACCGCGACAAACACTATACACTACACCAGACGCTACGGAACATGTTCTCTATTCTGAGCAATGTTCACCGTTGCGTGGTGATTATGTTAGACTCACCCAACACTATTCATGCCTAGCTGCCAGGTCAGAAGTGCTACTGTGGCGCTGAGCAATGGAATGGAACACTCCGGTGCTGGTTACTACAGCAAGTCATGATTCTACCATTCAGGCTAACTATGCTATTCTTGTCAAACTACTCTCTTCATGCGTTACACGTATGATGCTCTACACAATGGTCAACTTTGAAAAATCATGTATCCAGTGCTAATACAGGGGTGTAGCAGCCGATCCGGCCGCAAAGCCGGACCACTTTTTTTTATCACAATGCCAAAAGTGCCCGGAATGCAGGATTTTGCACCCTTATTTCAAAATTTTCCCCGGGGAGTCACCCCCATACTCCCCCCCCCCCCCTCCGGCCGAACCACTTCCAATAGCAGTGCTACGTGCCTGTGATACACTGAGCTAGACTGCAGACTAAGACCCCAGTCTGGCCTTACATACACCCAAGCCAATACTGATCATGGCCATCATCATGTTTGTTGGCATTTCTCTGCAGAAAGTCAAACTTGGAAAGTCCTTGTGGAAGAAGCGCTGTCTGTTCCTCTTCTGCAATCAGCTTGTCTGTACGTCAGTTCTCCGGCCGTCTTCGCCATTTGCTTTACGGTGAGGAAATGCTGTGTGTAGTTCCTGTGCTTTTTTCATTAGCACTATGCACGCACGATTGCTCATCACCCATCCCAGGCATCTGGTATTCTTTGCATCAAAGCTCCCAACACTCTGTGTCCAGTATTCCTCAGGCAATCTGAAAAATAGCTTTTTCCCATCAATCTGCTTACTAATCCATCCGTGCACAAACGAGAAAGGAAAAATTCACTGCAACTCCGGGTTCCGGCTCTTCACCTCATCATCAGGCAACTTTGATACCTGTACGGCGTTCGTGTAGTTTCCTTATGCATGGCTCTGTGCTCCAAGCAGCGTTGCATGGTACTGGTAATGTCCGCCTGCATTCTTTGCTAAGCTTAGCTTTGCCGGCTGTAACGCGGACATGCCAACTTTATAAAAAAAATTATTACCGATATTATTTTTTACTTTTTCTTCAATGCTGTAATTTCTGTGCATATCTTACTGTGACTGTAGAAGCCCGGACGACTACAGCTACAAGTTCAAGTGGAGAAAACGCCTCCAGGATGTCACCATCATCGCCAGCGACTTGGATGAAGAGACTACCTCTGCAAAAGTCGTCTCCAAGCAGTTCAAGACCGGGCAGGCGGAGGAGACCTACTTCCCCAAACGTAAGCTGTGAAGGTGTATAGTTGGCTTGGTTGCCAGGTTATTAACCAGGGACTTCTATACACACTAATTTGGAGGCTTGGCAGATGACATCATCAAAATTATTAAAAAAAATAATGAATTCTCTAGCCTGTACTGCGTGGTGCCGTTGGAACAGCACTCCGGCTCTCAAACGGAGTACTAGTGGGATCAATTAATTTACTTTGGTATTCAAAGTCAAGATATTGAAGTGTTTTGTGGATCCTTCTGTATTGTTTGCCGTGTGCATTGTGCCGCAGCGGATGGAGGCGACTTGGCATTGCAGCTACGGCACGAGAGATCGGTGCTGCTACACGATATGAGAATGGTCACGAAGATTGCTGCGCTTGTGGCAACTCTGCGTCAAGAAAGGCTGGTGAGTGTTGTTATTATAGATAATCCGTGTGACCGGTGCGTACTACCTGTGCGTACTTCAATTCACCAATATCACCTAATGTAATAGACCCCGCAGGCAGTGTGCAAAGATGTTAATTCTCCGCTGCTGGACCATCGTGTGACACTCGTCAGCGGCTCTCCCCACCTTGCTGCAAAGCCCACTGCAGCCAATGCGAGCGGTGTTGCAAGTCCAGCTGCACAACAGCAACAAATGGATTCAAGAAGAGTCTAGGAAATCTCGCTAGGACGTTGATGCGAGACAGCACCTCAGCCCAACTCTCCATGTCTGTCGGCCCCTCACACAAGGGGACATGTAACCGGAAACGGCAATGTTCAGGACAAGACAGGTGTGTGTGTGTGTGTGTGTGTGTGTGTGTGTGTGTGTGTGTGTGGGTGGGTGTTTGTGTGTGTGTACATGCATACATGTGTGTGTTTACGGTACTTTCCCTGTTTCTCTAGCCCATCACCATGCAGGCAGTACAGGAGGCATCACAGTCCATACAGAAAAGACTCACTGTTGTGGAGGATGAGCTACGCCGTTGTGAAGCGTATCGCCTCGACATCGGCATTCCTGAATCGTGAGATTGCTAGACAGTGTTTCTTGTAGACATATCAGACAGGACCCGCTATCGTGATTTGCTTGGCTTGGGGTGTGTCTTGACATAGATCCAGCATTCCAGGCCTGGCTATAGTAGTGAAGTGCTCTTCCCACAATGAGTGCAACAGTTTACCACCCGGCTAATTATTTGCCTCATTGACTGTAACAAGACTGACTACAGCCCTGGCCATAGAAATCCAACCTCATGAATGTTAGCGCCGGGGGCTATGCAACCCCAGCACCACACACACACACACACACACACACACACACACACACACACACACACACACACACACACACACACACACACACACACACACACACACACACACACCACTCTGTGCACTGGAGCACGGCACTACTTTGTTCATGAGGTTGGATTTCTCTGACCAGTACTGTGTGTACTCGGAGGACCATCGTTTTGCTCTCACTACAATCATGTACTAGTAAATGACTTGCATAATCCAGGTTTGAGTCCAAGAGGGACAAGGCACGACCCAGCATGATCAGCTGAGCTGGTCAGGCCGTAGGAAATCACAGGTTATTTAAAAAACTGCTCCTCCTGTTTCTTCTTGAGCCTGCCATAGTTTATTCTTGTGGAGTTCGGATGCTTGTTGCCTTGATGATTCGCTGTGCCACTACGGGTAACCATGACAACTGTTTGCCAAACTGTAACTGTCGCCACGGTGACTGTTTCATGTGCGTGTCTCTTTGTCCAATGAAATTGAATTATTTATTCTTTCCATTCAGGTCTGGTCGCACATGCACGTTATTTTTTGGCAGCCCGCTACAGTGGAAAGTCCATGTCATTGGCAGAAAGGGACGGGGTTGCATGTATGGAAAATTTCGGAATCACTGCTCACTAAGAGCGTCAACATAAGTATGCAACCAAATGGGACCTGTGTGTGTGTGTGTGTGTGTGTGTGTGTGTGTGTGTGTGTGTGTGTGTGTGTGTGTACGTACTATGACTGTGATGTTCAGCATGACTGGCAGCAGTATCCGACACCTCAGCTTCATCATGTCCAGTCCGTCCGCTCGTTTCAGCTGGGTGAAGTCGTTCAACCGTACCAAACTCATGCTGGGTGAGTGTTATGCCTTGTCTAAGATGTTTTTTAAAAGAATTGAGTGTGCCGTATTGGATCATCACAATTAAAGGGGAAGTTAAGGCAAAAATTAAAATGTCACCAGTTGTAGTCTCCGGGGTGCTGAGTCGAATGGTCTTGGTCTGAGGAAGCTGAGACGCCCCCCTCCTCCTTTTTCCCAATCGAACTCGCCACTTCCACCGAAACTGGATGGCTGCGCCTTACTAGATGGGGATTTGTAATTTTGTATGCAATGTGTCACTAAAAGCGCTATTTCGTTCTTATAAAAGCGCGGATGACCGCGATTGGACCATGTGGTGTAGTCTTTTGGACGCTGAGTCGACTGGTTTTGGCCCGGTATGAGAGGGCTGCGATGCAGTGTTCGGCCCTTATTCCAAATCGAACATGGTTGAATAAGCGGTCACGTGCTCATGCGTACATCAGTCACCTGGTCACCGTGCCTGCTAGCTACAACTTTCACACCAAGGTCCAGCTCAAAGGTTCAAACATTCAACTTGAGTGACGGGAAAGCGCTCTGACAGGCTGTAAGTTGTACTCTGCATGCACGGTGACCAGGTGGCTGGTGTACACATGAGCACCTGACCGCTTATTCGACCATGTTCGATTGGGAATAAGGGACGAACGCTGCATCGCAGCCTTCTCGGACCATAACCAGCCAATTCAGCGCCCAAAAGACTACAACATATGGGCCAATCGCGTTCATCTGTGCTTTTATAAGAACGAAATGGCGCTTTTAGTGACATTTTGCATGCAAATCCCCATCTTGTAGTGCACAGTCACCCAGTTTCGGTGGAAGTGGCGAGCTCGATTGGGAATAAAGAAGGAAGGGAGTGTCTCAGCTTCCTCGGACCAAGACCATTCGACTCGGCACCCTGAAGACTACAACTGGTGAAAAATTAATTTTAGTCTTAGCTTCCCCTTTAACTACGTAAGTAAACCAATTTAGAAAACATTCCCTACTGGATGTATGTTGGACGTGATCTTTGGGTCTTCATCTTCATGTGAGGTTGTATACACACCCAGGAAATGGACATGTCTTTAAGTGGGTCATGTGCTGCCAGTGGTGATTGTTGCCATGTATCGGACTGAATTCATCCACCTGTATTGTACAACTCGTGTTGCACTTCAAATAAATGTACAACGTCCTTCTGACGTGTAGGCACTATAAGGCAGCTGAAAATCGCAAATAGTAATTATTCCAATGAAGTGGCTGCAGTGGAGCTTGCGCACATTAAGAAAATTAACAATTATTCCAGACCGCAAATGCTTCCCAGTTGTCACTACATAGTACACTGTATGTGGTGCTGTGAAGTGACTTCCCCAGTGTTGTCCTGATTGATTGCTGTTACTTGCAGCCGAGGCCGATACGCCGAGCTGGCTTCACTCGGGCAGCAACGGTAGCGGGCTGACGGCTGATCAGATCCGTGTGTGCAGCCTGGAGTCACCGCTGCTTGTGCATACTGTGCCCGTCATGCTGACCAGGGACTCCATGACAGTTAGTGCGACACATGCACTCAGTGTAATCAACTTATTATGAAGAACACAGAAGACGTGAAGTCTGGAGAGCGGGGTGCACCAAAGAAAAATCAGATCAGTTGCAGTTCAATCTAGTATTACCTCTTGGCAGTCTGAGTTGCATACACCAGGTTACCTATCATGAATGCATCAACGCGTGCGTCTAGATGCATTCAGGCCTAACTACATGCCAAACACGGTGTGTAGCCGATGACTATTGTTCAGCTGTACAGTACTACTGTCAGCAACACACCACTAGTGTGCTGTCAGCGGGATCACACTGCCACTGAGTACAAGTCTGATCCCTAAAGCCCGGGCGTATTCTCTGACTGCATTTTAATAGTATACCCTTACTGAGCACTCTGACTGTTAACATATTCTATATATAAACTTTGGCTGATGTAAGTCCAGACTCATTCCTATCCAGCATTCTGACAACCAGGGCCTGTTGGCACAGCTGAACATAATAAGAGGACTCCCAGTGAATATGTGGGCCTAGCAAACAAGCTAGGGTTCCCCGGTGTGGTGGTGGAACCCACCTCCAATCCACCCTTCTCCTGATCCACCCTGACCGCTCTATGTCCTCTCCTTGGCACTACATCCCATGTGACAGATGGAGCTTGGCGTTCAGGTCACCGTACCCAACACACTGGAAGGCATGACGCAGTATGCACCACCCTACATCTGGGTGTGCAGTAATGGAGGTGCCACGGCTGCACAGATCAGCATCATTGCAGGCGTGCACGTGGATCCCGTCATCGTCGAGTGCTTTCAGGTATTGTGAATGAACAGAATTTCTGCAGGAAGATTATGTAATACCAATGACTTTCTGCAAAGTTGTGGACTTCAGAATGATCATGTAATTAACTGTGGCAAATGGTCTGGGTATGTATTATTATTATGTGTGTGTGTGGGGGGGGGGGGGGGGGTGCGAGAGTGTGTGCCTGTGGGTGTATGTATGTGTATGACTGTGTGTATGTCAATGCATCTGTGTGTGCGTGTGCGCGCGTGTGTGTTGTACCCCTTTTCAGTGCGTCCAGTCACGTGTGCTGTGCATGATCTTCGTACCGGGTGATAACAGCACTCTGAAACCTAAGCGTGGCGGTACTGACACCAATGAGCCGGAATCCACTGTATGGATTGGTACGCAGAGCAAGACGTGAGTAAGATGAGGAGAACATGATACAGCTAAGGTAGTGGTTATGCGATTACATCATGCATTGAGATGCTTTGGTAAAGCGGTGACACAGCGATGCACCTGGACAAGCGAAACCGCTGTCTAATACTGTATACTTGGCGCCTATACGTGAATCCACCGAGTCACGCTGGCTACTCGCAACGTTCCCAAAAGCGGGTTTGCTAGTTCACCACCATGACATCACTTGCTTGACCTCTATAGCTCTCTTTACGACCGTTTAATCGATATTTAGTCCAGTGCATTTGAATAGCAATGGTTTTCAGACCTATGGTTGCTCACGCTGGTCCGATCTCACCTCCCTCCCTCCCCCCCCCCCCTTCCATTGAGATGCTTTTGTTATGCATTCACATGTTGAATGGGTCAAGTGTGGACTTTGTACAAAAAGTGCATTTCAGTATCTTAGACGCACCATGATTTTGTGATCTTTCACCTTTTATAGTTCTAACTTCCCATGTATGTGTGTGGTAGCTCCATGTGACTATGTGTATATCTGTGTTATCTCCATGTAACTGTGTGTCTGTGTGATCTCTATGTGTATGTCTGTGCATGCTACAGTATCCAGGTGTTCAAGGCTGGCATGAGTGATGCCAGGATGCCACTACTTCAGCTCAAATGCGTCGACAGTGTCCTTTCGCTTGAGTAAGGCACCACTCTCATTCTGCAGTAGACTAGTAGACTGTGACAGGCACACATGTGTAGCGGCAGCAGCCGCTGGAAGACATTGGTGCAGTGTTTCTCAATTTCCTAAAGCGATGGAACATTATTGTTATGAACCCGAAATATTTCTTATCCCCCCCCCCCCCCCCACAACACACGCACGCACACACACACACACACACACACACACACACACACACACACACACACACACACACACACACGTACACACACATACATACACACACATACACATGTACCCACACACGTACACACATTGCATACACACACACATGTACACGAAAACACTCACATTGTGACACAATGCATGTGCCGGATTGTACTCACCACTGCCCCCCCCCCCCTCCTCCCCTTCCCTTCCACCCTAAACCCGCTTGTCACAGAGGCCAATACTGATCGGTTTGTGCTGTTCCCACGCTGATTAGGTACTTCAATGAATATCGCTTTGCTGGCTTGGCTGATGGAAGTGTAGTGATGTTCAGCAAGAACTCCAGTAAGTTATGGATTGTCTGTTTGTGTGCTGTCAGTTTTACACAACATGTTTTGTAGGCCTATTGCCCAGGGGAAGGGGAGGGGGGGGGGGGGGAGATATATCTTTGCATCATTTGGGAATCGAAGCAGCGACTGTGTGTTTGGAAAGCCACAGAGTACATGTAAACACTTTGTCAGCTCACACCCCGTGCACAGAGACCTACTTGAGTAGGCGAAACTGACAGGTCTATAGGAAGAGCTGGAATGCAAACACGATGAATCCGTTTCATCACTTTTCGGATAACGGCCAAAACAGGATGTACTTTATGTGCGGTTTGTATCTAAATCCGTATTTGGGTTCCAGTTTTGAAATGGTTGTAGTCAGATTTTGAATGTGAAATTTTGCCTGGTGGTGCCCCTAAACCTTTTGATCACACTGAGCTGAAAATCTGATTTTCTCACATATGGCACTTATCAGATTTTGCATCTCAGCTATTCATATGCAATGAGTTCATGGCTCAGCTGTTGCTTACAAATATGGCGTGCTTCTGGAGCTGATGTATGTCATGGATATGACTGTGTGCGAAATCTCCTCAGGTGGACTATGGGATTCGAATAACTGCTCTCGTGTCGTCTTGACAACGCAGCCTGTGACCTGTGCCGCCGTGTTTGGCGAGGAGGTGTTCCTGGCAGCAGGGCACGACATCCACGTGATCAGCACGCTGTCGAATACCGTTGTGGTAAGCTTACTACATGTACAGCCAGGGCTCAATGAAATCCAGTCATGTCACTCACATACACACCGGGCGTTGCGCAGCCCTAGACCTGCAAACACTGGGCCGCGAAAAAGGCACAAACTGGACGTGACTGGATTTCATTGAGCAAGACTGCAGCATAAATGTTAGCCGTTTGCCCATTGGGGGGGGGGGGGGGCCTAGCACCACACACACACGACTCTGCTCACTTGAGCACGGAGCTACTATATTCATGAGGTCGGATTTCTCTGGCCAAAGCTGTAGTTCAGCAACAGTGAAGTGTTTGTTCGGCGTCACTCATACTTTAGCTAGGAATGCACATGTACTTAGCATAGGTTAGCAAGATTTCAGTTTTATTTGGCTTTGTCTGAACCCCCCTCCCCAATTTCACCCTCCCGCTGCTTGCAGGAGACGTTCAACAGTGCGGAGAACGCAAACAAGAAGAAAGAGGTGCAGGCTGTTCACGGTATGCTGGGTATCGGAATTGGCCTGTGGCTATTCCACAGACACAGTGCCTTCATCAAGCTTATCCATGCCGAGACCAAGGAATTCATGCAGGAGTTTGACATCCAGTCAACGGTTCGACGCCACCAGAAAGGTACAGAGCATTCGTTTGCAGCCACCTATTTTGTTGTTGCTGCTGCTGCTGCTGCTGCCATTGTCATCCAGTTGCCGTCATCGTCGTTGTTCCATCATGGTTGTGTATGGATACACATAAAAGGATATGTATGCTTGATTTGCTTGTGCATGTATGCAACTGTGGAGCCGCAATGTTGTGGTTGTCATCGTTTCCCTCATCATTATCCTCATCGGTGTTGTTCATATCCTGTTGACTGTGTTGGCAGAGCTCGGCCTTTCTGACACTGCCGTGGATCACCTGTATGTCACCAAGCTGGAGCACTCACCCGGACAGCTCTGGATTGGAACTAGCTGCGGTGTGGTGGTCTTGCTGCCTGTTCCCAGACTGGGTGGAGTGCCAAGGGTAAGCCACATTCTCGCACTTGCTTGCTGGGACTTTCCCCCCATTCAACTGGCTCAAACTAATGAATAAGTTCACTTCTGAATCTCGCTTCAACTGGTTTGCTTTGAAGCTGAGGGTGCAAGCTTAGTTCATGCTTGATACTATACTCTGGTGACTCAAGACAAGGTTACGTGTATTTTGAAGATGCTGTAGCACAATCATGTACAGCTATGATGTCCCTGGCTTAGCGATGTGCAACTGACGTGATGCAGCTGGCCTGCACGAGGCATTGTTATATAGACGCAAGTCGTGCATGATCTCACCAGCGTTCACCAGCAGAAGGCCACCAGAGACTTGTCTGGCGAACCATATTCAATGTAGAAACACATGCACTGCGTTTACAACCCGTGGTTTCTCCTTTTGCCCGCTGGCTTTTGTTTGATTCATTCCAGTTCCTGAATGTTATTGTTATTGGTGCACATAGACTCACTTTGCATGCAAAAACTTGCAAACCATCACAATATTGATGATTTTCAGCTTCACTTAACCATATTTTTCGGGGGGGGGGGAGGGGTTAAAATACAACTATGTGCCTGACCAGGAGTTGACTGAAGAAAAGGTGGCCCATGGGCAAGAGGTCATGGTTGTACACTGTTGGGGAAAATAAAGTATGCTAGCTATATGCTACTAATTTTCATGCTGAAAATCAATCATCAGGAGACCGATTTTTTTCTGTGTGTGCATCACATGCGTTGCTAGGTGATGGGCTCTCCTCTCATCTCTCACCACGGCAACGGGGGTCCAGTTCGAATCATCGTCCCGGTGACATCCCAGATGCAACTGTCGGTCAGTGACCAGCCAGTGCAGTTTCCCGGGGACAAGCCAATGTCTTCGCCACCATCCCTATCACCATCACCATCACCATGCCCAGCACCCGGACAAAAAGGTGTCGCATCTCCTCTGGCGACTGGCTCAGCGCAACCTTTGCCTGTGAGCTCAGCAAAGAAAGTTAACATTACCAGTCCAAAACGTCCACCTGGGCCGCCTCCCCTACCACCTGACCCGATCACCAAAGCAGAGAAGCCAAGAAACGCACCTCCGCAACTGGACACCATTTCAGCGGACATGCGGCCGAGAGCGGAATCCGGTGCCTACGACCGTGCCGCTGATATGGGGGAAGACGCGTCGTCGATTTACGATTCTGTGGAAGGTACAGACCGGGTCCAAGCAGAAGGCACCTTGCCGGGAAGTTCTCAGCCTCCCCATCACGGTACTATGCCGGTGACTGAGGGCAGGGAACGCGAAGAAATAAAAGAAATGACAGCGGAGGAGGAAGAGGAAGAGGACGACGAGTATGTGCAGGAGGCGTCTGCTGAGCAAGCAAAGCGTGCTACCAACACCAAGAAAGCTGCGGCTCAGCAAGTCACGGAGCCTATCTACGAACTTGCTGGAATGCCAAGTAAGAGTGATGAAATCAATATTACTGATACTGAATGGCATTTGGAAGGCACACATATCTTTAGAATGATACGACCTGAAGACCTTTCAATCCACCCAGCTACCAGTTGTTGAGCTGAAAATGCACCACGACGTTAGCAGCAGACCCGGCAGAGTTTGTTTTGTAGTGAACGCCAGGAGCATGTCAACATTATGCTGTGTCGTTCACTTACCCCCCCCCCCCAATGCTAGGTACAATGTAGTATACAGTTGATTACCCGTTGGCGGCATTCACAGTCATAACCAAGGCTTTGCACAACCCATCAGTGTTAACCCAGGCGTGTAGTGGATAAGTAGTGTACGCCCCAACATGCCTGGTTTGAGTTTCTGCGAACATGTACTGTTTTGGATTTCTGCAGAAATGTCTGGGTTAGTACAGACATGTAAATCCTACTCGTGACGTATTGCAATCATGCTAGTATGTTGCAAGTGGCCTCAAGCGTAGCCTGTATACACTACACTCCAGTATTGGACAGGCGCGTGCATTCGCCCAACAGTTGTTTCTACATAGCATCTGACAAGGAGGCAGATATTCCAGCCTATGGTTTCGCACTACTGAAGGCCAGTTTGCAGCCTAACAGTGCCAGGTGGACTGATTGCCTGGGTGTTGTCTGTCCGTCCCTCAACACACACATGATGAAGCAATCAAAGAGCACATACAGTGGAACTCGGGAAAGACGTACCCCACTAGGCTGCTAGTTTTGTATAACCATTGTACATGCCATGCTATTACATTGACATTTGTCTTGTTATGAATGAAAAACGTAAAATGTTTGGCACCTATGATCAGGGGATTCCAAGGGGAGACCCACATAACCAGTTTCTTGCCGCGAACAAGTACATGTGTTTGGTGTGTGTGTGTGCATGCTAGCAACCGTGTGTGCACGTGTATGTATGTATGTGTGCGTGCTGCTATGCCAGCTGTACTTGTAAAATTGCACTCTGGAGAATGGTATTGTGTTTCGGTGTGGTAATACCATGGTGTAAACACGTGTCTCACTGTCTGGTACGCAGTGATAGTCCAGACTGGACCCCCGGTGGGTTTAACAGTTATGGCATGATGATTACTAGTCCTAGCCAGTAGGGGACGCGGCAAGGATAGAAAAGGGTGATACCACTAGCCGTTTTTCCACTGCCAGCCCGTTTTATGTTCTACTCTGGCAGCTGTCCGTTTTTTGAACATTTTTTTTCTTTGGATGATGTTCTTAAATCATTGTTTGCATGTGTGTGTGTGCGTGTGTGTGCGCGCGCGTGTGTGTGTGTGTGTGTGTGTGTGTGTGTGTGTGTGTGTGTGTGTGTGTGTGCGTTGTCCAGACTTTGGAGCCGTGACAAACAAGTATAGCTATAATCGCCTGCAGTGCGGCACGCTAACAGCGTCCCCCGGCAGCTCACCAACGCCAAACCACACGCAGCAGGATCAGAGTTCGTACACATCACTGTTTGAGCACGCTGAGCCCATTGACCCGGCCGCTTCCATTGAGGAGCGACGGCGTAACTCCAAGTTCAAGCGCAAGGGCACGGACCAGATTGTGATCGAGCAGCAGTACATTGTGTGCGGAGGCCTTGGCGCCGCCTATCACTTTGATGCCAAGTCCAGCAAGTCTGCACAGCTACAGGATACTGGTGGACAGCTTCTCGTCTGGGAACTGCACGATTGATGCAAGTGTTTGGACACAGTGAGTGTACACGTACTCAAGTTGTGTTGGTCATGTGGATGCCCTGGGCCAGGTCCGGATCGTTCATTGTATCATGCCCCTCGGGAACGTTACAGAGTATTGCCATCTGTTGTCAGACTTAACTTCTTCGGAATTCCGTGTTTTCCCTGTCAGACTTAACTTCTTCGGAATTCCGTGTTTTCCCTGTCAGACTTGCTGACCAGCTATACACTAGCCTAACTGTATTACCCTAGGACACCATCCACATAGTTTTAGGGAGTTTCCGTTATTCACTTTACTTGATAAATAAAAGATTATGCTGGCCATAATCTCTGCAGCCAGTGTTTCAATTCCCGCTGGATAGTTCTATATTTTCTATATTTTCTATATTTTCTTTTCCTTTTAAACCCTATTTCACTAATAATAGCAGCAGAGCCACTGATGCCATACTCTGCTTATCATTTTATATTTTATAATTCTGCAATCACACTAAATTACCCACGTGTATATTCATGCCCAGCTTATCGCTGCATTCCTATTATTGTAGGTCAACAGATTTTTTTAATGATCTGAATTTTTGCATGGCGCATGACCGTTGAGATTTTTTGATAAGATTTTCCTCCCCCTATTTTTGGTTTGATAAAGAATTGATATTCTGCTTAAACTCGTTGTGCATCGCTCAAGGGGGTTAGACTCTTCTTGTGTGTATGCGTAAACATTTGAAGGTTATCTATGTGCCAATTGTTGATCGAGACTGACTTCTGTTGTGAGTGTATTTGCAAAGGTGTTTCCTGCCCGCATCATGCTTACAGCCGAGGGTCATGTCTCCTAAATTCAGCAGGTTTACCCGGAGATGTAAGGCCAAACCTGTCCATTGATGTATTATCGGGTTTCGGTAAGGGGTATAGCGGTCGCTGTTTGCTTATCTTCATGGAGTCCGTGGTCATGTCCGCCACAGTTCTAGTCATACACGTACATGTGCCAACTCGCTCTCTAATGTTTGCTCATAATACTTCTGGGTATGGGCATATGGCAGCCTGCCTAATCCAACCCGCTTCTCACCACAACGAGCAGGTCTTGGGTGACAGATAATAACGAGATGGATTGATGTCTGCGGAGTAGCTCATTGCATGTACAGCTGTATATGGAAGACATGTATACTATTATCTAAAGTGGCTGAAATCTAATAACAGTGGACCCACTGGGGGGATGTTAGTGTTACATCGGGGGTAATTAGAATGAACCCCCCGCAGGAGAATGTGTATTTTTATCCGGACATGTTCCGGATTTGGACCCTACGGTACCACAGCTGTTGTTTCTAGATCCAATGTGGTAGTCAGTACAGGCAGAGATCTGTTATAGTGTTGCTATTTGTACTAGTATTTCATGCTGCAATGTCTCTTTGTAGATCTACATGACTGTTTCTGCTGAATCTTATCTTGTTATTGCCAATATTGGTGGCCGTTGTCCACCAGGGTCATGATTTCAGCGCCATAGCTTGCATCATCGCTAGCATGGCGACATGCCCCTAAAGTCTGGTATTTTACAGCAACAACAGGCGAATGCTTCACACCAGGGAGCAGTAAAACACAACGTCGTCTTACTACTCCTTGCTTCACACCATCACCCCAAAGCAAAGGTTACAACACGTCAACAGACGAAGCATGATTATGCGTTCGTCAGGGAATGTATTGCGCGTAGATCTACGCAATGTACGTATAAAGGTCCACTCTGGGCGAGGCATGTCCCTGCGATAGTGCTGGCGAGTGGCGTGGTCGCGAGCTAGGAGCTGGATTTAGCAGGCAGCCTGGACGAAACACCACAGCCTTGACAGCCACGGCTGATTGAACGATGACTTGCGTTTAGGTGGGGCATAACCATGATAACCCCGTGCCTTCTTCATATCACACTGCATTCTCGGTTGTGACTTGCTCCAACATCATCATTCACAGACTATCTTTCGTGTCCTTCTGCCCCTTCTAGAAACTAGTACAAAACTTCGAACAGGACAGGGTTTCCAACTAGCAAGCACTATTCATACTACATTGTTTCACTGTGCTGTTGGAGTGTATCACTATGTCTTATTACAGTCGCTATCGTTACAACTATGGCTACAACGATGAGGAGGATACTAAAACAGAGGCTAACGCGGAAGAGACGATAACAACCAAGGCCGAGGAGCCTGCAGTCGACGAAGACCAAGCCCAGGAAGCGGAGCCCACAAGCAATGGCAAAGATCAAGAAGAAGAAAAAGAAGAGGAGGGGGAGGAGGAGGACGAGGAAGAAACCACAGTGGACGTGGAAGCGGAGGTGCAGGTGCAGGTGGATGACACCCAACAAGCGAGTACTGATGGGAAAACGTAAGTTGTGAATCATTCCCATGCTTTCTTCTATGCTTCTTTCGTCCAGTTTTATATCTGTCCAACAGTTATGCAATACACTGTAGTGATGGATCACTACTGTAATTTATAAAGCAAGCCGATATGATGGGCGCGCGCGTAGCGTTTTCCTTGAAAACACCACTACAAGCCAATGCCAGAACTGTCAGGTACATGACGTACATACACGAGCCCAATACAAGATGACTGTGTGCATGAGCTGATGTACAGCCATAGTCATGTACATTGTACATGACTATGGCTGTATCGTGGATGTGGGTATTACTTTAGTACAAGTAAACGATAATAAGTATTCGACAATACAGTATAACATTCGTCCACGACAAATCCACGTTCGTCGCCCGTGCTGGAGAGAGCGATCGACTGGGAGAGAACAGCGAACAGCGCTTGCAGTTCAAATAATTTAAAATTAGTTATCACTGATCCTTGCCAATCAGCTGCATGTAAACTGTACAGCCGTGTAATCTCAGGTTTTAGCATATCAAATTATTTTGGATTTTCTGGGACTTGGGGTTACTACTGCAGTATTACTATTAGGGTCGTGACAGTCCGTGTTGCAGCCATCAGAAAACAGAATTGATCTCCCCCGCTGACAATGCCATAACACGACATCGATCCTTTGGTCTCTGTTCCCCGTGTTTTAAAACGTTTTGCGGGCACTGAGGTTGAACTTTCAGCATCACCCACCCTGTCAGGTTCTCCGTGCAATGTGTCAAAACTCCTCCTTTGTCTTTCCAATTACTTCGTGATACCCCTAGTACTACTAGGTATCACGAAGTAATTGGTGGTTGTGATGGTGGTGGTGGTGGAGTGTGTGTGTGTGTGTGTGTGTGCATGTGCGTATGCGCGTGTGGTGTGGTATGTGTGTGTGTGTGTGTGTGTGTGTGTGTGTGTGCATGTGCGTATGCGCGTGTGGTGTGTGTGTGTGTGTGGTGTGTGTAATACTGTGTACGAGCTCGTAGGTTGAAATGGATTTCTGTGTGACTCTAGCTGAAGTGTATTTCGACTTCAGGGAGAACAAGTTCTGCCTGTGCAAACACGACGTCTAAAATGACGTTCTCCATGCTATGGTACTACTACTAGTACTAGTCCAGATATTCAGCATCATGTCAGTACAAGGCAACTGTTGTCTTGACAATGACTAAGGGGTCGTCCATAATTATCGAACTTTTTTCACGAAACGAAATAATTTCGTTATGGGGTGGGAGGGGGTTGACCAATTTCGTTTCAGAAAAGCTCGATACATGTACATGTACATGTCTTTAGGTCAATTAGGAGCAGTGACACACTTGCGACTTTTGTTGTATGCGCATGTATATCTCAACATTTTTTACGTTCTGAGGGGGAGGGAGGGAGGGGTTGGGTCTAAACTAAAATAATTCGTTTGGTGAAAAATGTTCGATATTTACGGACGGCCCCTTTAAACTCCCATAAACACAGGCAGGCCATAAGGTCAGGCCGGAGTAAGCTAGCTATAGCTGTGAAGTCCACACTATCGCCAGTTCTACACTACAGTGATCCAGGCCACTGGTCTGTGACACGTAACGTCGTTGAGTCTGTCTGTTGTGGGAAACAGCACAGACCAGCTAAGCAAATCTCAGTCAGAGGTCTGCTTCTGTCGTTCTGGAGGTCAGCGCGGGTTTTAGGCCAGGGTCTATCGACTCCCTACTCCCGAGCATGCAGTGAAGACGAAAGCCTAGTACTAGTATTATTAGGAAAGGCGAGCATGAGGAAGCTGGCGCAATCGTTCCGAGAAGTGCAGCGATACTAGTATAGTGACTGTACTGTAGTGTAGGCAAGCGGTGTGGTGGAGCAAGTCGTGTAGATCCAAAGCTAGGCATAAGCCCTACAACTCGGGCTAGCTACGTACTCCCAATCCCATACTCCATAGCATACATGTACTAAAATAAAGGACGAAACAGTTCTGTTTATAATAATTATGTCCGCAGATTGAGTAAAAGATTATGTAACCAACACTCTGCAGGTAGGTGTGTGACCCTACTCTCTACTCTATACTATAGTATACTGCTTTATACTCCCTAGTTACTAGCCTTGACTATATATGGGCCTTATATTAGTTATGGCTGTACGGCATGCATGCGCTCTATGCTGCTTAGTGCTATGCTTATTATCACAAGCTGCAGTGTAGTGTATAAGTAGCTGTAAGTGTCAGTAGTACACTGAGTCTGTGTGTGCCGTGTTGAGCTAGCTTGGTTGTCTGTCGTGTCTGTCAAGTACGAGTGTTGTGTGTGCATGTGAACTGGAGACTGAGTCAGTGAGTGGAGGAGTGGTGGAGCATACCGCAGCGCACTCGCTGATCATACCGAATGCAGTGCTACTGCTAGTGCCGTGGTACATGGTCGTGTTTTGAGAAAGTACCCACTACCCGTTGAAAATAAAACCTCAGCACGGGTCCACGGAACGGTACTTTTCTTTCTTGACGGAACACTTTCTTGTGATTTCTAGTTCACCTAATCTCAACCCTGCCGAAGTAACCGCTGCCTCTACGAAATCGGAAAGCAAGATGTCGACCTCTACCCAGTTTGTGGATCAAGCCGTCTTTGACGCAGCACTGAGCAATGTCAGAAGCGGCGATTTGAAATGGTGAGTGGTTTGTTTGCCTTCGCTGTAAGTGGAGTTGAGTTTTAGCATTTTGTACGTGTGCTACAGCGGCACGCTGATTGCCTCTCCTGCTTGACAGAGAGCACGAATCCCAATATCAGTACTGCCATCCTGGTCTTCAATTGACTTTGTCCTGCTTGTCGAAACGACAGTCGACAGGTTTCGGCGTCTAAGGGAAGTGCTGTGTGGCATGTAATGGGAACGAAAATATGTGTCGCTGCCGATGCAAAAATATGTCTTGCTCGGATTTCCTTCCGTGGTGATCGTAGGTGAGGCGTAGGCCTATGTTGCGTGCTGCCGTTAGGCCTGTGTGCGGACTTCGTGCCAATGGAGGCTGCTTTTGTCGAGTTATAATAGCTCTGCTAGGTAGAGGATGTTGTTCGCGAGTGGTTTCAGGCTGGTCGCAGTAAACCCGCAACATGTCCAACCTAACGGTCCGCGGCCGAAAATGACCGTAGGCTACAGAGAGCAAAAGAAAGTTTTTGTGTGTGTGAGCGAGAGAGGCTTACCTGTGTGCGTGAGTACTGTGAGAGCAGTTCAGGCAATTTTCAGTCTTGCTCATTTTGATGCCGATGGCATACCGTGTTTCTGCCTGGGAAACGGCTGCCAGTTTTATTATTTTCACGCGATCGTTCGAGGCGCGCAGCAAGAAGCACCTGTCGTTACTGTCAATGCAGATGCTGTACAGTTTGAACATACCCTGGAAGTGTTGCTGTGCGGGCAAGCTTGTGTGCTTGGGGCTTCTGTGTGAGCGCAATAAGCAGCTGCATATCGTGAAAATCGACGTCGAATGGCAACTTGTGCTTGTACTGTAGTTGTAGTACTTACAGGCGATCTTGCAGCGTCCAGCTAGAGCGTCACAAACTGTCGCCGCCAGAGCTGGCAGCCGCCGTAAACACCGCAGCTGGTCTGCCTCTCCACGTGCATCGCCCTTCGAGAATATGATTTCGGAATTACTCGCCTGTAGGTGGCTTGTTTGCGCGCAGGAGGGCTGTGATTATCCTATGAAACTGTTTCACCTGGCTTGCAAAATTTACTAGTAGTTGTGTTGTCCTGTGTGCAGGAGATACTTGATGGGTTGGTGGGTTGATTCAGGTACCCTTGCACTGCACAGTATACTAGTGCATCATTATAGTTTTTACAGTTCAGGTGAACTGCAGAAAAGAATGCTGCTTTCAGCATTGAATTGGCCCAATGGCCATCAATGAAACCTGAATGGTACAGTCATTGGCACGATAAAGAAAATGACTATCGCACCGAATTCCTGTCTTTTCTCCTCTCCTCTCCCTTCCCACACGCACCTGTGTCCTGCAGCACAGGACAGACGATACTCATCACTCATCCAGCACTTGAAAACTGACTTAAATTTGCATTCGAGGTTGGGGATGTCAATTGTCCATGACAGAGTTATCACATGGGACCATCCGAATACAGTAGTATGTCGTGACTTGTTCTTGCGACATCTAGCAGACTCCAACTCCACTCCTGAGAGAATGTAGAATGGTATATTCTAGCCTACATGTACTTCCATTTTGGCTTTGAGAGTGTTTCCCAACATCTAGGTGCTACCAGTGCGAATCTGACCAACTCTAATCTGCTTCCAAAGTCACTGCTGGTTAGCTTGGGTGGTTTGCGCTATGTAGAGTCGATGAACAAAATGCACTTTAAGCACAACATAAAAAAAAGATAAGCCAAACTTGCCTAATCGCCAATTGTATGATCACGTTGCCATAGCGACCAGGGCAGTGATGACACACGTTCTGCTTAGCTCCGTGAGAGAGAAGGTCGATCACTGCAGAATGTGGTCATTTTCAATTGTCTTATTGTATTCACGAGTGTGAAGGAAGTGTCGTGTCCAATGCTGTTAGTGCCGTGAACTGTTTATTAGTAGTCTTCTCCGTTGTGTACTGGGACGTGACACCGACAGGAGAAAACAGGAGTGCGGAGACATCACCAGACAAGCAAAAATAGTGACGAACAAAGTGCTGACATCTTGGTTGGGATAAATCAGACGTTCACGGCACTAACAACATTGAACACAGCACTTCTTTCACACTCGTGAATACACTAAGGCAATTGAAAATTACCAAACTCAGCGGTGATTGACAATCGCGACCTTCTCTCTCACGGAGCTAAGCAGAACGTGCGTCATAACTGCGCTGGTCGCTATGGCAATGTGATCATACAATTGGCGATTTGGCAAGTTTGGCTTATCGTATGCAAGCGAGAGATGCCATTCGAACCGACATCAAATTGTCTTTCTTCTGGACCCTGCTTGAAAATTCGATGAACTTCCCCTTTAACTGAACAGCTTCGCCCACAAGGGCAATAATCACCTGATCTAACCAGGAATTCTGCGTGTCACATGAAGTTGCTATTTTGAAGGTGGGATGAAATAGGCTCTATTGTATGGATGAGGGTTTCAGAGTGCCGAGTAAAATTGCTTTCGCCCAAAGTACCTGTGATCCAGCGTCCCCATATTGCAGGCCTCCAAAGCTGATCGCTTTTGCATTAAGAATGCATCGGGCACATGCCAGCGGCCCTCTTCTAGATCATCACCATCTGCAAATCTGGTATATGGCAGCGGGGTTCAGTTAGACCATATGCAGCTGATGAATCATGATTGCTACGACCTTGAACCAAGAAGACGACTCCACTCAGCTCTCAGACGACGACGCACAGGTTCCGAAAGTGTATCCTCCTTCACCGCTGGCAAAAGTAGCCCGGGACAAAAAGGGAGTAGGGATCAACAAACACCCTATGAATACAGTAAGGGGTTTCTTTTCTTCGCAGTGTACTCGTGATATTGAATTGCCTTGAGCTGAATACTGTACAATCCGGAGCGGTATAAGCCACACTTTCAACACCAGTTATCCAAACAAAGTCGGCGTGACAAATACATCATCGTAATGTTTGTCTACACACACATTGTATCGTCACACTACACACATTGTCATCTTGTCACACTACACACATTGTCATATTGTCACACTACACACATTGTCATATTGTCACACTACACACATTGTCATATTGTCACACTACACACATTGTCATATTGTCACACTACACACATTGTCATATTGTCACACTACACACATTGTCATATTGTCACACTACACACATTGTCATATTGTCACACTACACACATTGTCATATTGTCACACTACACACATTGTCATATTGTCACACTACACACATTGTCATATTGTCACACTACACACATTGTCATATTGTCACACTACACACATTGTCATATTGTCACACTACACACATTGTCATATTGTCACACTACACACATTGTCATGTTGTCACACTACACACATTGTCATATTGTCACACTACACACATTGTCATATTGTCACACTACACACATTGTCATATTGTCACACTACACACATTGTCATATTGTCACACTACACACATTGTCATATTGTCACACTACACACATTGTCATATTGTCACACTACACACATTGTCATATTGTCACACTACACACATTGTCATATTGTCACAGGCTTCTACTACGATGGTCAAATTGACCGTGATGTGCTGCCTTCTCGATACATACGTATGTACACTGTATATCATGTGCACATTCACATGTCTGAAGGTTTGTGGTTTTTCAATAAAAAATAAAATAAAATAAATGATTAACAGGGTAGATGTCTGCAGTTCATTGCAAAAGTCTGGCTGCGGTTTCTACAGCATTGCAGCTGACTGTACTCGGTAAAATCCAGTAAGTGTGCATTGTAATTGTGTTTGTGATTGTGTAAAGGCTTCTCATAGGACATCCAGAGGGTATCCCAGACCAGCTGGAGCTGCAGGAGACAGGAAACGATGTGGATGATCTCATGACAATGCTCGATGACAGTCAGATGCAGTATGCCCTGGGTAAGCATTGTGTTATGTGCCGCGCATGCACGTGCACACACGCACATGCATGCACGCACACGCGCGCGCGCGCACACACACACACACACACACACACACACACACACACAGAGCTATGCATACATGGCAACAGCAGGGCTGGTATGGGGAATTACGAGCTGGTACTGGAGACTGAACCAGTTAGAATGTGTGCACTGGCTGCGGGATCTCCAACAGCATAGACACTGCTCAGCCCATGGCATTACCTGCAAACTGACTTGACCATTTCGTTGACTACTGACATAATATGAAGGTGAGGTCCAGGGAAGTCACGAGCGCTGGTTCAACCAATATCGTGCCTGTTGGGTTTGACTGGAAAAGATTGATTTTGAAACAAGGTATAAAGTGCAAGATTTGTTAAAGCATTACTGCATTTTCTATCCCACATTGTGGTGAACATTCATCTAAGTATCCAAGTTGTCAAGCCCAAATCGCTCTTTGTACACCGTACACAGTGGGAGTACTGCAAGGCCGTCACAGCCGGGGTGGCTGAGGCCGCCCCACTTTTTCGGCTTTTATTTTTTTATTTTTTAGCATACTGCAACAAAGCGCGATGATCGCAGCTCAGCGCAAACGTGGCAATTCCTTGTCCCCGATCGTGGTTTGTTGCAGAATCAAAAAGTCAGATTTCATTGCAGTTACATGATTGTACACTGAAATGGCACCAAAATGCCTGGAAATGCTTGCAATTGGATTCAATTTTTGAATTCTTCCCGGGGGAGGGTAATGTCTTTTCCCGATCGTAGCGTCTTGGTGGTTTGTTACAGGATCCAAAAGTCTTTCATTGTACAGTCGTCGCCAAAAAAATCCGGCCAATGCCATGTATAAGCGTACATAGGTATGGTAGGTAGATCTACGCGGTACTTCATCTAGCTCGGGTTCATGCACTGGAGTGGCACCATGCATGCACTAGGCCCCTGGACAGCACTGAGCAGTACAGACAGTCTGCGCCGCACTCTGCCTGCTGCACAGCCTGCAGTCGGGTTGAGCACTGCGCTGAGTCTGGACTCTGGTTAGCATTTTACCGTTCACGCTATTTTCGACGGTCGGCCTGCACCGTTTTTTGTGTGTGCAGACATAGCATTTTACAGTTCACGCGTTAGATCCAACGGCACTCGTGCCCCAAACCCAAAATACCGTCGGTTTGGTACCGTTTCGACGATAGAAAGCTCTTTTTAGCGGGAGAACGAAACGGTAAGATTCCAACTAGGGTTACCTCACCCGTCTATCGTTGCGTCAGGAGTCAGGACTCAGAAGCCGAACTGCTAACCGTGTCTCTAAAACACATCAAAAACAGTAGACTCGCCCTCTACACGCCGACTGTCGAAAATAGCGTGAACGGTAAAATGCTAACCATGTCTATTGTATCATGGTGTATGCGGGCCTGTCAGTGTCAGTGTCATGACCCGGACTCGACTCGTCGTGAAAGCGACCACGCAATGAGATTCAGCAGCCAAAAGCTGGGCTCCGAAATATTCTAGAGTTCTGTAAGAACCATGATTAGTCCCGCGAAGGATTTGGCACTTTCGTTAGTTGAGCAATCATGGCTTACAACTCGTGGCCTCGAGTCACACGTGTTGTCGTACGGCGGCTACACCTTCAGTACAAGTCGTCAGCATTGTACTCACTACACTGTTGAGCTTGAGGGGACCCTGCTTAGTCCTGCAAGGGAGCTGATACCTTTGTTAGTCGAGCAAGCAAGGCCCCTCTTCTCGCGTCGTACGACGTAAAGGGTCCTGCAAGTGCTTCGCGCACTGCGGACTCCGTTATCCCTTTTTGGGAGAGGTCACGGCTTGACCGTGAAGCACCCTACGGGGTAATGAGAGGGAAGAGCCTACGGGCAGGAGATGAAGGGTGACCAACGACCAAGGCAGCGTACGGAGGCGGCGTGCTCTAGCTGCAGCAACTTCCGACAGCATACTCCAGGCCCCGTTGCACGAAGAGCCTCGGAGTCCTTTCATGTAATGTGGGTGAGCGAGCTCCCCGTATTGATTGATCATTCTTTGTACTATATTCTAGTTGGCTGATTGCACATATTGCACCACTGTTTGTAATATAGAAATAATCCTTACGCATTCTTGCCACTGTATACTTTTGATCACATAATGTAGCATATATAAGGAGCTGTTTTGCTAACATTCATTCTCGATTCTCGGGGAGCTCACTACTCCTCTCGATTCTGAGAGAGTCACTCCGACTCTCTCCTGCTTTGGTCTTTTGACTCTACACACGTGATCTTTCGATCTAGTACTGCAATGGTTCAAATAAACACTGTTCAAGTGGAATTAGAAACCTGTCGTTCTATGTGAGCTAGCAACTTGGATGGCGACTATATTGGTCGTCTACCTGGGTAGCCACTAGACTGATCTAAGCCAAGTCACAAACCCGCCGAAGCGCGGCCATGACATCATCATATGAACAGTGAACTGTGAAGTAGCTGCACTACATGTACCACTACCACTATGATAGCAGTGCATGGGGCCCATGCCATAGGCATAGGGCCCAGTACAGCTACCGGTAGCTAGGATTGCATTTGGCCGGATTTTTTTGGCGACGACTGTAGTTACCGTACACTGAAATGGCACCAAATGCCTGGAAATGCTTGCAATTGGCTTCAATTTTTGAATTTTTTCCCGGGGAGGACCCCCGGGACCCCTCCCCCTTCCATTGCCGCCCCACCTCCAAATTCGCTGTGATGGGCCTGGTACTTGGTGCAGAAATTTCCTCTTTTCACACATGTAAATGAGGTATATTCTTGACTTGTTTGCACTCAGTACGCATGGAGGAGACGATTGACGTGAGCGTAACCATCAAGTTTGTCTACATTAACTGGAACGGGAATGACGTTGGCTTCGCAGTGCGAGGACGGTATGGCGTGACGGAGGGAAGTGTTCGTGAATGGCTCTCGGTATGTGGCGGCTGCTGTTCTTAGAATTGCTTGGAAGAAGTTTATACATGCCGGGTCCTCTGCATGTCCAAATTTCAAAGTGAATGTGCTCTTGGCATACATGTATGAGAACTTTGTTTATGTCTACTGTAGGGACATTTTAAAGAATTTTTTGGGAGGTCGGCTATTTTGTGCATCATTGTTCTTCTAACATACCTGGCTCATATTTATGTTTGATGTGTTTTCTCCTGCGCAGCCGATTCATCTTGACATCAAGACCAGCAGCAAAGAGGAAACCTCATTTGACTACATCGCTGGAGAAATCGGTCGGCAGAGGTACAGCCACTGCCTGCAGAGCACTCTAGGGAGATATGAGATCATGAGATCCGTTTGCCATTGGGTTTCCTAAATGGTGGACAATCAATTGGGAACCCGTGCCGTGGCACGGGTGAAACATGGCTGCAACGGGTGGGAATTTCGGTCTTTGACCACTTGGGTGGTGCCCCCCCCCCCCCCTACTTTATGAGATGCATCTGTGCCTGGATCCTTTAGGGCGGTGACATTCCTATGGATGCGGAAACTTAGTCTGAACACGTATCATGCTTACCATTAAAGAAATTCCTAGACTGTTGTTCTGCGTTGTAATGAGAAGTGTAAAGAAGCACCATCACTTTGTTGTTTCTGTGTATTCCACTCTATGTCTTTGTAGTGGACAATTGAGCAAGGTTCGGGAGGACATTGACTCAAGACAGGTGAGTGAAAGCCTGTGCTTTTGAATCTACTGAAGTTCAATGACCTTAGTAGTGATGTGGAGAGGTACCATAATTCTCTGATTGTACGTTACAACCGAGTATAAAACGTACCCTACTGCACTGTCTGTGTATGTGTATGTGTGTGTTTGTTCACTGGGGGCAGGGGTAAATGCAGTTGGATCCTGGGACGGATACCCTGATGACGTCAATCCCTTTTCTGCACCTTATCTTCCACAAGTGGGGTCATGCGTTTCAAGCCCATCCGTCATCATCAATCATCATCATCATAAAGGAAAGCTTTACAATTCTTCGTACGTGTGTGTGTCTGTGTGTGTTTATGTGTGTGTGGGTGTGTGTATGCAGAGCAATGCTGGCAGCACTCCACACCGCCCTTCGGCAACTGGCGCAAGCAAACCTGCTCCCAAAGTATCGCAGAAGGGTGCAGGTAAGAACGATTGCAACACATTGTATGTATGCTGTCCGCATGCACATACCTGTGTGTGTGTGTGCACGTGTGTGTGCGTGTTTGCGTGTGTGTTTGCATGTGCGTATGTGTGTATGCATGACCGGAGAAAAAAATCCTATCCAAAGTCCTGATATGTTTTGCCGACGTGATTCCTTGTACAGATGTTGGAGTTGCGGATAACATCGAAGACGTTCTCAGTGAATTGCGAAACTCTGAATCCGAGGTCAATGCGTAAGTGTAAAAGATCAATGAACCCTATGTGTGTACAATGTAACATGATGTACTCTTACAGCTTACATCAACACTAGTTGAATCATATTTGCGAGGCAGACATCTTGTGCTGTTTCAAGAGCAAAATTGCAAGTTGACATATGGTATGTACAAGTAACATGCATGTGATTTCGTCGTCCAGCATTGCAAGCTGCGTTCGTTTCAGAGGTAGGGAAAGGGGTCCCAGTACGAAATGAACGATGTTCGTTTCAGGGACAACAGAAGACTTTTGCGACGACCCCTTACCAAGGGAGAGTGATGCTTGCGTGCACCAGGGTATCTGTCCATGACCCTTCTGTGTGGAGCGGCAGAAAGGCAGACTTTGGCCGTTCAATTTCCCTATTTCAGAAACCTATTCTTACTGTGTGAATGTGTACTACTGACACAGAGAATATTACCCCTGGGCTGGATTAGCGCTTTGCCTTGTAACTATGAGTTTGAAGGCTTGTCTGAAGAGCTAAGAGCATGACACTGACATGTATTTATTTGGCCTCCTGTATTGTGTATGCTGTGCACTCTCTAAGGAGCAAGCAAGTTCATTGGACAATCAAGTGCAAATTATAATATTGCTATGTGGTCTGCTGTTCCTAATGCTTCTGTCAGCGTTGCTCTGCACTTTCCCGAGAACAACGTCAAGAACGGTCTGCATGTATTGCACATTGGCAACCAGGGAGCGTCATGCCTGGCCGAATTCTTCACTGAGGATGCCGCAGTCTATGCCCTCATCAGAGTCGTAAGTCCTTTCCCGTCTTGAATGTTCTTGTTGCTCTTGCATTATGAAGAACTGTGCGGCTGAAATGGGAGAAGTGCTATTGGAACGGATGAATCCAGCCAGGATCTCCCTGTATATGCGGTCAATATGCTCAAGGAAATATAGCTGTACCTGTCTGGACTTGATCAGCCTCTTGGACACTGTGTCACAGCTTTTAATTTTGTTTCTCCTAGTGTGGCTGGTCTTGGCATTTACAATAGACAATCCATGGATGTTATTTATGAGATCTATGTGATGCGGAAAGGTAGTTCTTGACTTTATGCAATTACATCATCATTACATCATCATTTGCTGTCCTTGTACAGTAACATCATCACAATTATCAGTGCACTATGACATGCCATAGGTCCACATTCTTCTTCTGTGGTTTGTGTATTTCTCCAGGTTGACATTGTGGATGAAATTCCCACTGTGAAGTTTGCGCAGATCAAGTGGGTGGGTGACAAGGTCAAGCCCATGACCAAGGCCAAGATTGCCACGCAGACCGGCGAGATTGCACGCATTCTTGGCGTATCCTCACACCACCACTCCGACCACCCCCACCATCAGCACCCTACACCCTGGGAAACACACATGCACGCATGCGCATGCACACCCACCCATACACGCACACACACACACACACACACACACACAGTTGTTTTGTCCTAGTCCGTACGACTTGTTATCTTGCACACTACATCCTCATCGATGGCTGGGATCTCGTTGGCCCCCTGGGTAACTTGGTTTTGGTGGCGACTACTTTTTGGTATATGCGTGGAGTTCTGATGAATTGGGCAGACTCAAATTTCACGTGGGATCCAACTTTAGCCGGTAGGGCATACAGTAATAGATGTTTACCAGGTGTTTGGCTCTCATCTGAATGTCAAGACGTGCCACTACTTCAGTGCTGGCCAAAGAAACCCAACCTCATGAATAAGGTGACGCCGCGTTGGAGTGCACAGACCAGTATGTGTGGAGTGCTAGGGCTGCGCAGCGCCCGGCAATGCTGTTTTGTTCATAAGATTTGTACTTCTTTGGCCAGCACTGTAGTATCAAATCAAAAGCAGGTGGTATCTGACTACCTGTGGTTCACAGATTGCAAAAACCTTATTATGTACGACAACAGCAAATGTGATTGACACATAGTCAATTCTGACCGTTGGGTGAGAGACACCAGAGACATTTTTTTCGGTGAGCTCAACAGAGTGAACGATGTCGATCATCCCGTCTTCTTTGCTTTGTTGCCTTTGTCTCCCCGACCAAAGTCAGGTACAATGCTAACATTGTACCTGACTTGATTGGTCTCCTGTGGCTCGAAGTATTCCTCACACATATAGAGACTCGAACCCACTAGCCCTTGCCTTGAAGACCAGTGCTTCGCAGCCATGTACATTCTTAAAGTTGTTGTGAAGCGACCACTGCTAAAAGAGACTGCCTGTGCTAAGAGAGGGTCATCTTAAAGGGGAAGTTAAGGCAAAAATTAAAATTTCACCAGTTGTAGTCTTCGGGGTGCTGAGTCGAATGGTCTTGGTCCGAGGAAGCTGAGACGCTCCCTTCCTACTTGAATCCCAATCGAACTCGCGCACTTCCACCGAAACTGGGTGACTGCGCCCTACGAGATGGGGATTTGTATGCAAAATGTCACTAAAAGCGCCATTTCGTTCTTATAAAAGCACGGATGACCGCGATTGGCCCATATGTTGTAGTCTTTTGGACGCTGAGTCGACTGGTTTTGGTCCGAAAAGGCTGCGATGCAGCGTTCCGCCTTTATTCCCAATCGAACATGGTTGAACAAGCGGTCACGTGCTCCTGCGTACGCCAGTCACCTGGTCACCGTGCCTGCAGGGTACAACTTACTAGCCTGTTTGACCTTTTTTGGGTGCAGTCCTGTCACTCGAGTTGAACTCGAGTTGAACCTTGGTGTGAAAGTTGTCACCTGCTGGCGTGGTGACCAGGTGATTTGGGCACCCAGGAGCACGTGACCACTTGTTCAACCATGTTCGATTGGGAATAAAGGAGGAACGCTGCATCGCAGCCTTTTCGGACCAAAACCAGTCAACTCAGCGTCCAAAAGACTACAACATATGGGCCAGTCGCGGTCATCCGTGCTTTTATAAGAACGAAATGGCGCTTTTAGTGACATTTTGCATACAAATCCCCATCTCGTAGGGCGCAGTCACCCAGTTTCGGTGGAAGTGCGCGAGTTCGATTGGGATTCAAGTAGGAAGGGAGCGTCTCAGCTTCCTCGGACCAAGACCATTCGACTCAGCACCCCGAAGACTACAACTGGTGAAATTTTAATTTTTGCCTTAACTTCCCCTTTAAGCCTTGCACAATACCTCACCATACATGTTGACCGGTGTTGATAGATCCCCTGTATCTAAGAAATGGGTTTCTGTGCACACCGTGAGGTGGCTACAAAACACAGGTTTCAGTGTACATGAAGAATGCTGTGACTTTTTAAACTAGATTCTGAGTGCACGTGTCACAATGTCTGGTCTCAAGCATCCTATGTCGCTGAGCGGTGTGGATGATAGTCATTGTTTGAGTTACTTGGTGGAGTACATTCCGGTTTTCCCTGACCATGGAGCATACAGATAACTCATGTGTCCATCATGGCAAGCCATCGCAACGAGGTCACCGACCGCGCCGTTATGGACAAGGTCTCTGCGGCCAGTGGCTCCAAGAAGGTGGTTGGATAAGCGCCTGGGTCGCTGACTGCACTGCAGCGCCAAGCTATTTGCTGCGTGTCCACACTGCTGAAACAAGATGTGCACGATGCTCAGCAGTCACAGGGTATTGGTTACACATCCAGTACAGCCACGTCACAGAGTAACCTCTGAACTCTGCAAGACAGTATGATCTTTTTCTTCTTACCACTTTCCCCTTTCATTTAGTCTTTCTGGCAGAGGAGAGAGAGAGAAACAGATAAAAAGTTTGCTATGGTCACGACCTTGACAGAGGCCAAACAAATTATAGATGCACTTTTGGATACCGTTTGCCTGTCAGGAGCAGGGACCGCAGGCGCAGGCTTTGTGGGTAGATAAGTGGTCGTGTGCATTGGCTTAGCTCTATTCAATTCATGCAGTCTCCCCGCCTGCAACCTCTTCGTCTCATTGCTTGCATTCTGCTGGCCTCCAGCCTTTTTTCTCTGTTTCCTCGCGCGCTCTCTCTCCCAGTGCTCTATGGTCCAGCGCTCCCGGATTGGTTTGTTTAGCGTGTTTTGTTGACGCATTTTTGCATGCCTCACTTCATTAGCACACGACAATTGAACGCGCTTGTTTAGAGTTCAGATTACTACCGATGACTGGAGTTGTGGTATGGATGTCCGGCTGAGCTGGCCAAAATCACCCGTGTGAATGCCGCAAGAACCCGCTGCCATCAAGATGAAAGGTACAGTCGGGACATGTATGGTTCTCTGTGCGTTACACAATACTGTGGCCCTTCTCCAGGAGTGTTTCTTTTCTGGCCGCATTGGAACGTTTTACCCTGGGGAGCCAAGTGGAGCACGCACATGTAGATGCCATGGCAACTCTGGGTCGTGCACACATGGAGAAAGCCGGGAACACAAGTCAACTAGGTAATGCAGCAAACCTCTGTAGGCATAATGACATGTGGAGTGTCAGCACTAAGTTACTTGGTTGTTATGTAGCCATTGTTACCAGCTAAATGTGCGTGCTTCAAATTTGCAGTAGTTGGGATCATAAATAATTATTAGTCAAATCATAGACACCATACCCTGTTAAAAAGCTGCCCCTGGAAGTTGGAACCAACGATTTGAGGCAAGCTATGTTCATTCTTTCCAGGCATTTGCGAGAATAGTTAAGATTATGGTGTGCAGACCAGAAAATGTTTGCCCTTTTGGGAGAAGGTGCATCACAGCTGCTCATGGAGGAACCTCAAATCCAGGTGAAAGCACACTCCATACTCTCAGGTTCCAACTGGATATGTGAGTACAAACAAGCATTGAAAACAACTCAGGACATGCATGGGGTCTCTATGATTGAAATAGAATTTGGAATGTATTGGTGGAGAGTTCAAATAAATACAAGTCATGGTATTATGGATGTTAGACTTTGAGATCTCGTCTGTTTGAACAAAGTGACATCATCCAACATAACGTTGCGGACTACAACAGAATACATTCATATTGGGTAGATAAAAAGTGGCTACGCACAATTATTGAAGGCAGAAAATCGATTTTGTCAGAAAGTTCTGCTGACACACAGTAAGCCACACGGCAATCGTGTTCTACTTCCGATGCCAAGAACGTATTTTCACAATTTGTAGTACTCACGCAACTCTCATGATAAGCTGTTTCAAAAGAATGCTGCAAGACAGCATAAAGTGCCGCATCCGGAGTAGCCGAAGCCCAGCGTTTCCAGTATTCAAGAAGGTCCTGCGCTTTGGCAGAAACATTTTAATTCAAAGCAATCATGTGCAAAAACGTTTCTCAAGCAAAGATGCAATTCTGTAGCACGCATTGAAGTTTCCGAAATACGCAAATCATATCTTTCAAAAATTGATACTTGTGGTGGTGCTTCAACAGGCAATTTCAACTGCAACAGGTACGGATCTTTAGATAAACAGGGGTTTCTTACTGGTATGTTTACATGAGCAGAGCAGCGACAGAGTCTGGAACGTCTGTGTACATATCCGGCGGTTCGTCTTCATCAGCAGGGAATGCAAACGGCCCCGAAAGACTCTTGTTCTTTTTCGGGGCTCTGCCGGCTCCCAGTGGCGACAGTCGTGGATGCAACTCGGTTGCTAGCCCGTCGGCGTCGTCCATGACCATGGCGCGTTTTATCATGTTGCGCGTATCCTCGTCATCCTCATCGTCCGACGGCTGTGGCTCCTCGCGCTGGAACTGATGAACGACTTCCAGGCTGACTTCGCTGAAGGACACCCGGCGTCGCATCTTCTTGGCCTGATGAACACAGGTAGAGCACTGACTGTGGTTAGAAAACCTCCACCTGAACAGTTATAGTAAAACCTGTGACTAACGACCACCCCTTGCCCTTGGGGCCAGAGAAAGCGGTCTTTAGTGGCAGGTGGTCCTTAGTTAGAGGTTTGCACCGCACAACCATAATTATATGAATTTGAGACAGGCCGAGCCAGGCGAAGTGGTCTAGTACCAGGCTGGTCGCTAGTCACGGTGGTCTTTAGTTACAGGTTTTACTGTAGTACCAGGCTGGTCGCTAGTCACGGTGGTCTGTAGTAGCAGGCTGGTCGCTAGTCACGGTGGTCTTTAGTTACAGGTTTTACTGTAGTACCAGGCTGGTCGCTAGTCACGGTGGTCTGTAGTAGCAGGCTGGTCGCTAGTCACGGTGGTCTGTAGTAGCAGGCTGGTCGCTAGTCACGGTGGTCTTTAGTTACAGGTTTTACTGTAGTACCAGGCTGGTCGCTAGTCACGGTGGTCTGTAGTAGCAGGCTGGTCGCTAGTCACGGTGGTCTGTAGTAGCAGGCTGGTCGCTAGTCACGGTGCCGGTCTTTGGTTACAGGTTTTTACTGTACTTCTACTGGCATGCTCACTGGAAACCAGCCTCGTGACATTAGCCGGCTAGTGCACTGAATGGTCGCATGACCCATGCAGTGTTGATAGCCTATGTCTGCACAGTGGCCAGCGCTGAACTGACTGATGAGGCTGGATTCCCGGACTGAGCATCAATACGAAAATGATAGTCTCTGGTGGGTGAGAAAGGACGCCCCATCCATTTATGTGGTCATTTGCCAGTGTAGAGAAAGGGTCCAGTGTACTTTAAGTGCCCGGCATGCTGGTAATACCTATACGACACAACCTTGACAACACCGCACTAGCATGGCACAAGCTTCAAGCATGACAGGACGAGTACCGGCAGATAAATCATAACCTCATCAATCTTCCACCCAAACGAGTACCACATAAGAAAAATTAATGGGAATTTCGGATCGCCGACCACTTCAGTGACGCTCTGCATGCATTGACAGCTAGGATTATCCTCCATAGTTCGAAACAGCTTTGCCAAGACGGATTTTACCGACTTGATGCAGTTAGCATTGCGACATGGTGATTTGAAACGTCTATATCATGCATCTGACCACCTACAATAGAATTCTATGTGATATGAGGCTACAGTCATACACAGAGCATGTGATATCTGTACGCACCGTCTTCCGTTCAGGAGTCAGGAGAATCGAGTGTCGCCGTTGCCTGCGAGATGCTGGAGAGCCCGTAGCTGAGGCAGGTGCACTGGATGCACCCTCTGAGCATCACACGATAACAGCACATACACACAACACATACACACACACACACACACACACACACACACACACACACACACACACACATACACACACACACACGAGCCACAATAAGATTGGATTGATATCCATTGCTGCAGGTTTTCAAGTAGCTGCTCTGACTTTTCTAGCTCCATTTGTCACGACACCGAGAACTAACAGTTAGTAGCAGTTAAGCATTCCTGGTGACTCGGTCTGCTATATCAATCACACTTTACTGCCATCAATGATTTTGTATTTGTATTTAATCCACATTCTTCATCGCCGTATACTGCGCATCATATTTCGTACTGATCGTTATACCTCAAATCTAGACTTGTATGCTGCTGCATCCACTACCACTCTGCAACATTACCTTGATGCTTCCAAGTGCACTCTGGCACATTCAATTTTTCTTGACCAGCACCCTGCTCATTTACAGTCCCTTTTAAAATTGGTTCAATTCAGGTGGCACCGCCCGAAGCTGCGTTCGTCTCCCCCTAGCTAGGTCTACCCTATTCGTAAATTCCCCTTTCTTTTCCTCCTACTCCACGTGGCTCCAACTGCCTCCCAGTGTTAGACAAGCTCCAGATATGCCCAAATTCTGTACCCTCGTCAGACAGCACTTCAGTATCTCCCAGTAAACAAAGTCACAGTCACCACTTCCGCTGCATAGCTCGCTGAGCATTGCTAATCCCTTCCCACTTTGTGTACGTGCTCTTCATTTTCTTTTTTCTCTTCTTCCGTGGTTGGTCTCACCCTCTCCTCAATTCAATTGGCTGTCTTGACATGCCACGAGGTGCAGAAATAAATAAATAAATAAATTTCCTGGCTCGTCAAACGACTGCCAATGACAAAATGAATGTGAAATGAAGGGTGATAGCCATTTAAAATCAATGACGCCGTTTTTTGATTGGCGCTAGTCGTATGGCTGCATCAAATTAGAGGAGCCGTAGAAAGACCGTCTGGGCTCCTGTTTCCAAACCTTTGCTTTAGCAAGTCCTTGTGAAAACGTCTGTATTACCTCACAAAACTAGCACTGAAGGGAAAGCACTGTCATACTCTGTGAAGGTGCACAGAAATTCATTGCAATGTCCCATCCTTACCTGCGCTCAGCTTGCGTAGTTTGGCCGGATCCAGACTGAACGTGCGCAGCATCTCCTTGTCGGCAATGAAGTCATCGATGTTTGTGCTCTCTAGAGGCTCGTTCGGGCTCCCTTCCACCTGCATCACCACTTTGGGAGGTTGCTGGGGAGTGTTGTTGCCATGCTTAGTAGCTTGTTTAGTGGATGGAGACGGCGGCTTGCCTTCGTTGCTGGTCTTGCGCTGCACCTTACCTACCTCTGTCTGCCTTTCCTCGTTGCTGGTTTTGCGCTTTGCACCGGCTGCCTTCGCCTGTAGTGCCGCGGCCGCATCCCTGTCTCTCTCCTCGGATATTCTCCTGAGTCGCAGAACATTCGAGCTGGGTAGGTCAAGGCTGTCCGTAACCTTGAGTTCTGGCTTGGTGTGAGGTGCTGCTGTAGAGCACTCACTGGACCTGCTGCCATCCACAACCTTGCTGGTACCACTGGTTTCTGGCTTGCTGGTTTTGGACAGTTTGGGTGAGGACGTGGCATCAGCTCGCAGGCGGGCGCTCAACAGTACAGGCGATCCTGGAGCTGGCTTGTCCGCAGTCTTTTGGCTGAACAGATTCCTTAGCACAGACACCGATGACTTGTTGCCGCTCCCAGATGACGGTGTCTTTTTTGCTTCGCCATCACCAGCTTTCCCAGCATCCCTTGTTAGGGTACTGGTTCCGCGGGTCGACGACTGAGCCTCTCCGGGTCTACCTGCGGCATTGGTGCTCCCGTTCGGCGTACTGCTGCCAAAGGATCGCGGCAATGTCGAAGCTTGATGGTTAGTCTTCTCGACCGGTTGTTGCTTGCTGGACGAACTGAGTCGACTCAGCACAGGACTGCCGTTTTGCTTCGACGCTGGCTCTCCGAACAATGTTCTCCGACTGCTGGGGCTGCTTCGACCCACGCTTTTCGACGAGTCCCGCTTCTGCATCCAGGCAGCAGTCGGCTTTGCGCGCGCCTCTGACTCAGTCTTGGCGGCGGCGGAACCTCCCAGCACGTCATCCTTCTTGTCTTTGTTCTTGGATCGGAGCTTAGCCATCCAGTCCGGGGTTGCTGCCGATGTGACCACCGCCATTTTCGCAAGCTTAGATCTACTGAAATCGACCGCCTAAGGAAGAAGAGTACTGCCTGCGCAAGACCACCTCTCTTTCAAAACAACCAGCTTATTTTCGAAAACACTGCGGTGTTATCAAGTGGTCAGATCAAAGGGGCGTCTTGTCCTACAATGCAGCCTCCAGCAATGCACCTTAGCAGTGCACCTTAGCAATGGGATGCGGATCACAACGCTCTGCTACCGAATGATCGGAAAGGTTCGCGTGGAAAGGCAGTCTACTCTTCTAAAGACAAATGCAATACCAGGCACGTATTGCTCTACAGCCAAGACTGAAGAAACGCTTCGCGAACCCAAGTCAACTGAACAAAAGTTACACGAAAGGTGCGAACCTGCTGATGCCAGTGATGGACGTTGTACGCATCGCTGACTGATCAGTCACTCACAGTCACAGACCGGCTGCTGCACTGCTCTCGGCATGTCATGTCTCAAGACTGGAACATATTTGCTGAGCTGGAAATGGAGATGTCACCTTGTGACTGAAATCGCCAGCTCAGCTTCATTGTCCTTTCCCGAAGTAGGCAGCAGCGGCCGTTATGAGTTATGGTCTTTCGGCCATACACTCCGGCCTATGCGTGGGTAGGTGTTGTGTAAGGTAACTGGTTTAGTGCCAGAGCTGAGGTGAAGTGAAGGTCCAGCTCTGCACGTTCTGGTCATGTCTTGCGGACTGTCTGACAGCGCTCGCGCTCGTGCGAATAGCCCGCCTTGATCGTCGCTCACCAGATCCTGCCAGTCTGTCACTTTCACTCCCAAGTAGTTGTAGCTGTCTTCCCTGCTATCATGATGATGTGTAGATCTACAGTGTGAATATAATAATGCATTACTCCATTAGTGGGCTGCTTGGTCCAAGTAATAGTATTAGTAGTTTGGAAATGACTCGCGCAACTGAGCACTCAGGCACGGAACAGCGCCGCTGGGCTGTGAGAAACCGCAGCCTGTCTCCTGCCGACACGGAGCCGTGTGCAAGTGAAACGCTGTGTGTGTTCTCTCTCCGCCACATGTTCACCGGTATACTGCGGTCTTGCCTTCTAAAGTTCTGTACTCATCGTTCTGCATGTATTTGGTAGCTGGCAGTAGGCGACGATATGGTGCGTGGGATACTTTTCTCGTCGCGTATTGATTCGTATGGTGTAGCAACCACGGGATCATGACAGTGCCTTCGGGAAGGCAATGGGACTTGACTAAATATAGGAACAGCTGGGGTGAATGGCGAATGGACGCTGAATAAAGCAAGTACAGTCTGTAACACGATAGTTTCAGCTCCGGAGTCCGTATACAGTGTGGTCAACCATGGTGAGTGCTGGTACAATAGGACCAGGAAATGACGTAGGAGCATTCCGAATATTGTGCTTGCCCAATGTTTCACCTCAGTACCCAAGCATTCGAGACATTTGTATTCGTCCAAGCGCACGGCATCTTTGTGGAGCGTCAGTGAGCATGAGAAATGGTTTAGGCTTAGCTAAGCAATTTGGGCGCTGCCAGGTGGAATACACTTCCACCGGCTTGCCGCATGTCTAGTTCACCAGCTGAATTTCGCTCATCCATCAAATTATACCTAGGGTTCCCTGTAAAAAGGCGCTGACGCCTGTTGGGAATTCCCTAGTAAAAGAAGAATAAATAATAATAATAATAATAATAATAATAATAAGCCAATGTAGCAGAATGGAGATGGGTGTTCAGTAGTTGCGCAACTGTTTCTGTGAGTAGATCTGCTGTGTGGAATTCAAGCCTTTGCCCCATGGCCCACCCCTCTCCCGATGCCAGAGCCGCTAGTAGAGCCATAGTGATCCACAGTCAGTACATGTACTGTACTTATGATATAACCTAACACTGGTTAAAAACCAGTATTAGATAACCTTGTTATACAATTGCATGAACAGTACTGTACTTCCATAGGTAATGCAGATCATGCTCACCTACAATGTTGTCATACTTGCACAGGCTACTACCACTAGGTTGCTACACTGCTGAGCACATGAACCAGCAGCGAGTCGTGGAAAGAAATCCTGACCAGGACCGGGGAGCCGAGAAAGCCCTTTCACGACTCCCCGGCCCTGACTACCGGTACTATACTGTCAGTACTGACTACAGACGTACAGTACAGTACATGATCGCCATTGATCGGCTGACGTGACAAGCACTGAATCGCCGTGTCGGATGCGTTCACACTTCTGATCGTCATTCAATGATTCATACCGCAACATGCTGCGATTGCATGATGCTGCCCCTTGGGCGCCGGGCGTTGACTTGTGCGTGCGGGTAAGGACACCACATACTGCTCGAAAATAGTTACTACTACTTTGTACAAAATTTAATATTGTAGTTTTATCCACTTTACAATTTTTAAAATTGTCCATTTCTCTTCCGAAGTCGGTGTCTTGTAGCGCAATACACTTGTCCAGAAACCTGCTGTGGCTTCTGCCAATATCGGAATGTTATCTGGTCTCGCTTCCGGCCGTTCTTGTAGAAGCAGGTGCAGTTTGCCTTTCCGGGAAACTGTTTGGGTATTCCTTGGCGCTAGCACTCGTAGCTACTTACTGCGATACTCACCAGCGGGTAAGCGGTCCGTTAGTCGTTGTGCTGATACAATATACACCATTTTATAATACACGGTAATAATTATATCTCCGGCAGGCTGCAGGCGGAGCTCACCGGAAGTGGAAGTCATGCGTGACTCGTGTAATGGCGAATGCCCAGGTCAAGATCTAAGAGTCAAGGCGTCCTAGATCCTTGCAACAGCACTGCCAGATTGCATTTCGGAGGCTCGGCCTTCGAATGTGACAGTGTGTTAGGCCCAAAATCGCTCCGTTTTCATATAATTCATAGCGTTTTAAAGACAAACACATTCCACCTCATTTCCCGCCAAAACCAACCCTTCCCAGAATCTCTTTGGCCTTTTTCTTCGCTCCGTTTTGTGAACGTTTCAATTATTTACTTCTCTCTGACATTCTTGTCACAACCATGGCCTCGTAAGCAACGCCACATGCTCATATCGGAGCAGTGTGCATGCCTTGCTGAGCGGAAACTCAGTGGCATCGGGTCGCGACCCGGATTCCAATCGTGACTCGGAGCTGGACGGAAATCCAGTTTACTGAGTTGAACGATTTGCTCAACAGGAGCTTGAACGGCCGTCGCTGAGCGGAAACTCAGCACGGTTCGATTTGACGGACGGAAATCCGTCAGTAGAATTTGCCCGATCGTCAGCTACTAAAAGCTGTATTCGATCCGCAGGTACTGGCGGCTGCCAGTAGATTATTTCGATCACTCGGAGCTGGACGGAAATCCAGTTACTGAGTTGGACGATGTGCTCAACAGGAGCTTGACCGGCCGTGGCTGAGCGGAAACTCAGCACGGTTCGATTTGACGGACGGAAATCTGTCAGTAGAATTAGCCGATCGTCAGCTCCTGAAGCTGTATTCGATCCGCAAGCACTGGCGGCTGCCAGTAGATTATTATGTATTCCGATCACTCGGAGCTGGACGGAAATCCAGCTGCTGAGTTGGGAACTGGAACGGCCGTGGCTGAGCGGAAACTCAGCGCGGTCCAATTTGACGGGCGGAAATCCGTCAGTAGAATATTAGATAGTGATACTAATATTCTTTATTTCCACGATGGCCATGCCTTGTATACAGAATAGGAATTGGCCTATGATTGATTCAGATCAGTCTGAAATTAAAATTAATACCGCGTACCGGTAAATAAAAAAAATTAATTACAAAAAAAAAAAAATTACAAAACATTTTTTTATTTTATTTTAATCTACAATCTCTGCGGACACTGGAACAGCATGCTGTTTCATCCTTCATGACTGTGGACTGATATGATCATCAGCGCAGCATTGAGAAAATGAGGCCAAACCTGATACCAATGGAAAATATATTTTCCAAAGCCTTATTATTATACTTTTAATCTACATGTCATGACATGTAGCAAGGGCCAGGGAGAAAGCCTGAATGACAGCTGCTGGAAGCTGTATTCGATCCAGAGACGCTGGCCGCGGCCAGTAGATTTAATTATGATCGTGTTCGATTGAGGCTCCTGTCATGATGCAGGATACTTACATGTATGTTGACAAAACAGTCCACGTACTTTGCCCGACCCAGCCATAACCAGATAACTGCGTAAGGTGTAGCTGCTATGCAACAATAATGGCGGAGGCACATGCGAGACCCCGCACACCGTACTACAGACACGTTACTGATGCCAAGGGCTGATGATGTGGTTGGTTGCTGTGTATGCCAATGCGTCCTTATCCAAAATGAGGCGGAACTGGTTGATAGAAGCCAAGCACAAGCTCTTGGCTAAGAGCTGTCGGAGACTGGAAATCTCAGTGGCAAAATGTTTTCCGCCAAGACCATGAAAATGGTTAAATCAGGCAATGCCCTGGTGGATGCATCGCACCTATTGCGAGCACAGCGTCACCACTAATCCCGCTTTCAAACTATGCGGCATTCCACAGTCCCCTCCGTTCTGCTGTGACACCTGCCCGTTTAGCGGCCGGTCGCCCCTTTTGGCGCAGGGGCCCCTTGCCATTCGGAGGCTACCGACCGGGGCCCCATACCAGACCAATCGGTCGTGGCATCCCCAGTGGTCATCAGCACAGAAGTGGAAACACTCCCCGGTGTATCGGACAGCCTGGCGAGAAGGCTCTCAGGGGCAGTCCAGCTCGGGCCCGACATACGCACCAAGACCCCGCAGACTCCTTTGTCACTACGTCAAGCATTGGAGTGCATTATTATTATTAGTATGGTCATGTTCGCGGTGGATCGCTTATGTTATGTACAATACCCGTTCCCAGCTAACTGGGAAAAGAGATCTGCTGTGCCCCATGCCATGGGTACGGGTCTTACTTTATAGCCTAGGTGTGGTGAAGCTTGCTGTTGAGAGCTGCGAAGCCTTATTGGCAGGATGGTAGCATCCCGGATAGCAATTTGCCTACTTGTAGCGTTGCTTTGATTTCGGAATCTTCAATTCCAGTTACACCGGGCTCTGGAGCGGCCTTGGACAAGAATATGTCTGACGCTCGAGCCTCAGGACGGCTTCCTTGCAGTGGTGGTCACACCAGTCGGCAGCACACAATGCCATGGCAGTAGTGCCAGCCCCGCCAGTTCTAATCATATCATCGGATGCATCCGACTACGGTCGGGGCGCAGTGTGCCAGAACCGGGCCACGGGAGGGCCATGGACACATCTGGACAACTACTTACTTCCGCATCAACTGGAAGGATCTTCAAGCTGTTTTCCTGGGCCTGCAGACGTTTGCTCTTGCCAGTCACTGATAACAGTATTGCTGTGCTAGAGATGGACAACACAACAGCAGTTGCATAATTATGTTGATCACCAAGGCGGGACATACGAGACTCATATTCTCATCAGCTATGCCAACTAGCCAAGGACATTTGGGCCTGAGTCGAGCAGCGCCTGCTACACCTCAAAGCCCTCCATGTGCCGGTCGCCTGAACACTGAGGCCGGTTTTCTATCATGGAACATTGAAGAGAGCGACGATTGGCAGCTCAATCCAATTATACAGGGCTGGTTCAGCTCATCAGGGAGAGTCGCCATCCAATTGTCCGAGATCTGTTCGTGACGCAGCACAATTGCCAGCTGCCGGTGTACATCAGCTAGCCACGGCCAAGACCAAGTGGCAGAGTGGTCCGATGCCCTGACGGCACCGCCGGCCATGTGGCGGAACGGCTACCTGTTTCCACCATTTGCTTTGGTGGACGCGTGTCTACGCTGCATCCGAGAACATCGGATCCAGCGAGCAATTCTAGTAGCTCTAGTTTAGCTGGTACAAGGGTTCTATCCCTTCTTGCTGCAGATGTTGATCTAGTGCTCTTGGCAGCTGCCACAGCACGACCCTATGCTCCTTGATCCATGGGAAGAATCTACATCCACTGCAGGGCCTCCGGCTAGCCATTTGGACCATGTCAGGCATACTACAGCTCAGCTGGGACTTTCAGCAGACGCCTCCATACGGAGGCGCGACGGACCTACTGTCTCATACGAGTCAGCCTTCCGATTATGGAACAGCTGATTGGGTGCACGGTAGGAAGATCACATGGCTGCCTCACTAACTAACTTCTTAGCTGATCAGGTTTCCGAAGGTAAGCAGTACCGCACTATCAACATGTGTCGGTCAGCTCTGCCGTCCCCCTTGCCTAACCCATCCGGTTTCCCCCCTAGCCAAGACTTGCATGGGTGTTGTGTCCTGCGTGGTATCTATCACCACTAGCGACCACCACAGCCATAGTGTGGTAACACATGGGACGTGAAGATGATGTAGGATAAGAGTAGTGCTCTGGCCTCTGGGTCTGAAAGCTCAACTTCGGGTGCCCCTTCTGTCCAGGAAGACTTAGTGTGTAATGCTAGCATTATGCTACTTGAGTTTGCAAAGTCAGCTCGATCATTTGAGCTGACCTCATTGGATATCAACTAAATGGAGGTGCTACTTGATGTTTCAGCTTACCTCGCCGACAAAGTCTCAGAGGTCCGGAAGTCCAAACTCATTCTTCGTTCCCAAGCTACTACTAGTACTAGGTAGTCTGGCTAGCCTACAAATGTAGTTGATTATGCCCGAGAATTTAGAGCCCGCACAGCCAAGTTTCGATTGAAACCAGAGAAATCAGCATTCTACCACTGGCTTGGCAATCCCAGCGCCTCACATACCAGTGGGCTCATCCACTCTGGCACAGTGGCTGAAGGGTATCTTGTCTCTGTTTGGGAATTGATCCCTCCTTCCAGGCTCATTACACCTACTCGCGGCGCCTCGGCTGCAGCCGCTTTCCAGGCTGTCATCTGTATGTCAGATGCCTAGCTGGCAGCCAATTGGAGCCAGCCTGATACATTTGTATCCCACTATAATGGTCACAAGCTGTGCTCAATAGCTCAGCCATTCATAATCATCCTTCCATTGTCCCTACTCAGCTGCTGCCTCTCCGGACTGAGGGTGCCTATGTTTCACCTACTGATAGTGCAATCCGTGGTAGTAACCCAACTGCAGTATTGAGTATTTGTGGGAATATCCGAACATTGCATTCATGTACAATGTATATGTAGTCTGGATGAGTGGCACTGTCTGTGCATCACTTAGGGTGCCGTAAATTGTGTGGAGGTTTTCTCTTGTCAGGCTATTTACCCTGAGGAGTGAGTGCTGTTGTCCATGTTTGCACTGGATGACGTTCAACGGTTGTTATGCTATAATATTGCTTTTCCAGCTCTATCACTGTGGATAATACATGTTTGAGCAAGTATTGGGATTTGGTCTCAGCCTTGTCTTTAAAAATCACACTGTCACATTCGAAGGCCGAGCCTCCGAAATGCAATCGTAAATTCCGCTAGGACCCTAAAGGTCTGACGTGGAATTAAGGTTGCATAAGGAGGTGAGGCTGAGAATGTGACAGTGTCCCACCCTCCCAGTGCAGTGATACCCCAGAACACTGTCACAGTAATCCATTCAAGAAACGGCTCAGAAAGGCCAAAGAGATTCTGGGAAGGGTTGGTTTTGGCGGGAAATGAGGTGGAATGTGTTTGTCTTTAAAACGCTATGAATTATATGAAAACGGAGCGATTTTGGGCCTAACACACTGTCACATTCTCAGCCTCACCTCCTTATGCAACCTTAATTCCACGTCAGACCTTTAGGGTCCTAGCGGAATTTACGATTATCCAGGTACATGTACATGTATAGTAGTAGATCTACCATGCATGAGGCATTGTGTACGTACAGCGCACACCATGGAGTACTAAAAACGGTTTTTTTAGTACTCCCTGCTGAGTTGCTGGTGCTACACACCGTTATCAGTGATCAGGTGATTACTGCACTCTGGCACTTGTACAGTGAAACGTCAATAATTTTATTCTTGTCTCCACTCCAGGGGACATGAAATACAGTAATCTACTATAGCCACCCTCCATATCCTCTATATATCCTCTATATATCCTCTATATCCTCTATATTGGAGATGAAAGGACTGGAAATGGATACATGTATCCCCAGGTGCTTCCAAAAGTACTTTACTCCCACTTCTTTCACAATCTGTCCCCTTGACATTACATGTAGTGGGCATTAGACTTTCGAAACAAAAACAAGATTCATGATCAGGACTCCTGGGCGAAGATTTGATTGAGATGATGAAAGCATGCAGCAAAGCTAAAGAGGTCGCCTGTGTGGGTGATTCTGTGGGGGGGGGGGGGTTCTCACTCTTCTGTTTTAGAAAGGCCAGATAACCTGACAACTAAACTAACTACTTTAGATACAAGATGAAGAGAAAAGGCCTGAGTACAAGTTGTTTATAGTATTGTGCTACCTGCTGTTGACACAGTCATGCTACCTGCTGTTGACACAGTCATGCTACCTGCTGTTGACCGTCACATGGTGACACCTCCCTTCCTTTTCTTCTTTTGATAATGCTATTTTCCGTGGTTGGATTCACCCTCCCTTTCTTGTATTGGCTATGTATTATTATGTGCCATGAAGTGGAGACGATATATAAAAAATAAATAAAAATATCCAGTTTTTATACTAATTACTGAACAGTTTCACTGTACACTTACGGCCACTGACTGACTACTACTAAAACGTGTTCATTATTGAACGGACAAACGCACAAACCAAACCAACCTGGCTGCTACTACTTACTAGAATTGTAATATACGGTCATGTAGTTCTACTCTGAGTCACTATAGTAATAATAATAATAATAATATATAATATTCGCGGGATCCGCGTTAGCATCACTTGAATGTTCAGAAACACACAAGCTATAGCCTTCGCTTCCGCAGGCCACCACTATGCCTTTACACCTTAGTGGCGAATGCAGACCTCACAAGTGAGTCAGGGGAGAGGAGGTGAGTCTCTCAACCAATCGGGCGTGTAACGGCCCATAACCCTGTAAACTGCATCCTTGTTATCCTCACTCGAGCTGTGAGTACCCAGTTGACCGTGGGTGTCGGCGCAGTTCAACACGCGTAAAAAGTCTTTTTACACGCTCCCTGCTGCCAGCGCGGGTCTCGAACTCGGGACCTCATGATTCGCAGCCAGGCCTGCAAACCAATCGGCCATATGCGTTGGTCTAGTCACTATAGTGGAGATTGTATATAAGTCATATAACGACACTCCTTTGGGAGAGAACGAAATGTCATCATATTTGATCTGTCACTAAACCCGATCTTCACAAAGGACTTACTAAACGACTTGGGCAACAGCGCCTTTGATCCTAGAGGGTGGTGGCGTTCCCACGGCGAATGCGGAAAACTCGGCTTCCAGCCGAGTCTCACGCGAACCATGAAATTTATTAATTTGGGCAACAGAATTGTGTCGCAAAACTCAATCTGTCGTTATATACAAGGTCGTTATATCCGATCTCCACTGTATATTTATAATGATGCCTGTGAACGTAGATCAAGAAAATGCTGTAACGGTGCATGAGTTGCACAAGCCACTGACCCCTTCAAGGTACGGCGCACAATGGCCACTTTAGAAAAGGTAAGACTTTTCATTGCACCACGACCGCCGACCGCAGTACATGCAAACTTCTGGCAATACAAAATCCAATGGCCATACAACACGCTGGATCATCCTTTAGTGAACTGATGTAAGCATCTTGTTCTGTCATGGATTGAGATCAAAAATCGTGCAGAAGAAACTACACCTACACGAGCCATGCCAAAGTTGTCCATTGAATTAAAATCTCCTCAAATGGCAAAGATCAACATACTAGTGCCCGAGAATCGGGATCTACATACTGCAGACTCATTTGACGATTAAAACATGGCCGAAGAAAAACCGGGCAAAACGTTGTAGTCACAACAACCGTGTATGATTATGATATTTTTTAAAGTTGCTGCAAAAAAACAATAATGTCCAGCATGCTGAAAGATGTGAGACGTGACTAGTGGCAAAGTTCAATTGCAAGGGAATAGATTCAACTTGATGTGAAGAATTTAGTAGAAATAGAATGAAATTCATGGCACGTGCACGTGGAGTCAAAGTGCTAACAGAGTGTCATGGTGCAGCATCCTTGTCGTTGGCATCTGAACAACCAGCAAGAGCACAAATACCTTCGTCAGAACTAGAACATCACTCACGATGCTTTTTATTTCTAACCCCATCCTCGCTATAACACGCGCACACACGCACACAAATGCACATACCGTGACAAGCACACATACACATACACACACACACACACACACACACACACACACACACACACACACACACACACACCAGCATCTGCTGGTGCTTAAACACTGGTGAAGGTTTTACCCCGGCTATACAAAATTGCACATGTTGCACTTAGACACAAGGGGCATTTTCTGAGTGATTTCCTGGCAAAGGCACAGTCATGTAAAAAGGGTAATGATCATACAACATGTTATTGTATTGTTTGTACCTTGCACGATTTCTAGTCACGGTTCATCTTTAGGGCTGCTACTGCCCCTATACGAGTGCATATACACGTGATGAAAAGCAGCTCGCACCAGGCATGTGGACTGATTAGTAAAGAAGTTCAATTTTTTTAAACTGACCTTGGCAGGTTGGTAAGATTCCAGTCCATCCCAGCTGGTTGTTGCCTGCACGCTGACATGTGCGCGTGGCATCCCCGAGGACATTGAACCCGGAGCGGCACGTATACGTCACCGTCGTGCCTTCCGGCCACACCGTGGTGCTCAGAAAGCCGTTGTCGGGGATACCCGGCGAGTCGCACCGCTCAAGCTCTGTACATGAGAAAGGCAAACAGTGCGGGCTGGGCTTGACTGATCGTGACACGAATTATTGTAGTGCTAGGTAGTACTAGCAGGCGAGTAGCCCGTATGGGGCACGTCACCCCCCCCCCCCCCCTAAAAATTTCAACCTAGGTTCAGCATGCACACGATGACCATAAATGACACCAGCCGTCCTACACATATGTGGCCGTGCACCATTAACTGTGGATCGCAACACGGCTGGAATGAATCATTCCGCTTCCAAGCAGAGAGATGCTGCTCAAGGACATGAGTAAATCTTACGTTCACATCTTGCCTCGCTTGAGCTCCACTGTCCGGATGGTGTGCAGACCCAGGTCTGTGTACCTTGGAACAGGTAGGTTGCATCACAGAAGAATGTCACTGAGCTGTCCACCAGGAAAGGACCATCACTGGAATGACCTCCATTCAACGGTGGATCAGGGATCGGGCACACTGGCGAGACAAATGCACGGAGCGAAAAGACAGATGGACAGACAGACAGACAGACATGGGCAGAGACAGAAGAAAAGAGAGAAACAGAGAAACACGAAATAGAGACAGTTAAAGAATGATACAGAGTCAGACAAAGAAACAGGGAAGAGTGAGAGACAAACAGAGAAACCGAGAGATCGAGAGATAGAGACAGAGAGACAGGGAGCAAGAGAGAGAAACTTGGTTACCTCACTTGTGCCATGTTCAGGCTAAATTCTTTGCCACTTGGAACTACTCTTCTGGAACCACTAGGCATGCCAATGGTTGTCGACAAGGCGAAAGATATTTCTGAGATTCCATAGTGCATGTGTTGTCTGACTTCAATGATTACATAAAATAAAATCCAGATCAAATAACAATGACTGCTACAGAGGTTATGCGAATGATCTCATGGCGCGTTTTCTAATGGGCGCTAAGTATACAACAGGAGTCAGCGGACTTTTTAATGGGCGCTAAGTATGCGGCATGAGTTTCTAGTGCAAGTGCAGTGCTGTGCTGCGCGTCCGCTACTTGGGCGAAGCATCTCAACTGATGGTGTAATCACACCAGCTCTATAGCGCTCCACAGGTTGCAAGCTGCAGCACACGCCACATGACACGGTTCTCATAACTCACATATGGGCATGCAGAACGGCAGAAAGCCGGTCCATGTCCGGTCGGCCTGGCAACGCCTCACGGAGTCGCCACGGAGATTGTAACCACGGTTGCAGTCGTACGTCACCGTCCTGTTGTACGTGTACTGCGTCCCCGTGATACGGCCATTGTCCGGGGCGCCAGGGAAATCACAGCTTACAACTGAACACACACCATGTACATATACACACACACACACAAACACACACACACATAAACAACAAACCAGGCAATAAGATAGACTTCTCACCGCTTTGACCTACAACTTTTCACAACCCACACCCAATCGTACATCAGAATCCATAAATGTGCAGAAAATCATTTCTCCGGAAGTAGATCTACTCTTAATAAAAAAGCAGTCAAAACTCACTGCATCCCGGACATAACCCAGCGAATCTTTACACTCCCGGACATGACCCACCCACCGGCCAGTATATCATAGGCAAGTCACACTCACTCAGTACCACCACAGTCCCGGGACATAACATCACAGGTAAGTCAAGTACAAAGAAAGGCCGAGAAAACTGTGCAAGCATCTTTGGGACTGTGAATTGCACACACAAACCAGCCATCAGACGGCAGCATCGTCAACTTACGATCACACCCAACCACTTGTGGCTGCCAATTGCCATCCTGCTGGCACATCCAGACCCCAGACCCGGTAAGGTCGTAGCCGACAGCACAGCTAAAGGACACGGTGGAGCCTGGCTCAAACGGTCCCGAGCTGGAGCGAGTGCCGGCAATCGGTATCGGCGGTGTCCTGCAGGCTGAAAAACCAGCAGTGCAACCAGTATAACAATACAGGTCTACCCTCGTTAGTAGATAACCCCGGGGATTTCAAATTGTTTGTCTTATAACGAGTATTATCCACTATCCAGTAGTGAATGTATGTGTTTCAGACATCGGGGGATTTCAAAGTGCTTGTCTTACGAGTATTATCTACTATCCGGGCGTGAATGTATGCGTTAGGTGATTTTTGATCATCCTGTACTAATGAGGTTGTCTTGTAACCGATGTCATACTAATGAGGTTGTCTTGTAACCGATGTCATACTAATGAGGTTGTCTTGTAACCGATGTCATACTAATGAGGTTGTCTTGTAACCGATGTCATACTAATGAGGTTGTCTTGTAACCGATGTCATACTAATGAGGTTGTCTTGTAACCGATGTCATACTAATGAGGTTGTCTTGTAACCGATGTCATACTAATGAGGTTGTCTTGTAACCGATGTCATACTAATGAGGTTGTCTTGTAACCGATGTCATACTAATGAGGTTGTCTTGTAACCGATGTCATACTTATGAGGTTGTCTTGTAACCGATGTCATACTAATGAGGTTGTCTTGTAACCGATGTCATACTAATGGGGGTACACCTATACAATGTGTAGAGAAACTTTTCAAAGTACGCCCACCACTCGGAGTCGCAACAGAAATCTAATCCTCACAGACAGATGGTCTTTCTACACAGGTCGAGCTGTGTATTGAATCATGATAATTGTGGTGGCTTAGGTGACCGGTCTCTTAAGACAGGTGATCTTTATCGACAGGTGATCTTCTACATTTTGTGCATGTTCAAATCCGAGAAACTCCATCACTGTGTAGCATGATAATACCAATAGCTACTGATTGAGTAAATCATGTGACCTATCATGATAGCACATACTGGTAAAGAAGCTCGTAATCCCACTTACTGACACATGGCTCCTCGTTGCAGACCTCCGTTTGTAACTGCGAACCCTCGCAGAAAGCCCCGCCAGGTGACGGTGGTGGGTTGTCGCAGAAGCGGAAGCGAACACGGGCTCCTCCGTCGCAGGACCGCGTGCAGGTCGTCCAATTGGTCCAAGCGGACCATCCACCATCCACTACAGCTGAAGATAGCACACACATCCGAGAAACTCCATCACCGTGGGGCATGACAATACCAATAGCTACTGATTGAGTAAATACCTATCATGACATTACTCAGTATTTTTTAAGGACTGCTAACAAGAATCAAGATACAAACCACCTATTCGGACTGCAATTCTTAGACACAAGGATTGGGTTTGGAGTCATGCAGTACACAATTGTCACAGTATCTATAAATTCGCCACTCGGAGGAGATTCGTTCTTTAGAACAAATCTTATTTAAAATGGATATAGAATGGTTCCCCAGAATACGTGCATGTGTGCACATGCGTATATGTATGTATGTGTGTGTGTGCGTGCGTGTGTGTGTGTGTGTGTGTGTGTGTGTGTGTGTGCGTGGGTGCGAGCGTGTGTGTGCCCCTGCATCAAAGTAGTGTTTCATTCTTCATGTGTTTTTTCTAGTTACGGTATTTGGACACCAGAACGGATACGTACATGGTGCTATGCATCTCGGCTGCTCTCCAAACCACTGGCCGCTGCTGAGGCAAGTTTGAAGGTTGTTACCGGCTAGTGTGTAACCCTGAACGCACGTGTAGCGTATCTCTGTACGGAACGGGAACGGCGGTCCTGCCGGAGTACGAATGCCGTTGGCAGGTAAGCCCGGGTCTGGACATTGGACGGCTGTGGCAGTGAAAAAAGAACAGAATAGTTTGCGCCAATACCCTGCCATTGCCTCCGTTCACGCAATCAGACCATGCATTTGTGTACCTGTGGAGGTTATATGATTACATCATTAAAGGTGTGTTGTATGGAGCGACATCGCATGCACTGGTATGCTGCTCTCCCCCAAAGCGCCGGATGATGTCATTCGCACAACCTGTATTGCAGCAGTTCAATACCAACAGTCACAGAAGCATGAGGGACAGGATGCAGCCCCTAGCATTGCTACATACCTGCACACGATGGCACCGGACTGTCATATGCCCCGTCGTCCTGGCACGTCAGCGTGGCCTGACCAACCAGCAGATAGCCATCAGAGCAGCTGTACCGAACCTGATCGCCAGGACCAAACGAGGTGCCCGAAAGTAGACCGTTGGCGATAGGTCCTGGGTTGGTGCAGCCTCCTGCAATGCAACGAGAAGCACACAGGATCAGAATAACTGCAGATGCCCTTCACAGACTCCATCCTAACAATCTCCATTGCACTAAGAGTAAAGATGATTACTCCACTACATCAACAGATCATCTTGATGTGCCAGACATTTACAATACTGTCGGGTTCCGAAGAACTGGTAGGGGGTCAGCCTCGTAGCCTAGGCCCTTCTTATTTTCATCTACTATGGTCTATGCACAGTAGAGTCAACGTGTATACATATTGGTATGCTGTGCGTGGTGAAATTCCAGCCTGGTCGTTCTTCGGCGCTACGTTCTTCAGGACCCGACAGCACTGTACACCCAAACTGGCCATTCTTTCAGTCAGCTTGCCTCTCCGCATTTGTAGCAACATCACCACCACTGCAGCAAGGCACTAATCAATTACAATAGTCACCGGGGAATCCACAGAAAAAGTCAAACATCAGGTCTAACTATTGCTGGCCTCAAGCGAATGTCCCTGGTTCGTGTCCTGGTTGTGACAGTCAATTTTTTCGTCCGATTTTTCCCGTTTGAATCTTTCCCTCAAACCAATGAATATCTAAAGAGAAGCGGCCAGCTTACTCTCACACACTGGACATGTTCCGCTGAAGGTCCCATCAGCCTGGCACTGCCGTGATGTGGCATCGCCGGCTCTCAGGTAGAAACCCGGGTCACACAAGTAAAACACCGTCTCGCTGATCTGGAAGAATCCACGCGACGGCTCGTGGACGCCGTTGAGGGGATTGCAGGGTGCGGCGCATCCGTCTGGTGAACAGAAACACCACAATACCGTCAATGCAGGGTATAGTGGCAGCCATGGGACGGGCTCTTTTGATCACAGTATGTACTATGTATGTAAATCCATTTTTAAACGCACAGGAGGTGTTAGATAATCCAAGTAACTGCGTAAAAAGAGGAGTAGTGAATCTGCTCAAGCACAATGATTGAGCCACGTACAATACCCCCCCCCCCTACCTGGACACACACACACACACACACACACACACGTGGCAGCCCGGCTTACCATTGATGCGGTCACACGTCGGCACTGTGCCGCTCCAGCGACCGGTGGCCTGACAGCGTTGATTCTGAACACCAATCAACCCGTATCCTGTGTTACAACTGTAGCTGACCAGGTCACCGAAGCAGAAACCATTTCCGACTCTACTACCAAAGTCTGGTAGGCCGGGATTTCCACAGCAAACGCCTGCATGCAGAGAAATAGCATGAAATCCATTACAACACCCGCTAGAGTGTTACACACTGCAAGATGTCATCTAGGGAGCAATACCTCCACTGCCCGGCAAACACAGCCCACAGTGCATTGCCCAACACGCACAATCCTAGCACCTCGGTCAGTTTTACAATTATTTTTGACACTCTTGTACGTCTGGCTCTGTAGGAGTCCAACTCCAGCACTCGTGGACAGATCAATGCTTGGCTTTCTTCATCTTTTATTGAGAGACTAGCTGTATGGTTAGTCGAGAAAGCATCAATAGTAAGTGCCTGTGTATCTGGTGAAGTAAAATAAAACAAACAAACAAATTTACCTAGAATACTGAGCCAGTAAGAAATGTAAAATAGAAGAAAAACACATGCGAACGAGTTATGAAGCACCTATCCACGACTGACTGACTGCTTATTACCTTGTTACAGTCGTGGATAGTTGCTTCATAACTCGCTCCCATGTGTTTTTCTTCTACTCAAACAAACTTACGTTCGCAGGACACCGGCTGACCACTCCACTGGCCGAACGCCTGGCATGTACGTGTTGGCGCTCCGAGCAGCTGGTAACCTTCCACGCATGTGTAGCTGACGGTGTCGTCGGCATCGAAGCCTTGACCTGGCGTGCCGCTAGGTGTCCTGATAGCATTGAGAGGCGTGCCAGGGTCATCACATACTGGTAAGCCTGAGAACGAGAATAGCACATTCATATGTTCAAGTGCAGAGCTCTGCATTAGACTATGTCTTTATGTATTTCTTTGCTTACCTATTACTCATCACTTCTTTTTACAGATTTGCTATTATGGAAAGTTTGGAAACCCCCTCGATAGGCGAAAGCCTTTGGGGGATACTTATAGATGGCTGTTAAAGAACATAGCTGTCAAAATTCTACGTTAACAGCTTTCTGCATGATTTGGAAGTGATTCTGATGAGTCCCGCACAAAGAACACAACAGTACTGTCCGCACATTGAATTCAAACGTTATATAACAAGTGTGTGACATGTTGGGAATATCTGCAACAGTGGTGTATCCGGCCAGCAAAAACTTGTGGAGATCTGTGTTGGAGCGGCGGCGAGTCCTTAGGTGGCCTCACCCACGCATGTGATGATAGTTACTTACACTGCTAGTGAGCAGCCATTTGTCTGTCTATCAGTCTTAGAGAGGGTCTAGAACTGTATTTGGAAAATGTCAATTACGAATTTATCAACATGAGCCCCCGCCACGTTGGCGGTTTTTGAGGCAGCTATTGGTGATAAAATTAATATTTTTTCTAGGGTATATTATTCAGTTGTGTCCGTGCAGGTTTTGTGGCCGGTTTCCTGAGGTTCTCGCCACTGTTTTTGAATCGTATGCATAACAACTGTATGGTAATGGCTCAATGCTCACCACATAGGGGTACAGGCTGTGACCAGACAAGTCCCTGCACACACACGGCCACTGGACTACCCTGGAGCACATAGCCAGGATCACAACTGTACGTCACCGAGGTACCAATTGCAATGTCCGTGCTATTCGTCAGTATCCTATCTCCGTTCTCCGGGCGACCTGGATCAGGGCAGCAACAACGGCTACCTGCAAAGATACGCATGTACGTCCCACGTCACAAAACAGAGAACACAAGTCACACGGGTCATATTATACGCATATGCCTTAGAAAGGACTATGAAATGACCCAGAAACTCACTGGAGCTAGTTTTGGTAAATCCTCTTTCTACTTGCACCTTCCATAAATTACACGTATCAGCCCCCCCCCCCCCCCAAACCACCAGCTATGAAGTGCAGTTACTGCCACAATAACCTACAGTATAGTGTGCCTAATGTCGGAAGGATGCTCAAAGCTCCAAACCCTGCTGTTTTGCCTTTCGTCAGTGATATTCGGGCAGCAATGGGTTCGCAAAGAGCTCGTCAGGCGAAATAGCACGTCATCGTACATTTGAGATCAGCGGGAAGAAGATGACGACGTCCACTAATTTAGTATCTGTGCACACGAATGTGCTGTGTGTGTGACTTTGTGTGTCAGCTATGGCATCAAACCCTGTGGTTCCATGCCTACCGTGTAGGTCAGAACCATCCTCAGTGCTGCCAAACCGTCCGATTTTTCGGACAGTGTCCGATTTTTGAAGGCTCTTCCGAAAACCGGTCCGAAAAGGGAAACGTCCGAAAAGCAGCCAAAATGTCGGAGATCATTACTTTCCTATGCAGAAGTCCTGTACTTTCACTTTTCAGCGCAACTGAAGGCACAAATCACTGTACATTTGCTTCTAAAAAGGCTAGCGGTTGGCTGTGGAAGTTCAAAGTAACATGCCTGGATCAGGCTGGATGGCATGTACACTGACAGTCTGTACAGAGTCAGTGTGCAACCACACTCATCATTACAAAACAATATTTAATTCATGACAACTCTGGGGTTACCATGGCAACGAAGCGAATTTTCATGGTGTTTTAGGCGATATTTTGAATTCACTGTAAAAAATTTGCCGAGGAGAAAAATTCGCACCATGTGGCCAGCCTTGGCAGTGAAGGGTGTCCGATTTTGGGCGAAAATTATTTGGCAGCACTGCATCCTGCAAAGTTTGAATGACGTAGGTAGAACGATCGCGCCGCGAACCATACCTTTTGAAATTCTGTTCGCAGTATACCTTCCACCATTGAAATTTCGAATTTCTTGCTGAGACGGGTAGCTTGCAACCTCGACATGGCTTGTTCCAGACATGCTCACGGTGAAGCGAAACCCTGTTGAAGTAGTGGCGGGGATCTGCCCTGCAAGTGCTACAAAAAAAGAATGATTCAATCTGCCGGAGAAAGCGTGAGACCGCGAATCTCCGTTGAATATTGAGTATTTCAAGCCTTTTCACGACGAAGATGGAGTTCTTTTTGGAGATGGACGTCGCGGCAAAGGACATGGTTTCCGATTTCTGGCGTCTGGTGGAGTCAGGGATCATTTGTCCAGTCAGTTCGGCAGCCTAACCGTCGGTAAGCTTGTGTTTGGATCGCGTTCTGCTCAATGTGGTGGATCACAAACAATTTTGATATCGCACAAATTGAACTCTGCATCGTGCGTACGGTATTTTATATTCAGAAAATCGCAAAGTGTCTCTGACTCTCTGTGTGGCTGTCCTATGCCACAAGAAACTCCAATCAGGCTCCTATGTCCTCTGCCTTCTTGATTGAATGTCCACTTCGTTTGAACAACGAACACAACAATCGAGGACGGCTTTGCAATGAAAAATACAGCTATACTGGAGCTGAAAAAAAGAAGAAAGAACGTGCTCAGGATGAGACTTGAGTACACGCGTACTCTCCCAGCAGGTTTTGTGGATGTCGCTCATAGATGCGTAAGTTCGCGTGACGATTTCAAAACCCCACTACACACACTTGTACCTCACAGCGGACACTCAAGCATGAATATTGTATAGGAACGTAAAATGTTTAAATAACCGACGAGGAGAAAACAGTCGTAAAATAGCAATGAAAAATATCAATTGTGCACTCATAACCATGTATAAACAATTAAAATGAAACAATTCCAGAACGTTTTCGTGTGACCATCATCAGTGGAACATCGTCACATAGTAAGAATCACTAAAACAACCAGTTATATAGCTACAGTAATATGAAAAGAAGCGTGAGAATGCAGCACAGCTAGCGGTTATGCATAACGCGTGTAGTGTGAACCTTTGCAGTGTATCTGAGAATGGTAGCAGTAGATGAATGTGGCAGCTGTGAGTGCGTGTGAACAAAAACTGGTGAGTGCGTATTATTTTATATAATACGCACTCACCAGTTTTTGTTCACACGCACTCACAGCTGCCACATTCATCTACTGCTACCATTCTCAGATACACTGCAAAGGTTCACACTACACGCGTTATGCATAACCGCTAGCTGTGCTGCATTCTCACGCTTCTTTTCATATTACTGTAGCTATATAACTGGTTGTTTTAGTGATTCTTACTATGTGACGATGTTCCACTGATGATGGTCACACGAAAACGTTCTGGAATTGTTTCATTTTAATTGTTTATACATGGTTATGAGTGCACAATTGATATTTTTCATTGCTATTTAACGTAAAATGTGTTTACCTAAATCTGATGTTGTCTTGGTACATTCATGCACCAGTTTACACAATACACCATTCCTTCTAAATCCTACCTGCACAAGCTGCATCTCTGATATTCTGCAGCACTGAGTTGAACTGATCAAACGCCGTCAACTGGAACACGTTGGCCGACAACGGCATGGAGGCGATGGCTTCCAGCTCGGTGCGATCCGTTCCCGTGCCGACACCAATGGCAATGACCCTCACGCCCAGCTGACGCAGCGTGTCGGCCTCACCACGGACATTAGGTCCGATGTTGGACTGGCCGTCTGTGATGACCACGCACACGCGAGTGGCATCCGGCGCCAGCGGTCTCACACCCCCGGCCGTGACAAAGATCTGAGTGGCGGCAAGGCGTATGGCACCGCCAGTATTCGTATTGCCACGGTTCGTGTACTGTATCGCCGACAATGCGGTGAGCACTTGTTGCTGTGAGGAGAACGTGTTCAAGTTGAACTCCAGCTCCACCGTGGAGCCATAGCGCACCAGAGCCACCTGGGTCAGAGCCGAGGCGCCGATCTCATACTGCATGACAAACTGCGACACAAAGTTCACCTGTCGCGAGAAATCGTCCGGCTGCACGCTGCCCGACTCGTCCAGGATAAACACAATGTCCTTGACCGTGTCGCATACTGCAAATTCAGTCAAGCACATACACATGCACACATAATGTGCTATCAATGCGTTGCTTGGATGCCTGGAATTCCAATACAAAATGCTCATTATAATACAAGAAGCAGTTTATTAAAGGTCATTTCTTGATTCAAATCCAAGAGCCTCTTGTATACACAATGAGCATAACTCCTACACTGTTTGAATGTGTGCTACGCTCTTTTTCTTCATCTGCACTCTTCACGCAGCAAGGCGGAGTGGGGTGGATCCAGAACAACACAATGAAGGGGTGCAGTAAGCAATGAGTTAACATTGGCTAGTGAGTAGCTAATGAATATAACATGAACCCCCGGTTTCGCTCAGATATTTGTACATCCATGTCTTTACACATGGGTCCTGTATAAGCAGAAATATTCGTCTGGAATTTAATTTCGTCTTTTTCGTCCAAGGAGCTTTTGGACTAAATTAAATGTAGGACGAATATCGATTTGTCCAGCTTTTCTATACACTCTTATGATCCGTGGACGAAATTTTCAACCGGACGAACTCATTTTCTTTGGAGTTGGACGAAATTATTGACCGACGAAATTTTCTGCCTCTTCAGTACTTCAAAGTATTGCTACACTGATCGTGAGATGTGAGAATATTGCTGTGAATCTTACGACAGGTCGGTGGCTGACTAGACCAGGTATCATTGGAAACACACGTTAGCGTTGCTTCTCCGGACAATCTACACAACAAAGTGCACAGTAAAATGAAAGCAATGTCAGTCTTAGTTTATCCTAGCGTGAATTTAGATTTCAGTGATTTCAGTTGGAAGACTGTACTGGAAAAGAGGTTTGGCTGGACACACCCATTCCAGTCTCACTGCAAATCTGAACCAATTCCAACCCAAGCCTCTCTTCTGCTATGAAGCTGCGGGAAGCCCCAAGACTTCTTAAGAATGTACTGGTCACTTTATGTACAGTGCTGCTCAATGAAAATTGAAATCCGGTCGTGTGAGTCAACTACGCGCCAGGCGCTGGGCAGCCCTAAGTTGGACCTGCAAACACTGGGATTTTCACTCATGCATGGCGCAACGCTGACTCACACGATCGGAATTCATTGAGCCGCACTCTGCATGCCATTAGCTATCACCTCAGTGATCAAGCCATTTTTTCTGTAGTAATTGAAAGTACCATGCACTGTGGCTGGTGAAGGCTGGTACATCACTGCATGTTTTGGGCTGCCAACCTACAATGTATGGGAATATAGATCAATTTTCACAATTTGCATGAGCGTCAGTCACTCTTTTTTTTTAAGGCAAGGCAAGGGCAGGCAAGGGCAAGATTCAGCCATCATGACAGACAGAGCGTGCTTTTCTTGCAGCGCGAAGCAACATATTAGGGAAGGTCAAAGGTCAAAAGGTCGAAACATTATTCCTGAAATGACGTCAAACGGTCCTGACATTCCCGAATTTACGTCAAACGGTCCTGAAATTTCCGAAGTGACGTCAAACGGTCCTGATGGCCTGATTATGCCCGCGGCGGGAAGACCGCCTATTGGCCATGGCCCGTGTCATGTAAGAACACCACTTTGCTCACTTAAGCGGGGCGCTACTTTTGTCATCTTGTTAGATGTCTCTGACCAGAACTGTACATTAAACTGTACATATCGACTTCATGCCAGGCTATCAGTCCAGCTCATGCCGGCTTACCGATATCCAGCGTCGCATTTATACGTGACAATGCTACCGATGCGCAGGTTTGTCTCCGACATCATCCCGTTCTGAATCTGCGGCAGAGGAGAGCATTGACCGGGAACTGCAAGACAAACAACACAAAGTTCATCAGTAAAAAGTAAAGTAAAGTTTGCACGTCCGCGTTACAACGGACTATACAATAGTATTGAGAAACACAAGCAGATTACAGATTAGGAAGTTTCGCATGTGCCATCAGTGCTTAGTGCTTAGTATTACAATGCAGCGGATCAACACGCGATGGCCCACACTGGTAGTGTACGGTACCCTTTTGATGATGTATGTATGTGCATGCACAGTGTCACCATCCACAATCATGTTGCAAGTGATACGCTTCATATCAAATCGGTATACAAAATCAACACAGTTCATGGAAGCTTCGGCAGCGTTCACATGACTACCAGCTATTCTTGATAATGCAAAGACCTGAGGGCAACATCGCCTCTTATGTACAATGTTGCTCATTGAAATGCGACCAAGCCAGCAAACACCACTCCAGGACCCCATGCAGCCCTCGAACTGCAAACGCTGGGATGTGAGCTGGTGCAGGGTGCAAACTTGACTCGCGCGATCGCATCAGTTCATTGAGCAGCACTGTAGTTTTCAGCATGCACACTGGTGAACATGATTACGAACTGTAAATGTCAACAAAGCAAGCCTTACTGGGTTCGCAAGCAGGTCGCATGTCATTCCACAGACCAGCGTGTGTACAATAGAGCCAGGGCGTGCCGGTCAGCGTGAATCCGGCATCGCACGCAAAGCCCAGGATTGTGCCCGCACCGTATGTTTTCAGATAGCGTCCCAGCACTCTGCCATTCCTGGGTGGCCCCGGGTGCGCGCACAGCGGATAGCTGCAGACCGGCGTGTGAGAGTGGAACTTGAAGGGACGATAGCCGGAGCGCTTGTAGCGGTAGACGTACTTGTGATCGGACTGCCACAGGTGGCATGGCGGTGCGCAACGCACTCGGGCGACGGGCCCATTGCATGTGCTGCTCTGCGGCCCGTCCTTGTCGAACGGATCCACCGGTGTCCCACCAACATCCAACATGCAGTCAAACAAGCTCGTCTCTATGCCGTTGCAGCGCGGATTGAAGTACTGCACGGGTGGAGTGCTCTCCGTTTGCGGTTCCAGCAGCACTTGACGCAGCATGCCACAACCGAGCGCGTAGCACGCCACGGACGCGGCGCGGAAGTCCCAGCCGCCCGCGGCGCACACCGTGCTCCAGTTACCGTTGGCGCCATCCTCGCGCATCTCCACGCGGCCCAGGCATCGGTCGGGCCCATAACCGCCGGTCAGTCGGATGCGCGGATCGCGCTTGGGACGGCCTTGCGGGTGGAACGCGCCCGTGTTGCCCGTGTGGAAACTGTAATCGGCCAGATACTGACCCATGATGTTTGGATGCTGGATGCTAGGTCTGAGCCCAGTGGCACCTGTGAGCAGGCCCTGCTGGTCGGATATGTACAGCACCAGCATGATCAGTACACGTGTGACACTAAACAACTTAGTGGTCAGCTGACAGCCAGCACACTGTGACCATACCGGGGTCGTGAGTGGCCGCTCCATAGCAGTTCCAGATCTACCGCACACACAGAAGAACAGTGCGCGACCGGCTGCTCTGCTTCCAGGCTTCAACACCGCTTTCCAGCACTCAGCTATCAATACTGCGTGCCGGTATCAGGCAAACTTTTTGTCGGTCACTCGTGATGTTGATGAGGACGAGATTTCGGCTGATCAAGAGCTCGGCCGCGTGGTCACGGGTTGGTCCAACGAAGTTTTGCAGCTGGATCCGTGAAGCAGTTCTCATTCCATTTCCTGCATTTCCAACATTGCGTTCTTCCGTTCAGCGTCGAATATAGCAATAAAAACAAGCCATTGCAGAATGAAGACTGCTTGCCTTCGTCCAAGCAGTTCTGGCGCTACTATCTCTGTCTGGCGTTTCTACGTCAAACGAGCTCAGTCTGCCGGAGTTACGTGTTCGTACGGAGTGTCCCTCGGAGCATTGTCGGCTAAGCCATGCCGACTGGATCTTGGCTGCCTGGCGGCAGGCTGGCATCCATGCAGCAACCAGGACAGCAGCATGCTTATACTGGGTGCAGCTCATCTCACTGATCGAGAAGTGTCGTAGCGGCCGCAGCCCTGTGCCACCAACAAGATGGTCACACAGCCTATCTCCAACCTTCACCGGAGACTAGGGACTTCAAACGGTGAATTCCAGCCAACAAGTCGCGAGGACTGCGTTCACGACAATACACCTGTGTTCGTCATTGTCAAAGCTGATCGGAATGAATGAGATCGAGAGCTCGTAGATCTACTACTTGTAGTGGTGGAAAGCAGAATCGCTGTGAGTGATGCGCCTGCACGTCGTTCGAAAACTTTGAAAAGTTCGGTGCAATGAAGTCTGAATGGGGAGATGCGAAAACACACCTTGCGATGTTTCCAAATCCCCGCGGGGCCTAGCTACAGACACGTCCTTCGCTACATCATGTATACATGACGGTAAGTGGACAAGCAGTGACTTCAGTGGTCACATGATGCATAAGTATCTCTTAGGCATACTCCATGGATCCAGTCTCCATACCCAAAAGAGTCAACTGGTTGATCCTTCGTTGGTTTCATGCCTACGACTACGAGTGCGAAGGCACATGATAATTATTGTGGTGGTATGTCGCCTCTGCACAGACAGTGCCACTGCAGGATGCATGCATAATATTATTGACATGCACGTAGACCCATAGAGCGTAAGTAACTAGTTTACCTTGAAATTGTAGATATTTAATAGCAGACTACACATTACTAGGGTCCCTCAACTCCGACAAACACTCAAAATACGGTCTCTTCGTTGCATATGTCATTTACAGAGAAACTGATGCTAACAAACAACGGATTGAGTAGAAAAGCAAGGAGGCGCTGTAGGAAAGACTTTCGGTGGTGAGTGAGAAGAGTGTGGAAAAGAAAACAGTGCAAGAAATGTGTGTACAATGTATGTGTGGAGAGTAGCAGCACTGGTGAAACGGTGCAAGGTGGTGGGTAGGAGAGAGGGAGAGAAGTGGAGAGCTGTGCCTCTGTGTGTGTGGGGGGGGGGGGGGGGCGATATGATGTTGTACCAATAATGTTCAGCGCATATATATATGCGTATGGTTGTGCTGTACTTAGCAAAAGTATATTTTCATCTTTGTCCTCACACGTATGGCTCCAGCTACACTGCATGTATTTATTTTTCCAGGTCACACTAACACATTCACCCTCCTCCTCCCCCCCCCCCCCCCCACACACACACCACACACACACATACACCCACAGGCACAGCTCTCCACTTTTCTCCCTCTCTCCCATCACCTTACACCTTTCACCAGTGTTGCTACTCTCCACACATGCACTGTGCACAGGTTGCTTGCACCTGTTCTTTTCCACACTCTTCTCATCACTTTCCTACAGCAACTTTTTTTGTTTGTTCGCATTAGTTTTACTCTGTTTTTACTGATGATGGGCCATGTCTGAAAAATGTGGTGGACAGTTGATGACGTATGCAGCAAAGAGACGACGGTATTGTGTTTCAGTTGAAGTACCCTAATACTGTACAGTACATGATAGTCTGGTGGACAAAAATTGACCTTAGATACGCAACTGCTACAGTTCAGTCGCCGATATCCAGACACATGAATACCGACGCTAGCGTATCGAGAATGGACTCTGTAGTCAAATGAAATGCCCGCATGAAAAACTATAATTATGTCGCACATCATACTTCTCTGCTTTGTATCCGAACAGCTTCCCATGGCACCAGCACCCCTCTAGCAGTCCTCTCGGCAAAGGAGTCGGATGACTGAGGTTGTGCTCCACGTTGGATAATTATACAATCGAGCCATGGCAATACAGTATTTGATTATTGTTTGGTTTATTTACCCGGGTATACTGCGGCTCAATCCTTGCACACACCCCAATGACGTACTGTACAAATAGGATAACTTTTAAAAAATAAATATTCCAGCTCACACAAGCGCAGCAGTATGTCATTCGGGAAGACAAGAGAGTATCTAATCAAAATGATCTGTCACAAACGTATAGCATGCACTCCGAGGTAAGTTTCTGATGGCATGTACGCAAGGGCAAAAGCTGCAGTGCAAGAAAGCAACAGTTGCATGCCAGCCAATGGAGCACAGAGACAGTGGGAGAGGGATCAGCTCATGTATCATTTTGGAACTGCTGGCGAACAGCGGCCGACAGCTGCTGGACAACTGCGGGCTGTGATGCAGCAATGTTGGTATTCTCAAAGGCCGATAGGTCTGTGCCGTCATCGGCCTTGTGGTCATAGAGCTCTCTTGCCACAACGTTTGACCAGTTTCCTTTGAGCTCACTGCCAATCCAGGTCACCTAAGATAAGTGCAATAAATAGAACACATCCACTGAGTTGATCACTTGATTTGAAAGAAATTAGTGGTGGAATTTCAAACTGAATAACTCGTTCGGCGCAGCGCAGTTTTATCTTCATGATATTTTGCACATTGGATGATTCACATTAATTTTGTACTTTTGAGCCGAGTATGTGGAGGATGCACCCGTTGTACTGAGAGTGGTCAACTGGAGTGTTGGTAAAATGTAGTACACCCATTGTGCACTGTAGTACGGTGAGCTCATAGGTGTATATACAAGCATTGAGCTGGTCAAGATAATGCGGATCGCATGCAGCAGGGGCGTAGCTCGCACATCTGTGGCGTGGTGACCTTGTACCAGAGCCACATCTGTGGTGTTTGACCATGTACCACCGACAACCTCGTGGCCACCATTTTGCTTGTTTTGACTATGTACCACCGACAACCTCATGGCCACCATTTTGCTTGTTTTGACTATGTACCACCGACAACCTCATGGCCACCATTTTGCTTGCTTTGACTATGTACCACCGACAACCTCATGGCCATCATTTTGCTTGTTTTCACTATGTAGTACGTATAACGGCCGTTTGGTGGTGTGGTGACCTGACTACACTGAGTGACTCTCTATACATGAGCTATGTGCCTGATGCAAGCTAGCTTGGCGGGCTGCTGCCTTGCACTTACCCACTCGGTGTACCTGTAGTCAGCAGTGCGGATACTGTAGCCCATGTAGTCAAACTGTGTGCGCAACCTGCCACCACAGGGATTCATCCATGCCCAGTTCTTGCCGCACCTGCCGCATTGCCAACATGAATCGGAGAAACACAATTATTCATTGGCTTGAGGGAAAGGGTGCGAAGAAAAATTGACTGTCGCCACCAGGACTCAAACCAAGGACTTTCGCTTGAGGCCAGCGGTGCTCTAGAAAAACAATTGCGTTGACACTGAGAGTAGCTGTATTCAAGCTGGGAACGTAGCAAATGCGTACCGGTGTATGGAGTGGGAGAAAGATGCCCAGCAGGGTCCAGTCGGTCACAATCACCACCACAGTTCTGCGAATTCCGGACTATCAGGCGTAGTATTTGCACTTGCAGATTGGGATAATACATCATGGTATATATGATTGTAGCTATACTTGTACGTGAACGTACTTTTCTAAGAACTCGCAGACTCCATTGCAGCCACTGACACATAATTAGGGTACCTCAACTCGAACTTTCACACTTTCCAAATACGGTCTCTTCGCGACCGTATTTGGAAAGTGTGAAAGTTCGAGTTGAGGTACCCTAATCGTGAACGTACTTATACATTTTACAGTTAGGAGTGAGAATTGAGGCAACACGACTTCATTCAGGATGGAGCCAATACCCGGCGATTCACAATTGGCATCGCACCATTGGCATGGCATTGCAGCCTTGCGGCAGTCTACTTTCAAGTTCCATGCAGCTGTTTCAAGGCCCTTATGCTGATGCTAAAGATTGGTCACAGCCACTGTAAGGCTATCTGACAGATGTTAACATATTTGGTGACTGGTTCGACTGGTCGCGATGCTCCCTATTCGGTTTGAACGTTATTGCAGCACTCACTTTGGAAACTGAGAGAACGCTGCTGTCTTCACCGGCGTGGTTTGATCCGTGAACAGCTTGGAGAGCGACTGGCCCTGGATGTTTTCTGTTGGTGCCGGTAGACCTGGGCAAAGCATGCCACGATGGAGACAATAATGCATCCAGAAAACTGTAAATCAACTAATTTTTTTCTGGCGATTTAATTTCGCTGACTTCACCGCTTGGTGCCAACCGGCCAAAGTAAATCGCAGGCCAAAGTTTATCATAGAGTCAAATGAGGGAAGATTTCGAGATCGGCCGAAATTTGTTGATTTACCAGCAGTAGGCTGTTTGGTTGCAGATACAGTTGACTCCGCTTATAATGAACTCGCCTATAGCAAATTCCGTGATATAGCAAACAGTTGTCCATGTCCCAGTTTAAACCAACAGTGTAAGTGCATGTCTGTTATAACAAACTTTGGCTATAAAGAACTAATTCTCCTGCACAATGGTGTTCGTTATATCAGGAGTTGACTGTGCCTGTATTGTTCAGATAACAATTTAGGCGAAATGGAAGTTTGTCTTCTGGCGTTACAGCACGCGGTAGTAACTTTACAAGAGGGCAAGTTTAGGTACAATCTGCGCACGTTACCTGCCAGTTCAGCCAGTGTTGGATAGAGATCGACCAGCTCCGCCAGTGCAGATGTTCTCTTGCCAGCAGAACCTTCTATCCACGGCGCTCTGATCATCATTGGCACGCGTGTTCCCAGCTCATAGTTTGACATCTTACACCACATGTTGTGCTGCGCTTGGCCGTAATAGAAGGAAATTAAAGGAGAGAAAGGAACACATGACAGCTGGTGGAATACTTCAAGTGGTGTGATGTAGAAAGAAGGAGGCTGAATCTCACGAACAATATTGTCTACGGAAATTCACATCGCCCGAAAAGCAAGGCTTGATACCAGAATGCACAAGATGCCAATGTGCCATGATTGTCAAAATTAAGGCATGATTGAAGGGCGTGTCCAGGCATAGTGTTCTACTGCCGTGGACGTGGAAATCCAGTCATAGGTCAAGCGGCCATGCAGCCGTGATTACGCACACGGTACACACATGCAACGGTCTGTATGCACTGAGGGCAAAGTCCCTGGTCATTCGACCGGATTTCCACGTCAACGACGGTAGAAGAGGGATGCTTTCACTACTGCATGTTGATCATGATCATCAGTACATGTACGTTCAACTGACCTCTCCCAGCTGCCACCCATGGTCGGCGTGGAAGGACACAACGGTATTGTCCTTCAGACCCAGCTTGTCCAGCCGGTCCAGCACCGTACCGACCAGGGAGTCCATGAAGCTCACGGCGGCATAGTAGCCACGCCGTAACCCCACTACGTCTGCGTGGCTCATGGACGTGTTCAGCGAGTACATCGTCACGTTGGTGTCATAGAACGGATGATTCCAGAGCTGAATGATTACACAAGAATTGCACAATAACGGATTGCCAAGTACCACCTATAAATTATTGCCTTTGCTTATGCTGAGGAAATCAAAGGAGCTAGGAACATTCATGCGTTCATAAGTCTAGTGTTTCCATAGGTGACTACTAACCTTCCAGCAATCATTCCATGCCAGCTCTGGTGCGTTGTGAGGGAAGTAGCCATCAACTGGTGGCTGAATGGACTCTAAAGGATAGAGCTCTTGAAATCCTGGAGGCACTTTCCAGGGTAGATGGGGCTTGTGAATTCCAACCCCTAAGAAGAACGGACGATCCGAGGCGTTCTTAGCGGCAAGTTCCATGCGCTCCAATGCAGTGTCGAGCACCATGATGTCAGAGAAGTTGGTCGTTTTAGGATCCAGCTCACATCGTGAGTCACCACCAGGGCAGAAGCGACTCGGCGTCGGGTTGAAGTAGGGAAGATTCTCCTCGCTCCATGATGGTGGGTCGTAGTTGGGAGGTAGACCAGGATGAAAGAGTTTGCCTACACCCAGAGTCAGATAACCATTCTTTTTGAAGTACTGCGGTAGGGAAGTCCAGTTCTCTCCGATTCCTGGTTCGCGAAAATGATCACGGAAATTCCAAGCCTTCACTCTGTCCGGACGCCGTCCGGTCATGAACGAGTTTCTGCTTGGAGCGCAGAAGGCAAACTGGCAGTACGCCCTGTCGAAGACCAACGACTCGCTGGCCAGTTTGTCAATGTTGGGTGTGTGCATATACTTCTGCCCGTAGCAACCCAGCTGGGGACGAAGATCATCAATCACTATGAACAGAACGTTCTTCTTCGAACTAGCCTTGCTATTCAGTCCCACATCGAAGGCTCCTTCCTCCTTCCACGAAGCTGCTGCCCCGCACACACAGGTCAGCAACAGCGTTGCGGCAACTAGTTTTGCCCAAAGCATGTTGTCCTGTCGTCTCCCAGCCCGTCACAAGCACAACTAGGTATCGCTCGGCCTCTTTGAACTCACTCAGAAAAGAGAACTGACCTCGGTGTTTCCCTGGATCAACCCAGAAGGTCATTTGAGTCAATACTAGAATGATGGTAGATCTACACTACAGTGTAGTACAAATTCAATGTCCTTGTAGTTTGCTCTAGATCTACGACTACGTCAGTTGATTATTTCCACTGACCGGGTCCAACGCTACACAGCTGTCCGAAGTCACCGGTCACCGCTATAATCATTATCAGTTATCATAATAATTATCAGTTATCACCCAGCATTTCGGCACAGCATAAGCTAACTAAGTAAAGTGACGCCATCTGATGATAATTATTTGCAGAGCAAAATGACGGAAACTGGGCCGGGCACACGGATTGTCAGTGAGCACGAGACAAAAGTGGAGACTATCGTAATCGTACAAATGATAGAATGAATGACTTTCGTCAGTTTGGAAAGAAACTGAAGACGGGAACATATTACATAACAAGAAGTGCATCGAGTGAGTGTCAAGTGCACAACAAATCACCGCAATCAGCTGTTCGTCTAGGATTGAACCACGGAGTGTTTGTTCAGGATGCTTCATTGTGCCCCGAGAGTAGTTCTATTTTCTATCTTTATCCTTTCAACGACCACCGGCGGTAGCAGGATCGCTCCAAAATCCAGAGACTTCCAGGCTGCTGTCGTGGAAACCACCAACAATGCCAACGGTAGGCAAGTTCCCAGTAAGAAGAACGTTCTGTTCATAGTGATTGATGATCTTCGTCCCCAGCTGGGTTGCTACGGGCAGAAGTATATGCACACACCCAACATTGACAAACTGGCCAGCGAGTCGTTGGTCTTCGACAGGGCGTACTGTCAGCTTTCATTCTGCGCACCAAGCAGAAACTCGTTCATGACCGGACGGCGTCCGGACAGAGTGAAGGCTTGGAGCTTCCGTGATCATTTTCGCGAACCAGGAATCGGAGAGAACTGGACTTCCCTACCGCAGTACTTCAAAAAGAATGGTTATCTGACTCTGGGTGTTGGCAAACTCTTTCATCCTGGTCTACCTCCCAACTACGACCCACCATCGTGGAGTGAGGAAGTTTTCCCCTACGTGAACCCTCCACTCGCCGGGTGTCCTAATGGGACAACGCGGTGCGAGCTGGACCCAAAGACGAAACCCTTCTCTGATATCACAATGCTAAATGATGCTGTGCAGCGCATGGAGTATGCGGCGGAGAATGCCTCGACTCGCCCGTTCTTCCTTGGTGTCGGCTTCCACAAGCCGCACTTGCCGTGGAGACTTCCGCAGGGATATCTAGAACTCTATCCGCTAGAATCCGTTCAGCCTCCAGGGGATGAATCATTTCCCCATGGTGCTCCGGATGTGGCATGGAATGACTGTTGGAAGGTTAGCGGGGAAAATGCTCTAATGCATGGGTTACATAGTAACCCATGCATTAAAGCATTTCTAGCAACTAGTGCTGTTATTGTTGTTGTTGTTGTTGTTGTTGTTGTTGTTGTTGTTGTTGTTGTTGTTGTTGCTTCCAAACGAAGGTAGATTCACAAGCATTCACGCAAATGTTACGCATCCAGTCAAACAAGGCACTTCTCATGAGTTATAGAACGTTGTCATTGCTGTTGTGTGTTTTGAGGGGAATGTGCAAATGGGAAAAATCTGAAGAAAATTTAACTGCCGCTGCCGCGCATGGTGTGTGCATGGTTTCCCCAGGTATGGCCAAAGGTGTTCAGCGACATCAACGTTGCAAACTACTCCGTTAACTCCACCATGAGCCACAGTGACATTGTAGGCCTGCGTCGTGGCTACTATGCAGCTGTCAGCTATATAGATGCACAGGTCGGGACCTTGCTGGATCACTTGGACACGCTCGGACTGGCAGAGAACACAGTGGTCTCGTTCCACTCCGACCATGGATGGCAACTTGGCGAGGTGAGAGCAGTCTGTCCAACCTTGGCACCATTCCAAAGCAGGACGCCCACAGTGTACTGTATACTAAGGCAATTGTCTCCGATGTAAACAACACACACACACACACACACACACACACACCACACATACCACACACACACACACACACACACACCACACACACACACACACACACACACACACATATATACACACACACACACACACACACACACACACACACACACACACACACACAAAGTACTGGAGGTGGGGGGCATGAAAGTAGCAGCGGGCAGCGTAATGGGAGGGCATATTACCGGCTAAGAAATGTGAAGTGCAAGGTTCAAGTAACGTTATTGCTTAGAAGAGGGAGAATTTTCCAGTGGTGCTGAAATGTAACGCATACTTCTGAATTTGTAACCTGCCATGCGGCTAGCGTGGGTGCAGCAAATGAGATGTTCAGTTTTCCCTGATCACTTTAGGGTGAGTCTGACCACCCCACATACGCTCTTACAGGAGTTGCGTCCGAGTCTTGATCCTTGAGGGTGGTGGCGTTCCTCCAGGCGTGGTGAAACTAGTCTGATTGACTCTTGCGCTGGTCTTCAAATTAATCATTCATACAAAACAAAACCTGTTTTGTGCTAGCTGATCGACATGCATTTCACCAATAAATGGTGAAATGCATGTCGATCAGTGCAGGAAACTGTACAGCTACAGATTCACGAACAAGATGTCATTGAGCAGCATTGCCGCATTATAATAAGTGATGTATGACCGTGCTGCACTTCACACAGCCGTCCCCTCCCCCCCCCCCCCTCCCCCCACCCTCATTCTGTCTCTCCACCTCCATAAATATACCGTATTATCTCTATTATAGGCGCACTCCAAGAGGGCTTCCAAGATATACAAGCGCAGCATCCAATATAAGCACAGGGCTTATAATGGAGAACTGTATGGATCATGTCCATGCATGTTTGATATCACAAAGTGTCACATACCCGCATGCTGTGGCACAAGTCTGTGATCCCCGAGATAAAAAGAACAAACTCAGTGAAGCAGGAAGTACAGAACTGCATTCACGAATCACGATACCTGGTAGGAAGCTTTGTGCTACTGGTGTAATGAAAAATGATGACCAATGCCGTGGTACATGTAACAGATGGTTGAAAAAAATATAAGCCCAGTCTCTAGTGGAAGCCCAGTGTCTAATATAAGCCCTGGGTTTGGACTGGTTGAAAAATCTAAGCCCAGGGCTTATCATGGAGATAGTACGGTAGTAATTATACTGGTATATATCATTTACTTACTGAATATTACTCTGCATGCAGCACAACATGTGGTGTAAGATGTCAAACTATGAACTGGGAACACGCGTACCAATGATGATCAGAGCGCCATGGGTGGAAGGTTCTGCTGGCAAGAGAACATCTGCACTAGTGGAACTGGTCGATCTCTATCCAACACTTGCTGAACTGGCAGGTAACGTGTCCAGATGGCAGCATATGTACTATGACATTCCACGTGTACTGTGGACTGCAAGAGTCAAACTAATGTGAACACTACTAGTTGAAGTCTGAAGAAAATGTTGAACGGTCTCTGCTGGGATGACGGCTACACCATAGCTCAGTGGTTAGAGCATCGCTGGCTACAAGCGAGGGTCCCTGGTTCGAGTCCTGGTGGTGACAGTCAAATTTTCTTCAGACCTTTTCCGTCTGTGTCTTTCCCTCAAACCAGCGAATGGTTGAAATCCATTTCTAATTTCTTATTCGGTATGTCAGTGCCAACAGCAATGGACTCTACCAAGGGATTGGGCGTGCCCATTGTTGTGGAAAGAGGTTTAGACTGTGGATTCATCACAACTCAAATTGAAACTATGGGTTGCGCTGATAATAATGTTTTTTTGAAGGGTTTTGAAGTAGGCTTCTCCCCCTGGCCCCCGTCACTCAACAACGCACCATTCAGTTAGCTTCCATACTAGTATTCACTTCTCAATAATAAACGGCGAGGGCACAGGAGGAGAAAGACAAACTTTGTGAACGACGGGAAAGACTCCCGGGAAAAGACTCAGATTATCAAGTGCAGTTAGAACTTCAGTTTTACTTGGGATTGGCAAATGAGTAGCCCTTTCCCAAAGATGCCATAATTTTCAAAACTTACTGCTTTTCGCAACCGTGCCAAAACAAGTGTGAGCTGCTGAAATCGCATCCATTATTGTCAGAAAAGCTCGAAAGTTGCCAACATCGTAACTTGACATGAGAGAGTTGTTGTGGATACAATGATGCCAAAAACAACCAAAAATGGATGGAGCGGAAATAGCAGAAGTGGACACAGCAAACTCTGTAACTCTTCCCGCTGTGAATTACAAACTTTACACAGTGCAAGTAGCCTGTTGCACACATCCTCCACAGGGGCGTATGACGGGCTTGGGAACTGGTACAACCAAAGGACGGAGTTGGCTGTGATGGGTAGTCCGGGGGCAAATTTTTGTAAAAAAAGACACAAAATCCTGTGTTCTGGGTACTTTTGGCACATTTTTTTACTAATTTTTAGCCATAGAATTTTATGATTCAAGTGCAGAAAACTAAGTTGCCGAGAACCAAGTGTACCTAATAGCCGTGTTGAGTCGAGTGTGAGTCAAACTCAAACAAAGTCAAAGATCTGACTGGTCCCGATTTTTATTACGGTTTCCACGTTTCGAAAAATTGTACGGCCATTGTCATGCCGGTCGAAGCGGGTGATACGCCCCTGCTCCATCATTTCAGTGCATGCAAAAGGGAATGCATATAACGCAATTACCGTAGATCTACTGTTTCTCTGAAATGAGTCTGTGAAGGCACACGAGAAATGAACGAGTATGCATTTGTCCGACGCGAAGTCTGTGACTTGGCCTCTTGACGCCTATGCGATTGGGCCAAGGTTACGGAAAAGTTGCGAAGTAGTTCGTGAAAATGAAAAAAATTGTGAAAGTTGCGATTTCTTCCAAAACAACGAAAAGTTGCGGAAAAAGTGACGAGCATCTTTGGGAAAAGGCTATCCGAATGAGACCATAGGAAGTTTTTGAGGGTTCTTCTCCAGAGATTCACCAAAAAACATTCTCAAATTTCATCTCCTCCTTGCTGATAAACTCAAAATAACAGAGTCAAGATTTACCCAGAAAGGCTGCGCCACCACAGCCACCGTTAAGGCCGATTCATACTTCATTTCGCGTACGGGGAAGCCATCGCGCGACCGTCGCGCAACGACTTTCCCTTGCGCGAAATAGTTGAGCTCAGATCAACTTTTTCGCGACGCGGCGCGTTTCCCGTACGCGAAATGAAGCATGAATCGGGCTGTAGGCCCTTTGCATCACATTACACTGAATTTCCATTGCATTACTTTAGATGGTAGGGCGACGTCAGTGTGATGTGTTCTCCCGTAGCTATTATCCGATGAGTACCAGGCGCATAGTCAGGATAGTGATCAAGGGGGTGCCTAGACTTTCCCCTCACAAAGTACATGCACGCTTACACTCTAACATGTAAAAAAAAAAAAAAATGTATATGTTGGTTCTTTTATGCGTATTATTTCATCTGTGATATGGGGGAGTGTGTGTGTGGGGGGGGGGGGGGGGGGGAGCAAAGTTAGCCCCACATTTGACGCTGAAGATCAATCAGCGAATGCAAACCTCCAACCAGGCAGTAGTAATATGGTATTTTACTACTGCCTGCTTCCAATGAATGACGAGCTAAGTCCTGGATGCTGCTTTCTCCAGAACTATCATACTCTCCATTGCACTTAAAGTCAGATTTCTCAACCCTTTTTCCTCTTCGTCGTGTTTGATAGTGCAGTATGTCATCCTTGGTCAAACCTACACTATTTCCCACAAAAGACGCAAACTGCTCTTCAACGTTACTTTCACTCTTCCGCTGCTGTATCCACACTTGCAAATTTGCAATGCATGAAAGAAGCTTCTTTGCCTTTCCACAACCTCCAAAGGGAACAAACAGCCAGAACTAGATTATACAAAACATAGCGCGAACAAACTGTACATATATGTCTGAAGTGTGTTTTCCATAGACCTTGCTGCTACTTCTACCTATGGCGTGTTTTTATGATTCTTTGCTTCTAACAAAACATGTGGAGTGCAATACAAATTGTGTGCTAAGCCTGCTGAGGCTTGTCGTGACACTGCACAACGACAGGTATGAAGCGGAGTCACCCTTGACTAGAAGTTTCATTGCAAAATGGCCAATCATGAGACGAAATAGTCAACTGCCTGTGGATTGGTTTCAGATACATTGTAAGGTTGGTCTGAATCAGGGAGTAGTACAGTACCTACTTGTACTCAGTAACTTCCTGGTCTGAACAGGTATTGCTATAGTGTGCGATCATTGTGCAGCGTTGCACATGTGATCAGCGGTCCGTATGCTGCGTCTCTCTCTCTCTCTTTCTTGAACTAGCTGCGAACCAAGATCGAAATTTTTTAGGGGGTACTTTGGTACCCAAAGCACCCCCCCCCCTTGCCTACGCCCCTGAGTATGGTCACACTTCCTTTATTGCTGAACGTACTCGTGACAGTGTGCATGGCGTGTGTTTATCCTGTATTTTGGAACAGGTCTTGAGCCGCCAAGAGATGAGAACATCCAAGGCATATCGCTAGCCAAGCTGCTCTCCAATCAGTCATCGTCGTCCAAGCCTGCCGCATTCTCACAATTTCCAAAGTAAGCCTTGAACCACGTGCATCCTGTATGGGAACATGACACATGCTTCATTTATTCATATGGAGGCCAACACTATTTTTCTACTTCCAATGTAAAATTCCGAAATAGCTGTGGAATCAATAAATGGAACCAAGGAAACGGCGGGGCACAAATTATGCGTTAAAGTCCACCAACTAAACCATGTTTTCAACAGTCAGAAGTGCACAAGGTAGCACCAGACTGACAACAAAGCTGTCACAGCTGAGACCGCTTTTCGGCCGTTTTTTTGTTTTTGTTTTTTTGGAGCACACTGCAACAAAGCGCGATGATCGCAGCTCAGCGCAAACGTGGCGAATTAAATGAAGAATCCTTGTTCCCGAGGACGATGTGGTTTGTTGCCGAATCCAATAGTATTTCATGGCAGTTACACTGAAATGGCACCAAATGCCTGAAAATACTTGCAATTTTCTTGCAATTTTTGATTTCTTTTTCCGGGGGACGGTAATGAAGAGTCCTTGTCCCTGATCGTAGTGTCTTCTTGGTTTGTTGCAGAATCAATAAGTCTTTCATTGCAGTTACACTGAAATGGCACCAAATGTCCGGAAATGCTTGGCTTCAATTTTTGAATTTTTAAGGAGAGCACCCCCAGACCCCCTTCCATGGCCACCCCACCTCCAAAGTTGGTGGGACGGGCCTGGACAAGGAGTGTTGATACATCATGAGTTCCACGGCAAGGAAGTGAGCTGGAACACTACTCGATAGTGCTAGCCAACGGCCTTCCAACTTGGAGGGTTCATCATGGGATATTAGTCGAGGATAATTCCCGGGGGTGAAAGAGGGCAAGGTAAGCGCCATCAAGCCGAACACAAGCTTCATTCTAAGGCACAGTGGAATGCTGGCTTGGTACGATAACGGGACGGTAAGACCATTGGAAAACACGGACTAACCACAATTTGAGAACGCAAAGCAACAGCCACGCCGGTTGAACTTGGGAGGCTCAGTTTTATCAAGGATAATATATGAAAGGGAAGCTTCGCGAGGGCGAATTGTAACAAACCGAAGTGCCCCACCGTTTTCCTTGTTTCCATTTCATGTTTTCCTTGGCCAACCATCTGAGTACTAGCTGTGGAATCCTTCTCCTTTCCTGCACAAACTGCCACTTTTAGACCTGTGCGCAGGGATTTGAATTTCATTGGGCTTTAAACGTGAAAAGTGAGTTGGAGGTGGTGTTGGTCGACTATTTGGTTCTGCGGCGTCTGTATCCCCTTACAGTATACAATTACCAGTATTTATTTATTTATTTCACCTTCCCGTGCCGGGCCAAAGAATATAGGCCAATATGGAGGGAATTGCCGGAGGAATTGCCGGATAATCTGGACACGTCGTCACATAAGATTGCTGTTCGTAAACCCCGGTGTTTCATTGATATCCTGTCATTGACTACTGTATTCTTGACATTCTGTTCTCGTTACCGATATCCACTGTGACTGAGTACAGGTGCGGAAATGACTGGGCCTCGCTGAATCCCTGCGGTGCTGTACAGCGCGCAGACTTTCACTACATGGGATACAGCATTCGCACGGCAGACTATCGATATACTGAGTGGGTGAGTAACGTTACTGGCAGCACGGCATGACCTGAAGAGTATTCTAAACAACATAATGGGCTGGCGCAGGCATCAGTGGGAATATTTTTTACTGGTAATGCAGCCCTACTGGAAAACATGTGAAGAACGAAAAAATAAAGAACAAAACACAGGGGAATTGCTGTGGTCTGTTGTTTTGTACATCCATGAAATGAAATAATGGTATTCCACTCCTATATTGCCAATATCACAGGTACCGTGGATTGGTGGTGAGCTGCGCGGTAACTGGTCGACTGTAGTTGGCAGAGAGCTGTATGATCACCGGCAAGATGACGAGACCGACTTCTCGGATTACGAGAATGTCAACCTGGCAGCACGGGAGCCTGCTGTTGTGCAGCAGTTGTCTGCAGCTCTGCGAGTGCAATTCCAGAATGACACATGACCGAAACAGCTGTCAGACGGAATTGAACAGATTTTCAGTACTCCGAAGGAACCTTTTCTTGCTGTTGCGGGGAATGCGTGGTCGGCCGCAGAGCGCAACGGTGGTGTTGGTGAAGTGGACGCAGACACATGATCAGTTAAAAGAAAGGGTTTGCTCCCCACGCTGGAGCTCGCGCTGTTCTCGTCGAAGTCGCTACCACTATTTTTTTGACACATGATTACATGTACATATGCAATACATGTATACAAAGTAGTGCGTTTGAACAGTAATCTCAGCACATGCATCGCACACAAACACATCCAGGGCCATTGCAAGCCTATGCTCTACACTGCTTTTCTACGTGTATGTCATGTATGTACATGTACATTGTACTACATACAGTCGACATCATAACATCATAATATTAATAAATAAAAGTGCAGGCCATCTCCCATCTCATAGTTTGTGGAAGACTACGAAACAGTCCCTGGTAGATCTTAATACACCTACACCAGTGCTGGCCTGGCCCTACACAAGTCGACTGACGATCACTGAAGTGATGAGGATTTCGTTGAACAGGGCAAGCGCTGTCTACCGACACTACATGTACAGACAGTCAGTCTGCTCTAACCGGACGCCGTTGGTACAGCGGAAACTGTCCCGACATGACGGGGTTCCGCTTGATCCAGGGTTCCATGTTCACAGCACTTTGATGCATGAAAAAATTGTCCGGTCAGTCAATACTGAAGATTCCGCTAGGTACGCTACAGTGTCCGGCATACACAGGCCTTACTGTACAGTCATGCTGTAGACCTACCGCCTTGTACTCAGTACATGTACCGGTACAGATTAGTACAAATGTCATGATTATACACGTAGGCGGCAGTGTGTCTGGTGTTGACGTTCATTTTCCCATTTCAAGACCACTCGCGCCAGTACCGGCCATGTCGATCCCTCTACATAGTCATTTGCAAAGTTGCCAAGCAGGGCCGGAATGAAATATCACGAGTCACTGTGCGGCATACGGCAGATCAAGTGTGTTAATCATCTGAAGTGGTTGCAGTAACTGCTATGCACATTAAATTTTAGTCATTAACAATTTTTAAAGGAAATGCGGGCTGTTAAAGTGTGTCAATGCAACAATTGTGCACACTATGTAAAACAGGAGCTAGGAGGAAGATGATTGCTTTGAACTGTATGTCCAGATGAATAATAATTAAAAACATCAAATTGGTGGCGGTGACAATTCAATCATGATGCAGACCTGTCTACCAGGGACTCAATAATGGAACACATCGTGTTACTCGAAGCTATTAGATCGAACACCAGTTCAACAATTCCAGTACATCGGAAAAGGAAAAGAAGAAAAAAGGAGCTAAGATGTACTCCAACTGTGAAGCCTTTGTGCTGCTTTGAGAGTTGTCCTGACCCCTTGCCACAGTAACACAGCAATGCCAGCAGTTTGAGAGTCGGTACCCGCTGGGGGATGAGGCTAGCTTTGCAAGGCATGCCTTAGGTTATCAAAGTGCATCTCGTCTGTGACAGACACAGTCCACTATTTCCGATGATTCTTTTGTTGAATTGGCTTTCAAGAGAATATTCGATCGCAGGATGTGCTGTTTGCTACATGATTACGTGCTCTACAGCTTGGCAAATGATGCATCGGTTGCAACTCCGCAGTTGTTGTCCTTGCGGCTCATCAGAATGAAGCCAACGTTTCCCCAGTGCACGGACCAGGAGTTCTTGACGATCCAGTAGTCCTCACCGTCCAAGGTGCCATAACCCACCGCCAATACAGAGTGATCCAAGTCATCAGACTTGCTGCCGCACTTTGGTTCGTAGTACACACCACTGGAGTAGAAGCTAAATGAGTCATGAGATGCGTCAATGTTCACCGCAACTGGCTGCTCAAGCAGGGCCATCAACAAGTCAGTTTCATTAAACGGCTTAATGTGTACATATCCAGTGATCGTGGTGCCAACCGTGGCATTGCTGAAGTGACACTTGCCGTCCTGCATCAGGTATGGGCCGTAGCTCTCCGCTGTAGCAATTCCACCATGCTTGATGATCCAGTCGTAAGCACGGAACTGCTCACCGCCGTCACAAGCATAGTTGCCTTCTCCCCACGTGCAGTCCATCATATTCTGTTGGCTGAGTAGGATACGCTTGCCATGTTTGATGAAGTAAGCACCCTCAATGACACCGGTGGTACTGAACGACCAGCATGACCCGCAGATGGCTTGGTCCTTCACCGGGGTGACAGCGCCGAAGATTCTCCAGTCGTGAGTCTCCGGAATAGTCACACTGGCATCGGCTGGCTGGAACTCCTGTGCACCGGGTGGAGAGATACTCTCAGCGCTGCGCTTCAGACCATGCATCATCTTGCGCTCAACAGGGGTCAAGTCAGCGAGGTGGTTCAGCTTCATGCGATAAGTCAACTTGCGACGGTTCATTGACTCGACGTAGTGATGGTTGGCACGGTAGATGCGAGAGCGTTCAAAGTGCTCCTTGTCGCTGGAGTACTTCTTGCCATGTGTGTCCTTGAATTCCTTGAACGAGGACTCAATTTCGTCGTTGTCGTGCTCAGCCATTCGGTGCAGGCGGTTGAAGATACTGCATGGCTGTGTGATACCGGAGCCCAAGTAATCACCACTAGTACACTCATTGACCTCTGGTTCAAATGTTCCCTTGGGGAATTCCCCTACAATGGCGAATTTTGTGTATATTACGCGATACTCATCGTAGTGGGATCCGAAAAGCTCATCGTAGCCAATGAAATGGAAAGAGATTGGTATGGCGTGGATGCCCTCAGTCAACACAGTGAACGTGTACTTATTCGTCTTCACACCGTTCGTAAACTCATAGCGGAACACATCACACGAGTTGATACCGCCAATGCCGCACGATTCCGTACCCATATACTCGTACTTTTCAGGATTTCCTGGAAAGACCGATTGTAGATGTACAGCTCCATCAGAGGTACCGTTCGTTTGGAAGCACACGCGTTTGTTAAGGAACTTCTCCGTAGTTACATACACCACCTCCAGCATCGTTCCGTACTTGCCACTCTTCCCCAGCTGGAATACAGAAGCCAACGCCCCATACGTGTCCATTCTGCTTCTATCATTCTGGCCATCCACGAATGCCTCGTATGGCTCAACAATCTCTGCATAGGGCAGCTCGATCGTGCCTGCGGCGATGTAATTGGTTGGAAACGTTGGAATCTCCTTAGCGTTGACAGCTACAGCGGCCAACGCCACAGCGAGCAGAACTACAAACATTCTGGAATGTAATCAAGAACGCCCACACTGAGGCGCACCAACTATCCGTCCTACGAGCCAGGCAAAGGTCTACACCAGGTGGACCCAAATACTAGTATTCTCCGTCCTTCTACAAATGTACCTGCGTATTCCTCTAGCTGCTAAAATAACTAACTAGTGACTTGTGGGGGAAATATTGCATTATTGGACATGACTGTTTCATGATTACCATCAAGAGTGCATAAACTGGTTATCATGGTTATCATGGTTATGGACGACTCGCCTCTTGTTACCATGATTGTCATATTATTTTTCTGTCTGGAAATCGATGCTCATCTATGACTATGATCTAGACTGTCGACTCTTTTTACCGCCATCGTCACGTGAAACCATGAAATCCATCATGTGATCAGGGTACCTGCATGCCACATATGCACAAACGACAAAAAAATAAACCGCTCAAGCAAAACACGACGGACTTGTCTTCTCCATGCATGCGCATGCACCGTAGTCTAGATCTACCGACCGATCCAGCGATGTGGCAGCAGCACAGCTAGCAAGGTCAGCGTGCTGGTACAATTTTTTTCTACATGCGGAGTCGAGTGCTCATAAAATCTTGGGTTTAGCGCATCCAGAAAGGTTTTTTTAGGAGTCGATAGCTACTGTGCTGGTCGGTTTGTACGAGTGGAGTTCTCGATAACGTTCCAGAATGTTTGTAGTTCTGCTCACTGCGGCTTTGGCCGCTGTGGCCGTCAACGCTAAGGAGATTCCAACGTTTCCGACCAATTACATCGCAGCAGGCACGATCGAGCTGCCCTATGCAGAGATTGTTGAGCCATACGAGGCATTCGTGGATGGCCAGAATGATAGAAGCAGAATGGACACGTATGGAGGCCTAGCGTCAGTATTCCAGCTGGGGAAATCTGGAGATTATGGTACGATGCTGAAGGTGGTGTACGAAACTACGGAGAAGGTCCTGAACAAACGCGCTTGCTTTCAAACGAACGGTACCTCCGATGGAGCTGTTCATCTACAATCAGTTTTTCCAGGAAATCCTGAAAAGTACGAGTATATGCGTACAGAATCGTGCGGCATTGGCGGTATCGAATCTTGTGACATGTTCCGCTATGAATTTACGAACGGTATGAAGACAAACAAGTACACGTTCACCGTGTTGACTGAGGGCATCCACGCCATCCCAATCTCTTTCCATTTCATTGGCTACGATGAGCTGTTTGGATCCCACTACGACGAATATCTCGTCACTTACACAAAATTCGCCATTGTAGGGGAATTCCCCGAGGGAACATTTGAACCAGAGGTCAAGGAATGCACTGGATACCCCGGCCCAGGTGTCACGCAGCCATGCAGCATTTTCAACCGCCTGCACAGAATGGCTGAGCACGAAAATGACGAAATTGAGTCCTCGTTCAAGGAATTCAAGGACACACATGGCAAGAAGTACTCCAGCGACAAGGAGCACTTTGAACGCTCTCGCATCTACCGTGCCAACCATCACTACGTCGAGTCAATGAACCGTCGCAAGTTGACTTATCGCATGAAGCTGAACCACCTCGCTGACTTGACTCCGGTTGAGCGCAAGATGATGCGTGGCCTGAAGCGCAGCGCTGAGAGTATCTCTCCACCCGGTGCACAGGAATTCCAGCCAGCCGATGCCAGTGTGACTATTCCGGAGACTCACGACTGGAGAATCTTCGGCGCTGTCACCCCGGTGAAGGACCAAGCCATCTGCGGATCATGCTGGTCATTCAGTACCACCGGTGTCATTGAGGGCGCATATTTCCTCAAGCATGGCAAGCCTATTCTACTCAGCCAACAGAATATGATGGATTGCACGTGGGGTGAAGGCAACAATGCTTGTGACGGTGGTGAGCAGTTCCGTGCCTACGACTGGATCATCAAGCATGGTGGAATCGCTACAGCGGAAAGCTACGGCCCATACTTGATGCAAGACGGCAAGTGTCACTTCAGCAATGCCACGGTGGGCACTACAATCACTGGATATGTCCATACTAAGCCGTTCAACCAAACTGACCTGTTGATGGCTCTGCTTGAGCAGCCAATCGCGGTGAACATTGACGCATCTCATGACTCATTTGGCTTCTACTCCAGCGGTGTGTACTATGAGCCTAAGTGTGGCGACCAGCCCGATGACCTGGACCACGCAGTCTTGGCGGTGGGTTATGGCACCCTGGACGGTGAGGACTACTGGATCGTCAAGAACTCCTGGTCCGTGCACTGGGGAAACGTTGGCTTCATTCTGATGAGCCGCAAGGACAACAACTGCGGTGTGGCGACTGACCCATCTTTCGCCAAGCTGTAGACTGCTCAACTTCATCATTCCATTTCTCCTATACCAGTTTGAGTTGCTAGTATTTGGCGGCAATGTTTTCGATATAACCAGCTTCTTGCTTCTAATTTGCATTGTATGTGCGCAAGCTGAGTTGACAGCTCGCGTTTCTAAATGCGCCGTAAGTTTGGAGTATCGCATCGATAATCCTCTCCTGTTTTTCTACTCACATTACCTTGCTTTCTGTTCGAATGCGTATCATGGGCCTTGTTTGAGCAAAGCAACTTGTTTGTGTGGCCTTGGGGATAATAGGCACTACAAGTGGAATCCTCATAATTCGAACCTCAAAATGCCAGGAAAAAACTTCTAATTGTCCAAACATGAACCAATAGCACAATAATATTACCGGTATGTAAAACAGAGAGGTTCCAGGCTGTCCAAGAGCTGGTTCAAACAATAGGAGGACAGAGGAAGTGCTTTTTATTACCTGTATGTCAAAATGCTCTCATGGTCACGCAGAGTTAGACACAGATTTCATGGGTACTGAACCGACCGGCACAGCCTGCTCATGCAAACTGAACTGACCAGTACAATATACAGTGAACTTCGAATTACACTTTGCTAACTTCGAATTATCAGCACAAATCCCACACATTTCTATGTAAGTGGAATCTGTGGGACTTCTAATGAACCGGACATATCCAGTTCGAGGTTCGAATTATCAGAAAAATTCAAGTGGGAATCGTATTGATAGAAATCGGTCCTGGAAAAACTTCTAATTAAACGGTACCGGTATGTTCGAATTAAGCCATATTCGAATTATCAGGATTCCACCTGTACCACCTTTTCTTGGCATGCCTATTGCAATCACGCGGCATAGTCGATGGAATCTGATCGCATAAGTCAGCGCCTTGCACCCTTCTTGTGGCCCAGCGTTTGCATGTCTGCTCCCTCTCTGCACAGCACCGAGTGGAATCTGAGCTCGCGAATAATCTTATACTAAGTGGACATACACACTCGTACATGATGACTGTAGATTGTAGTGTTGGAGTACAGCATGCTTCAAGTGGCTTGGTACAGTAAAATCTGTCAAGGTGACCACTCGGATAAGACGACCACCGGTCCCAGAACTGGCAGAAGACCAGTGAGACCAGGAAGGAGGGGAAGGGATGCTTTTTCCCATCAAATGACCCTGGATACGGAAACTGCCTGGTAACGGAGACCGCACTTTGAATGTCCCTTGAGCGGTCGTCTTAGACAGGTTTCACTGTACTTGTGCATGTGCGAGTCTATGACAGACAATGACTTGGCGTGACTAGCGGAGTGCCTCGAGTCGTGAAGTGTTGATCATCTCATGACTGTCTAGACTGGACGAGGAGCTTACTACTAACCCATACAGATATGACTACATGCACGCGCACGCACACACACACTGACAGAGTTACGCACTATCATACATACGGCCAAGAGTACATAACCCCGGGGTTATGTACTCTTGATACGGCATATACAGGCACGCCAGTACGGGAGCGCCGATGCTACATATCCATCGAGACCAAAATTGCTTTGAACCTTGATTATGTATCAGCAGTTATGTTAAGAAAGAAAAAAGTAACTCCCGCACATGTGGTAAACAGCGATAAAAAAGAGCACCATTGTCCACAAACACCAAAAGGGTGCGACACAAATTTCCTCTGCCCGCTGCTATGGCTCTACTACGCCGCAAAAAGCAAAGACAGCGTGTTGCAAATGCAAACATGCCAGATAATCCGAACATGTAAAAATAAAATATCTATAGTTTACAAATGCACCAGAGTGGCATCAGTGGCAACACCGCAGTTGTTGTCCTTGCGGCTCATCAACACGAAGCCATCATTTCCCCAGTGGGTCGACCAGGAGTTCTTGACGATCCAGTAGTCCTCACCTCCCAAGGTGCCGAAGCCGACGGCCAAGACAGCATGGTCCAAGTCCATTGGTTGGTTACCACACTCTGGCTCGTAGTACACACCGTGGGAATAGAAGCCAAACGACTGATGAGACGCATCGATGCTGACGGCAAGCGGCTGCTGAAGCAGAGCCAAGATCGCGTCGCTTACGTTGGACGGCGCGGTGTGGGCGTAGGACTTGATGGTGACGAGAGGCGTCCGGACTTTGTGGCACTTGCCGTCCTGCATCAAGTATGGACCGTAGCTCTCCGCCGTCGCAATGCCAGCGTGCTTCACAATCCACTCGTAAGCTTCGTACTGCAGGCCACCGTCACAAGCATTGTTGCCGTATCCCCAGCTGCAGTCCATCAGGTTCTGCTGGCTGAGCAAGACCTGCTTGCCATACTTGAGGAAGTACGCACTCTCGATAGCACCAGTCGTACTGAATGACCAGCATGATCCACAGATGGCCTGGTCCTTCACCGGCGTGACGGCACCGGCGATTCTCCAGTCGTGGGCTTCCGGAATCTGAACGTTAGCGTTAGCTGGCTTGAACACCTGTGCACCGGGGGGAGAGATGCTCTCAGCGCTACGCTTGCGACCACGCATCATCCTGCGCTCACCTGATGTCAAGTCAGCGAGATGGTTCAGCTTCATGCGATAAGTCAACTTGCGACGGTTCATTGACTCGACGTAGTGATGGTTGGCGCGGTAGATGCGAGAGCGTTCAAAGTGCTCCTTGTCGCTGGTGTACACCTTGCCGTGCTTGGCCTTGAAGTCACTGAACGACTTCTCGATTTCGTCCACATCCGGCTCATCCATGGTGTGAAGACGGCTGAATACACCGGTGGGTCTTGTGACACTAGCACTGTTGTCTGGGAAGCCGGTGCACGGGGCAACGAGAGCTTCGGGAACAAACACCTTGCCAGGGAATGAGGTGCTGTTATGGCTGACGAACCGCTCGTACGTCACAACGTACTCATCGTAATGGGATCCGAACAGACGGTTGAATCCCAGATAGTGGAAAGCCACTGGCTGGAAGTCCGTGGTCTGGCGCAGGTACAGGGTGTATGTGTTGGTCCTGCCCAGCTGGCTGGCCTCATACGTGAACACATTGCAGGCAGAACTGGCGAGACCAGTCTTGGTGCAGAATCGCTCACCAGCCTGAACTTCTCCTGTGAACACAAACTGGTCCAGGTTGCGGGGCAACACAGGCTGGAAGTGGACTGGACCACCGGCGCTTCCGTTCACTTGCAAACAGGCGCGTTTGTTAACAACAGTCTCGGTAGTCTCGTATACAACCTTCGAGATAGATCCATAGGGGCCAGGAGCATGTCCCAGCTGGTACTGAGATGCCAGACCGCCGTAGGTGTCAATTCTACTGCGATCGCCTACACCATCAATGTAAGCCTCGTATGGTTCCACGATTTCGGCATAAGGCAAGCTGATTGTGCCAGACGCATAGTACATGGAAGGAGCCTTTGGGATCTCCTGGCTATTGGCCGCGGCCATGGCCAGGCAGAGAACAGCCACAGAAGCCCACATCTCTACTACTCCAGTTTTTCAACACTTTCACACTGACAGGGGAAGAAGCGCGACCACGAGGCCACAGAGAAAAGTCACATTCATGAATTCAACTCCAACTTTCCAAGTACGAGTCCAGCTACCAGGCCAGTTCGATTTCATCGCCATGGTGACATACGCCATATCTCCCGCGCGCCTGCGCGCGTATGACGAGAAAACTAGAGAACAGCTTGTTCCCACTTACCTTTGTGAGTTGTGTTTGAAACTCCGCGGTTTACCGGGCCAAACTCCAAACGGTATGTCATAATGAGTACAATAATGTGTACGAGTTACATCAATAGTACATCATTTCGCAAACCGTACTCTTGGTTACATCATAAATCATTCGAACATGAATTTACCGTACGCGGTAATACTATATTAGAGAGGTCGCGTGATTTGTGCTCTGACGTGAACGTCAATTTTTTGCGTCGACGCGAGCTCAGAAAGAGCTTTCGTTTCACGTTGCTTGTGAAGCACGTCGTGTCGCTGACGACAGGAGCGAAAACTGGGAGCGAAAACTTCAAAAAGTGAAAAAAGTGATTTTTGGTGAGGCCAAAGTCGCACAAATATTATTTATAGCTAGTTTAGGCAAAATCGACAAATCGAGTCAATAATCCCAACCTGATAGCAAGGCTAAATTTGCAAAAACTCGCGTTCACGTCGAACGTGAGTTGACCTCAGCTCACGTCATGAACGGGAGTTTCGACGCCAAAATTTGCCACACCGACGTGAAATTTCACGGTGTAGTGCAGAACAACGTGAAGCGAAACCTCTCTATTACCGTAAAGTACCGCCAGAGCGCCCGGCGCCCCACCATCTCATCCTTTCGTGGTCGTATGTACGCCCCCAGTCCGGACCCAGGCATTGCACTCTGCACTCTGCAGATGGCGCCCAGCTACAAAAATGTGGCCGCATGCAGCGTCAGTTCAAAGCAGGGAGTAGTACAATACCTACCGGTATAGGCCTTATGCACATTGTACAGATGCACGAAATCCCGTATAATCTTGTAGAATCCCGTAGACCCGGTTGGGTGTTGAATGTGCAGGACCCTATTGTGTTTACTGCTATTTCCAATATGAAATGGGCCATGAAGGCATTTCATACGAAATCTTTTTCCGGCAGAGATCTAGCTAGTCGTTAGTTCAATCCCAAAGTGAAGAAGGCTTGAAAAGTGATCGTTTGCCATGAATTGTGAGGCTAAATGGGTCAAACGCGCATGTATAGCACACAATGAACACCCAACCGGGTATGTACACACCTACGGCCATAGTACAGAACTTCGTACATCTGTACAATGTGCATATTAAAGGACTATTGTACTACTCCCTGGTTCAAAGTCAGTACAGTGAGTACATCATAGTACCAAGAGTAGATAAACACTCTTGATAGTACGCACGGGCTAGTCAGTTCCTTGCCAGCTTTCCCTGTCGCGCACGTGCAAAGCCAAAGGCCAAGAATTAGAAGAAAGTAGGGCTTGCAAGAAGTGCGAAAGCAGATTTGTCAGGTCTGAAGAGAGAGGTGCTGCTTTGTCGCTCACGAGCCTCAGCCCTTGACCTTCTTTACTAGCTTATCTTGTTTTAGCATTTCGTCGGTTTGAAGATTCGCGATGTGGACTTGTGCCTCCATTCTTTGCCTGGGGGCCTTCGTCGCCATGGCCAATGGACAAAAGATCCCGACACCCCCATCCCGATACTCAGTAAGTGGAACCATCCAGCTTCCGTATGCAGAGATCTCAGAGCCGTTCACGGCCTATGTTGATGCTGCTGGCGATAAGAGTGTGGTGAGCGTGTACGATGGCTTGGATATTGTATACCAGTTGGGAGACTCAGGGTCGCATGGAATCATTGCTAAAATCGTGTACGAGACTACAGAGCAATATCTGAACAAGCGCAGATGCTTCCAATCGAACGGGACTGCCGACTCACCCACACACTTTCAACCTCTGTTACCTCGCCACCCGGAGAACTTTAAATTCTTGCGCAGTGAGTTTCATGAAACTGGCCGAATCTACGATCTGTTCGAATACACATTCACGCAGGGCATGAAGACGAACACGTATCGTTTCACCACCCTGTCAACGAACGGCGAGTTTGTACCCATTCTCTTCCACTATCTGGGCTTCAACACATTGTTTGGCTCTCACTATGACGAGTACATCGTGAACTACACATCCTTCACGAGCTATCAGGGTAAGGAATTCCCAGTGGATACGTTCAATCCCCATAGTAGAATCGAAGACTGCACTGGGTTCCCGGGCCCCGGCCTCAGCCATTCACCGAGCGTTTTCAGCCGTGTGCACAGCATGGTCGAGCCTGAGACTGACGAGATCGACGAGTCGTTCGGCGATTTCAAGGCCAAGCATGGCAAAGTGTACACCAGCGACAAGGAGCACTTTGAACGCTCTCGCATCTATCGTGCCAACCATCACTACGTCGAGTCAATGAACCGTCGCAAGTTGTCCTTCCGTTTGAAACTGAACCACCTTGCTGACTTGACGCCAGTTGAGCGCAAGGTGATGCGTGGCCTGAAGCGCAGTGCTGAGAGTATCTCACCTCCTGGGTCGAAGCCATTCCAAGCAGTGAACACTGTCGCTTCCATTCCCAAAGCGTATGACTGGAGAATCTACGGCGCTGTCACTCCGGTGAAGGACCAAGCCATCTGCGGGTCATGCTGGTCGTTCAGTACCACTGGTGTCATCGAGGGTGCATACTTCCTGAAGGAAAACAAGCAGGTGTTGCTCAGCCAGCAGAACCTGATGGATTGTACGTGGGGAGAGGGCAACAATGCGTGCGACGGTGGTGAGCAGTTCCGTGCCTTCAATTGGATGCTGAACAAGTCCGGTATTGCCCTGGCTGAAGCCTATGGACCTTACTTGATGGCTGATGGGAGGTGCAAGTCGCCCACGCGTCGCGTCTACATCAGTTCCTACCACCATACCAAGCCGTCCAACGAGAGCGACTTGATCCTGGCTCTGCTTGAGCAGCCAGTTGCTGTCAACATCGATGCATCTCATCAGTCGTTTGGCTTCTATTCGCAGGGTGTGTACTATGAACCCAAGTGTGGTAACAAGTCAATGCAGTTGGACCATGCTGTCTTGGCCGTCGGCTTCGGCACCCTCGACAATGAGGACTATTGGATCGTCAAGAACTCCTGGTCGACTCACTGGGGAAACGATGGATACGTGTTGATGAGCCGCAAGGACAACAACTGCGGTGTTGCCACCGATGCCACTCTGGTGCATATGTAAGCAGCTCGCATTTTTGATTTTTTTATTCAAAGAGCATCGCAAGAATGGTATTTTAGTGTACATTGTAGGCTGGTCGATTCTTTTCTTCTTCTTTTTACTGTTCTTCTTTCAACGATCATCATTATGGCTAGTCTAGTGTCCCAGGTGATGCACTTTTGCTGTTCAGAATAATTTGCAGCGCTATTGCAGCTATGCTGCGTTGTGAGGAGATGGTAGCAGCTAGGATATCAGCTTTGATCTTTGACTTATACTTGATGCTGTCTTGTGTCAACAGCAGCATTTCCTTTACTCCTTTTGGCAAAGTCGCGTTGTCGCATTGCACTGGTGCATCCGATGTGCCAGTGCTCTGTTGGACTATTGTGTGCATGTGAGAGTCTGTGTGCTTGCCTTGGTCCTGCGGTCTTGCATTTTCTAAGAATGTGCATTGCCGGGGTTGGTGATGTTTTGAGTGTTTGAACTTTCATGCCGACTACAGCTGCCATCAAAGCAACAATGTTGCAAAAGGAGGACCCACAGGCGGCATTCAAAAACGGCACCCCGTCTTTCCGGGACAGTGCCCTACCGATTAGGCTACCAGGGGACAAACAATACTGGGGGCCGGGGGCTTCTTACTGCAAGAACTGCTGAACATATTTTTTACAGTGTGTCTTCTGCTTGCCGGAAGGTATATCCATAGGGGGGGGGGCTTGAAACTGTCAGTAACCCTGGAGGTGGCGTGTCCCCTACTCGCCAATTATCCTGTCCCCTTGGAAAAACGCGATTCCGCGGTCGCGGCAAATTTCGCAGAAATTGCTATAATCCGCGGAAATCACGGAATCTACACTTTTGCCCGCGGAATTTGAATTTTTCAGGGTAAATTAGTAAAATTACTACTCAGAAAGCAGCAGAAAAACTACTTCGCGATCTGTTGAAGCACATTATGCTCTTGCTAGTGTGGGTGAGTGCAGGATCTCCAAAATTCTTCACTCTCATGTCACTTTGTGACTGCAAAGGATAGTGTGAAAAGTGCTCCTTCATGCAAATAGTTGTCATATCCTCTACAAGGAGGGTGAAAACTTGCAGAAAGTGCCGCAGATTTTTGATTTTACCACAGAAAATGCCGCAGAAAACCCCCCTTTTCCCCGCGGAATTTGCTGTGGAATTTTGAATTATTGGCCGCGTTTTCCCAAAGGGACAGATTATCCTATGGTCAGAAGTCTACTTTGAACTAGGAATGATAATTGGGAGGTTCTCCTCTTAGTGAAATGTAGAGAACAGGCATCTGGGTTTAATAGCGTCTACGGCTTCGCGGGAGTGTTCCCAAGATTCCTCGTGTCGCGATCCCGTAATGTAGAGCTGAGCATCGCTAGATTCACGACCTGTACTAATGGCTGCATTATCCTGTAAAAATGCTACATGTACATGTATCACCAAGCTAGGAGTACAATATCCACCAAAGTGTGCAGCTCCGTATCTATAGCTATGCCACATAAAGCCGATCCCACGACGAAGTGTTTTGCTTGTTAAGGTCATCATGTATCATAGAAAACCCGTCATACCGATGATACCGTAGGTTCAGTGCTAAATCACCATATTTTTAAAGGTGATACTGGAAATTCGCTTCCGTGCTTCACCTTTTGTACGGCAAGCAGCAATGCGCAACAGACAATACCTTGGTGATGCGGTATAAAATGACCATGTGAACCGGTGTGAGAGAGATGCAGGAAAGGTGGGTCACTATGACCTAAACAAAAAAACTCTGCTGTGGGATGATTCTCCCGCAGCTACACACTCTGGTTACTACCAAGAGTACATCACCCCCAGGGGGTTATGTACTCTTGTTACTACTCGTACCACCGCGTAGATGTACTGTGCTGCTCAATGAAGTCCAGTCACGTCACTCAAGTTTGCGCCGGGCATCATTTCGCAGCCCAGTGTTCGCAGGCCTAGGCTATGGTAGTGACTACACCCAATTTCCAAAACTTGCTCTGATCGCTTCGATTTTGGTCTCATTCGATTCTCCCAGGCGTAGTACATAGGAAATCTGTAAGTATTATTCGAATCGGCCCAGCCATTCTTGAGATAGTCAGTGAGTGATTTGAAGGGCGCCAAGTTAGTTAGACTTTTGCTGGAAACAGAAATGAATGGGAGCGATGGGAGAATCGAGCACGACCGCACACTGGCGCACAGTCCGTGCATGCAGTACAGTGTACAGTGCACACGCCTCGTCACTCGAACTGCGCGTACGAAATTGCATACTTAGGTATGCTGGCGCAGAACAAATTCGCTCGTAGAGGAAGACGAAAGCGTCTCACCGCCTTGTAATTTCACATGGCCAGTAGTTTTTCGACGCTGAAGACGATGGAATAGTCCGCGACGCTGCGACCCGACCAGAACAACCCGAAATTCATACCCTGAAAAAGCGCTGAGCGCAGAGCTCCTAAATTTTGTCGTATGGAAACGGGACTTCAGGTCTCAAGAGCACGAACATCTCCTCTCTCAGATAAAGCAATTCACTCGATGCGATATTCTACAATTTGACCTAGCCACGCCGAAATGCACTGCCATGTCGGATTCTCCCATCGGAAGTATAGAAACTTGTTTCCAAAAAATCAGCGTCTGGGTGCGAGGGAGTAAAGTCACTACCTATGGCTGCGCCACGCCCGCCGCGTACTTGAGTGACGGGACTGGGTTTCATTGTTGTATGTACTCTTGCCTCTTGCCAGTCTTGGTATCGCCATCCTAATGCACTGCTGTGCAGGTGTGTTTGTGTGTGTGATGGGGGGGGGGGGGGGGGTGAAACCCTGCAAGGTCTAGCCAGACAAATCACTGCAGTCTGCTCAACCCATGGATTCGGCCTCCATGGCTTCCCCGACTGATACTTTGAATTTGAAGTTCTCCCAATCCTTTCCAAATTATGATAATAATTATTATTATTATTACTTGCATGTACGCGTTGGAGTCAACCATGCAAGCATGATCCACAACTTCGCTTATGCTGAACATGATAAACAGGACTATGACAGGGGAAAGAAATTGAGCTAGAACGATGATACAATGATATAATTATCATATACAATGTAGCTCATGGGTATTGAAGATATGTCATTTATGAATATGTCCTTAAAGGGGAAGTTAAGGCAAAAATTAAAATTTCACCAGTTGTAGTCTTCGGGGTGCTGAGTCGAATGGTCTTGGTCCGAGAAAGCTGAGACGCTCCCTTCCTACTTGAATCCCAATCGAACTCGCGCACTTCCACCGAAACTGGGTGACTGCGCCCTACTAGATGGGGATTTGTATGCAAAATGTCACTAAAAGCGCCATTTCGTTCTTATAAAAGCACGGATGACCGCGATTGGCCCATATGTTGTAGTCTTTTGGACGCTGGGTCGACTGGTTTTGGTCCGAAAAGGCTGCGATGCAGCGTTCCTCCTTTATTCCCAATCGAACATGGTTGAACAAGTGGTCACGTGCTCCTGCGTACACCAGTCAGCTGGTCACCGTGCCTGCAGGGTACAACTTACTAGCCTGTTTGACCTTTTTTGGGTGCAGTCCTGTTACTCGAGTTGAACCTTGGTGTGAAAGTTCTCGCCTACTGGCGTGGTGACCAGGTGATTTGGGCACCCAGGACCACGTGACCGCTTGTTCAGCCATGTTCGATTGGGAATAAAGGAGGAACGCTGCATCGCAGCCTTTTCGGACCAAAACCAGTCGACTCAGCGTCCAAAAGACTACAACATATGGGCCAATCGCGGTCATCCGTGCTTTTATAAGAACGAAACGGCGCTTTTAGTGACATTTTGCATACAAATCCCCATCTAGTAGGGCGCAGTCACCCAGTTTCGGTGGAAGTGCGCGAGTTCGATTGGGATTCAAGTAGGAAGGGAGCGTCTCAACTTTCTCGGACCAGGACCATTCGACTCAGCACCCCGAAGACTACAACTGGTGAAATTTTAATTTTTGCCTTAACTTCCCCTTTAATTATGTCATTGAATATTGCAGCCTGAGTGATAATAATAGTGCTATTTCCTGAGTTTGACTGTTTCAGGACCTGTCGGAATATCACGATGCACAGATCTTCATGCATAGATCTCGCCATGCGGGTCGGTCATGGGCAATGGCTCGCAGGCTCTGCAGAGCGTCTAAGTTCCCGAGCAATCCGGCATTGGCTTGGCGCAGATCTCCCACCAATGCCTGCGGCAGGGTGATAATTACCACATCAAATGCTGCGGAGACCTATCCAGAATCGGCAATATGCTGGCCCTGGCCTGGAGATCTGCAACTATAATCAGCTTCTACTTTGCAACACTAACGGATTAGTCCCCTTTGTCGATTGATGGATCAATCGGTAGATTCGGCTCTGTTTTTCTTTCCTTTCTTTCTTGTTTTGAATTGTACGTTGAACTCATTGGATTTCTTTGTATTCTGTATCTCGTTATCGTTATATTTCCCTCTAGCCCTCTCGCTTAGGATGAGCTTTCTTTTTTATGGCAGCTTAAGCGAAGGCTATATACCTGCTTTATGCAGGTTGATGCCAACGCGAACAAGCAAAATAATAATAAATGTTGTAGCTGACCCTATGATGTATCCAGAACTGGGTGTTATCAATAGTCAATACAGTACTGCCGGTCACCGAAGGGGGGGGGGGGGGGAGGGGGTCAGCCCCCAGTCCTAGCTTACTAGTAGTAGACTGTTCTTATTTTCATGTAGTAAAGTCTACGTGCAGTTGAGTCACCATGATACTGTACATTGGCATGCTGTGCTCGATGAAATTCTACTGCGGCCCGTGGTCATTCTTCGGCGCTCGGCAGTACTGTACTACAATAGGCCATAAGTAATTAGTTGCATTATGGACCCTAGCATGTGGCAAGAGTACACTGGGGGCTGTGTATCGTACTACTCTTGCTACATGCCATATGTGCACGTGTTTTTGCGTTCATTTTTATGAAGCACTTTTCCACACAGTATTGCTCGGGCCGGGGAAATGAGTTCCACCACGGCCACGCACAGAGCTGTGGCATCGGAGTTTCAGTTGGTCGGGCCAAATGGGATTCCGGTACTTTTCCTGGAATGATTGTTGACGAAAAGCCCCGTTTTGTGTGGTGGGTCAACTAACTTTGTTCGAAATAGCTAAATACTTGGTCCGGCCATGATGGCTGCACCCTACTCCCAAGAGTACATGACCCCATGGGGTCATGTACTAGTTGCTACACATGACAGTTGCAATGTGCAGTTACTGCGAAGGGAATCTCCAGTACAACACAATAATGAATATGGTTATACGATCATGATGTAGTTAGTACATAGTAGATCTACACGTTTTTGGCAAAAAAATACATGCTGTCCAGCTAGCAATGAGCTTGGCAGGAAATACAATTCAAGTAACTTAGTTTCCAGTTCGGAAATTTGGAACTTGGTGACGAACGACAAGAAGGCCCTAGCGTTAGCACCTACACTACTGCATCCGTGACCTACCTCATCAATCTTCACCAACTGCTGATTGCAGATTCCACGATGACTCGGTGGTGGGCGAGCCGCGTTCCCATTTTGCTGCTAGTCGCTCGCTTGTGCTGCTGTTGCCAGTTCGCCCTTGAGAATGACCTGGCAGCGACCCTGGATGTCCGCGCGTGGCGAGAAAACTCCATGCGAATTCGCCTGCCGCTAGGCAGTAGCTCTGCGGTGCGTGATGATCTGCCCGGAGCAATCATTCCAGCCCCCGCGTACATGGGCCAACAGCTGGAGTGTGACCACCGCCCTGGCGGCGGCAGCGACAACGCTAACCAACTTGGATCGGTTATCAATGGCAACCTGAAGGCTGACGTATCCAGTGATGGCCTACTGACCTTCACTCGTCTCTCTGATAACAAAGTGGTCCTGCGGGAAACTTCGCGCAAGCTGAGCCCTGGCGCGGGCGGCGCGACCAGTGTCGTACAGACCTTCGCTTCGAGCGAGAAGGAGATGATATTCGGCTTCGGGGAGCATCAGAACGGACATTTGAACCAGAAAGGCCTCAACTACGACTTTGAGCAGTGCCTTGAATACGGGCACAGTCACGGTGGTGAGGTCTGTCTGCCCTTCATTCTTGGTTATACGCCCACCGAGTCATCAGCGCAGGAAACAGAGCAGACAAGAGATAGGGCGGAGGCAGCCACCATGGGACCGTGCCTCGATTATGGCCTGCTGTGGAACATGCCCGGCTACGGGAGCGTGTCGTTCGAAGGCAACACGACGACGTGGACAGCAATCGCCGCGCTCCAGCTGGACATGTTCGTTACCGTGGCAGCGGCAGGGTCGAGCGGAATGGCGTGCAACGCCGACATCAATGCCCGCTACGTGGACGCCACCGGCCATTCGCCTGTGTTGCCAGAGTGGGCGGCAGGCTACTGGCACAGCAAGAACAGATACTCCAGCCAGAAGGATCTCCTCGCCGCTGCCACCATATTCCACGAGCGGGCAATCCCGGTCGATGTTATCGTGATCGATTATCACCACTGGAAGACTATGGGAGACTGGTCGTTTGACCCAGCAGCATGGCCCGACCCGCAATCGATGGCCGACACCATACAGACAAAGTTTGGCATGCGCATCATGGTTTCAGTTTGGCCGTTCAGCATGACCAAGAGCTCGAGCTTCCCGACGATCAACGCATCCGGCTATGGCGTACAGAAGGGCTCGGACGGCGGAGAACTTTTCTGGCCGGACCCTAATTGCGGCGGACCATGTTATCTCTATGATCCGACACAGTCGGCTTCCAGAGAGTATGTGTGGAGTCGCCTGCAGGCCGGCTATCTTAAGTACGGCATTCACGTGTTCTGGCTGGATGCGTCCGAGCCGGAGAACATCCACGGCGTGCCGGACGGAGCGCACTACAAGGCCGGTCCATCCGAGCAGGTCGGGATGATGTTCCCGTTCTACCACTCGCGCACCATACACGACGGCCAGGTGTCGCAGGCCCAGCCACCCATCATGCTGCTCCGCTCCGGCTGGGCTGGGCAGCAGCGCTACGGAGGCGCCGTGTGGAGCGGCGACACGCAATCCAACTTTGGCTCGCTGGAGCGCTCCATCCGCGCCGGCCTCAACATCCAGCTGTCCGGCATCGCGTGGTGGACGACCGACATCGGCGGCTACAGCGGCGGCAACCCGAACGACCCGCAGTTCAATGAGCTGATCGTGCGCTGGTTCCAGTTCGGCGCCACGTGCCCGCTGTTCCGGCAGCACGGCGCACGCTCGACCGAGCCGTGGCTGCTGAGCAACCAGAGCTACGCGCTGGTGGTCAAGGTCATAGAGATGCGCGCGCAGTGGAAGTCCTACGTCCTGGACGCCATGCAGCAGGTGAACACGACCGGCTTGCCCGTACAGAGGCCGCTCTGGTACGACTTTCCCGGCGACCCGCACACTTGGGCGGTTGAGGATCAGTACATGTTCGGCTCGAGCTTGATGGCCGCGCCGGTGTATACATACCAGGCGAGAAACCGCACGGTCTACTTCCCGTCCGGTAGTAAGTGGCAGCACTATTTCACCAGTATTGTCTATGACGGCGGGGCGAGCCGGACGATTGACGCACCACTGGACAACTTCCCGCTGTTCAAGCGCATGAATGGAACTGCCTGGGCCAGTCCTGTCGAGGTCCGCTAGGCTTCCAACCCTCTCCTTGAATGCATGTACATGCACTGGCTAAACAAGGGAGCCTTCGACAAGCTTTGCACCGTCATGTAAGAATAATTATCAATTTCACACCAATTTTGCACTTTTTCACGGACAATTTCTTTCTGACAAAATGCCACCAATAATTGGGGGAAAGACTCAGTCACACTGCAATTATTTCACAGTCGATCGTGGACAGTAGTACTGCTCAATGAGATCCGATCGAGTCGGTCGGACTCAAGCATGTCCCAGGCATTGTGCAGCCCTAGACCAGCGAACACTGGGCTGCGAAATGGTGCACGGCGCAAACTCGACCCACGCGATTGGATTTCATTGAGCAGCACTTTTTTAGTAGTGGCACATACGCACTGGAATAACGACGCTGGGTGAGAACATACAGTGATCCTGCTGTGCATGTGCAGTGTGCATCAGACCTGCCAAGTTCAATTAGTGGTATGGAGATCTCCCTCACGGGCTGCCAGAAGGGAGGTAGCCTGCCCTCAACATGCATGTACATGTACATGTGTGGATAAAAAACACTTTAAAAATGGGTATGCTGTGTAAGCACGTTGACCATGGATAGGAAAGGCGTGTCAGTCACACCAACAAGTGCTCCGCTGTATAGGTACCTGCATGGTTCGCTTCACGCCTCTCCCTGGTGAGCATACATGTACATGTACTTACTTTAATACCGTATTTTCCCCATTAAACGTACACGTCTCCAATTGTAGTACATGTTGAGTGTGGATCAAAAATATAAAAGAACACGTCTCTAATGCCACATGTACATGCCGAAATGATGTGATGGGCATTACTGGGGTACAGGTACCTTACTTCGTTTTTCTTTTCTTACCCGTTTATCATCTTTGAGTCTCTGTACACTGATTCTTACCATGGTTGCATGTACATGTATTTACAGCTTTACAGTATCATTATCACGAGTTGTTTACCACCCAACCCAGGCAATCAATCTTTCCAGAAATAATAAAAGTACACGTCTCCAATACTAGTACAGTCTCCTATAGTAGTACAGGTCTGACCACCTTTGAAAAAAATAAAAGGACGTTTTATTTCTCGCCGGCCGAGCGGAGCGAGTGAGGCGAGAAATGATTTCTCGCGCAACAAAATTATTTGTCTTGCGAATATGGAATCTGATGTTTTCGCTTTTTGTTGCCGTTCTTTTTGCCTGACTCCTTCAGTCAGTTTTTTGTGTCTCACCAGTGTCCCCACCCTCCCACCCTTCATGTCTGCCCATCTTCTTCCATTTCTTTCTTGGCTGTAGATATGTTGTGCCTGTTTTTATGCTGCCAGATTGCCGCTTGGGGTTATACACCCGGTTTTTTCCCTCATTCGTGCGTCCGTCGGCGCGAGGGTTTTTTCCCGGCTGGCTCGGTCCAGAGAAATTAATCTGACGGTCCCAAGTGGTGCTTGTCCTGGCTTATTAGATGAATGTGCTAATTCCATACTCCTGGGTCTGTCCCCCTCTTGTTGCTCCTAGTTTTCTTCTGCATTCCGGTTCACATCTGGCTGCGGCCTACTACCCTCACTCTGTGTGCTCCTGTCTCTGTTGTCTGGGTCCATGTCGTTATGTCGGTGTATGTGGAGCGAGAATGTACATTTATTGGGGATGACACGGTAGCTCCTTGTCCTCTCACAACACCTTTTGAAGTACAATGTGCTGCATGTAGGTGTTCAGGTTCTGGTGATTCCCCGGAAGAATTGGAAACTTGGCGTCACTCAGAACCAAGGCGAATTGGGTGTAACTAATATTACTTGGATTCATTCGATACGTCTGTCCGAAGATGATTGCGGTCAACGACTCAGACTGGGCTTCCAAAGTCTTCACGATGGCATTGTGGTGCTACAATAGTCTTTGCCCGTACCATGGTCATCGCGATGAGGACCACTGTGACTGAGGTGCATCCCTTGTGCCGTGTTGTGGTGCTCTATCATATTATCAGTGTACCGGTATGTACTGGTCTAGTAGTACCGTGTGGACATCTAATTCTTGCTGCATGCACACGACTAGACTTTCCTCGCACGTGATTTTGCACGACCAAAGGCCATGGGGTTTTACTAGATCAGTAGATGGTACCGGTACCGCGGTACGAGCACTGACTGTTACTAGTATGCTATACTGCGTAGCGGCCCCGTCACTGACTCTGTTCACGAGGATGCACCATGCAGCATGATACTGGTGGTACCTCAGTAACCTGACACAATGACAATAATTGACATTACTAGTAATAATACTACTTAGTAACTAATACTAACCCCTTACTACTACCATTGACTACTAGTACTAGTAGTAGAAGCAAGAGTACATAAACCTTTAATACACTACACTACAGTAAAACGGTGACTACTACTTCTACCAAGAGTACATAAAGGGGCTTTTATGTACTCTTGGTAGAAGTAGTAGTAGTCACCGTTTTACTGTAGTGTCTCAGACAGGCTGCAGCCCAGTGCAGGACAAACAAGGTTGCGAGCTCTTGACCCTTGACCTTGTATGCAGACGGCGATGCCACTGGCAGGCTTGCTGCAGATTTTGACAATCTCACCCGCTCTGCAAGTACCGGTACATGTACTGATGTACAGACTGATTGTACATGATGCACTAGAGCTCTGGAAAGGGAGGTGCCTGACACGTGTCAGTCTGTGACAGGCGCACCGGTATAATGGCACGTTTTGTCCGTCACCTGTGCCTCTGCGGCAAACTCGCAACCTAATCCCTGTCACGGATCGCGCGATCGGTTGTTGATACACTGTACATCCTATCGGATAAACATAGTACAGCATAGTTTGCGGATCGACTCACAGTATCGTAAAGTGTCCAGTAGTCCCTAAACGAAGGGTAGGACTATCCAGCTAGGCAAAGTCAGTCCCTCACGAAATCGACGTGTCTGGAGTGGACACGGATATTCTAATCCTGTCAAGCCATTTAAACTAATGACATTATTATATTGGATCCAAGCTCGCCTCCGGCTCAGTACCGTAGATCTGCTGCTACCACAAAACGCTGAGAACTGCATCAAGAATGTATGCGGCCTATCCAGAGAAACCTCACGCTGGCGGCTAGTCTGCCCAGTATGACTTGCTTTTAGCGCGTCCGACGTTTCGTTCCCTGCATATGCTCCCCGGCACACGCGCGCACGATCGTTTCCTAACGCCATGCCCGTGGTCACTGACACGTTTGCCTAGTGTCTTCTGATCTGCCCAATGTAGCAGCACAATGCAAGCACCAAGTGGCTGTTTGTTTGGGAGAAAAATTAGGTAATTTGTTGCATGATTGCGTGCATGAAATCCCTTTGGTCGTTCTATTCAATCGTTTCGTCATAATCCAGAACAGGCTAGCTGTGTGTCCATGTCCACCCCAACAACAGGTTCCGTCTGTGCGACTCATTCAGCCATTGTGCACTTTGTCGCTTGATTCCGTCAGCTGCAACACGCTCCCAGCTCCCACGCGGTGAAGATATCGTCATACATACCCGGAAAAGAAGGGTCAAGATTCTTAGGAACATTGAAGGCTGAATCAGCGATCTTGCTGCTTAGTCGTTGGCGCTACGCCCGTGGATTTGTACCTTGCAAGCAGCTGTCCACCCCCGCCACAGATGCTAGCCACCTTCGAAGCTGTGGCCACGTTCTTCTGCACACGATTCAGTGAGGCAATGACCTGCTCTGGAAAACCCGACCGGAACTCTGTATCGCAGATCTACGCGTAGATTTCGCTCATCGTTTGCTCAGACGCTCGCCCTGGCCTGCTGCATCGACCAGGATTTCTTCTAGCAAGCAGCATCGATCGCGTAGCATCGTTGACGTCGTCGCCAACAAATCGTGCAACACCCTACCGCAGAACCGCGGAGCGTAAGTCGTCGGACGAACTCCGTAGATCTACGCGGTGCATCTATCGTCTCTGGGGCTTGGTGTTGTCATGAGTATTGCGCTGCAGCGCTAGTAGGAGCAGAAGCCGGCCCGGCTGGTTGTATAATCACTCGATACCACTGTGGCGTTTCCGAACGAGCAGATCGGGCTCGCTCGTCGGATCGCCCACCGACTTGGCTAAGATACAACTGCAACTTGAACCAAGCCACATGTAGGCACCTTGGTGCTGCTACTGTGACAGTGAGCCGGCTTTTCTATGTTTCGGAATACGTTGGGAAGCAAGCAGACTCGAGGAGGCGACATGGCCTACGATTTGAGACCAGGGCCGAATGAGGTGATCCATTTCCAAGCCGACCTGAAGAAGCTCACGAAAAGCAACGTGAGTACCACCATGCGCTGTAGCGGTGTGTGTACTTGTTTGGGGTTTGTGCATTGCGGGGGAGTGATTTGTAATTGTGCCTTTGTCTGAGGCTGTTATGGCGTAGAGAAGTTCTCTTGTCCAACGTAGATCTACTCACTCCCTCACGCACGGTCATCCAGTGGCAGGCGGTAGACACGCACACACGCACACAGCTCGTGGTTATTTCATTGAAGCAAGAAATGGTGCTGGACCTCAATATCGCGAGACAAGTCTAGAACTTCTATCCGCTCATGCGCTAGGACTTCTCCCTACTTTAGCGCGGCATGTCAAGCTTCCATTTGCCTCCGGATAAAGTCTCCGTGCTTCACGACGGAGCGGACCTGAAAAACCGTAGAGCCAATCTGACAAACATCCATTCACCAAGGGGAAATCACCCTGGCCCGCAGTGCTAGTCAGAAGTCAAAGGGGCTGTCCAATGGCAATGAAGCTGGAAAGTGATTTGATTAGCGCCTTCTACTAGTAATCCCTGACGGATCCTTTGAATAGTAGCAATTTTGAAATAAGTACTTGACCCAGAGCAAGGCAGAGTGCTGTGGTCTATGAGGCAGTGTGTTGCTGGTGAATGATCGCTTCTCTTTCGGCTGACGAGGAATTGATCACCTGACTATCCAATTCTGATGATTGACGCTGCATGACAAAGTGTTCCCAGCCCGCTGCTAAGTGCATGATGGTGATGGTGGACATCGGGCTATGTAAACCCATTGTAGGGCACGGCTACGACTGTACAAGCTATGCACGCGTCAGTACGTGTATGAATATGGATCAGAGATTGAGTACGGGTATGTGTGCACGAGTTGTCCCTACACATACACGCATTATCGTCCACTACAATGCGAGCGATAAACATGACTTTATTGGTAACCTCGTGATGGCGAAACAACGCAAACTTACCGTGGTGACCTGCATCAGGCTTGACTTAACCACACCCCTACGCACCCCAGGTGGCCATTGGGGGAGGTAACTGGTTTTAAGAGGCAATTCATCAGTGCCATGGTTATGTTATACATGTACATGTACACGTTGAAAAAAAATTGATTTATTGGTTTCGGGCACGTGCAGGGCACGCACACAGCAGCTTGAGTAGGCGGGCTGCATTTCTAAGTGATCGACTCGGATCACGCATGGAGCAGGATTTGAACCATGGCACCTTGTAACCTACTTGATCCACTTGATTAGGTTGCTAGTCTTGTCATTAGAGAGTCAAGCTGCAATTATTTCCATGTGATTTCCTCTCTGGGAAGTCACTAAAACAAGTATGACGCTATTGATAAGAAAGGCTATAATTGAATTTATCATAAGGTCGAGAATAAAAATAGGGAAAGTCTGAAGAAAAAAACTGACTGTCATCACCAGGACTTGAACCAGGGACCCTTGCTTATGGCCAGTGATGCTCTACCATTAATCCATGGTGTACATTTGAAGGTTATAAAGAACATAACTGCCATGCAGGCATATTCAAATCTGATATCACACAACTGAGTACGTTATCATTGCAATGCGCATGCATATCAACTGGTGCATTTAGCCTGGTGAAGTCAATTTTTCTGCTAAAAAATAAAATAAAAAATAAAAATTTCACGGTTCGCGTGAGACTCGGTTTCTCTATAATAGAGGCCGAGTTTTCCGCATCCGTAGGAACGCCACCACCCTTCAAGGATCAAGGCGCAGATGCAGCTCAACAGCTCAACAGCCATCTAATCACTGTTTTCTTTAACACATGTGCAAGCAATCAGACACAGTGGTAACGTACATAATGCACCGTCACGGTATGTAGAGCTGCAATGAAAAAACCAGCTAGGCGCCAACAAATATTGAGATACAATACATGTACGAGCTGAAAGCACTCCATGAGTTGATTCAGATTTGGGATCAACTGAAAAATGACGAAAAATCATAGGATTTAGCGGGTTTTGCATTCCAGCTTTTTATACCAAATAAATAACATACTGTACAAGTTGCTCCCAGCCCCCCCCCCCCCTTTTGAAGGACATTATAAAAGCATAGGTGCAAATACCCCCCCCCCCCCCCCCGCCCCTTACACACAATACCAGTCTATGGCCTGTGATATTAACAGTGTGGACCTGAGGAAGAATTAACGTGTATGCTGTACGAGGTCCAATGCAGCCTGTGGCACCAGCCACAGGACCCACAGCACTAGTGATCAGAGCTGCTTTTAACTACTAGTACAACAGACAGGTGTTACCAAATGCTCGAGTAATGTGCACCCTGCCCGCACAGCATCCTGCAGTGACTCTGCCTAGCTATAAACTGATAACGATAATGCTGCATTTCCTAAAAGGAAATAGCAATCACATGACAGCTGTTTCTGTTCTTCAGCATGCTGTAGACACTGGAGTGTTTCTGCGCTATGTAGTCGATCTACGGAAAGTCTTATGTACACTGCATGTGGATCCGTGTTCTACCCAGGGATGAATTTATCCGGTATCGCATCGCAGTTTGCTACCCAAAATCGATCTACTGCTACTCAAAAATGACAGTGACACGCAGAAAACTGCGATATATACATTGTACATATACAGGCTATCCATGCTTTTTGTAGCTTATGCCACAATTGAGATTTTGCACAGCAAAAACTGCTATGCAAACACACGACAGTAAATTCATCCCTGCTACCATAGGGAGGTTTTGAACTATATGGCTACAGGACATGAACATGTTCGACCCAGAGAGAGTCATGAAAATAATTAACTGTGCTGTCATGTCCGCACAAACAAAGCAATGTAGAAATTAACGATCTAGAACGTTTTCTTGTGGCCTACTTCAGTGGAATAACATCACTGATCAGTAAAATGAAACAACATAGGAATATATTACCATCAGGTGTTCACCATACAACTACAAAAAGAGCCAAAGGGATGTGACAAAATAATGAAAGAGAGAGAGAGAGAGAGAGAGAGAGAGAGAGAGAGAGAGAGAGAGAGAGAGAGAGAGAGAGAGAGAGAGAGAGAGAGAGAGAGAGAGAGAGAGAGAGAGAGAGAGAGAGAGAGAGAGAGAGAGAGAGAGAGAGAGAGAGAGAGAGAGAGAGAGAGAGAGAGAGAGAGAGAGAGAGAGAGAGAGAGAGAGAGAGAGAGAGAGAGAGAGAGAGAGTCCTGCATGTTATTCCCCAATCCATTTACGGAGCACCAATAATATTATTACAATTGGAGTCCCATGTACGTACTCACTGTAGGCAACTTTCCGGAAGTGGAGTTCAAACTCGTGAATTTATGGGTTTCCCCCACCTACTAACGTAACAGTTTGCCTTGCGTAGCGCGGAACCTCTCTACAATCTCAATGTGTTTGTTGCGGAAATACCGGGATGATAAGCAGCAACTTTCGGTGTACATGTATTGCTTCATTAGGACGTCCAACCTCCCTACCACATGTACTCTCCATCCGACCGTGTCTGTCACAGTGGAGAGCACATGTGGCAGGGAGTCGAAGTCCTATATACATAGACGAAAGCTGAAGGCAATAGGCAGTCATAGCTATCTACCTGGCTACCACCCCCTGCCACTGGTTATTGCATGTGCAATGCTGCCACTGACACGGCCATGGCTGTACCGATCTGTTACCAAGTGGAACCGCTGGTCGTCGCTATGCCTGCAGCGTGAGCTGCCAGCACAACGCTGTGCCGTGACTTTGCCAAAGCATCTCCACTGATGATGTAATCGCATAACCTTTATATAATGTTTTTGTTGCCTGTGATATAGGGCTCGAAGATCAGCGATCCTGTTTTCAAGCCCTTTGCTATCATTGAGAATGCACCACGACGTAAGTGCCTTTTACAAAAGCAATGCAGTATTCCAAGATCCTAGACGGTGGTGACATTGCTAAGGGTGCAGAAAGGCAGCCTGACTGAATATGATGCCAACCATTCAAATTTCAAGTACTGTCTCATTTCAGTATGCTACTGAATCCGAGTCACATGACTACTGGCAGGGAACCTTCCCAGAATACATGTACATGACCAAGGAATAGGTTTGGTGTCTGCAGGTTGAAGCCTGTTGTCAGCAGCCATCTGGTCAGCACATTTCTACAGAGCCGAATGTGTTGAATGTGTTAGGGTTAACCTAGCCGTTAGAGCCGACCACCTATGTTATAAGGCCAAAGTAGGCTGATGCCGGGCTGGTTTCTGAAGCTAGGTTTTCACCTCTCTGTGCGCCTACACGTGTATATGTTTATCTGAGCCGTGCACTGTCCTGCTTGCAGCCCGGTTGTCAGCACTGAGAAACAGGTCGCAGTACACGATGAGAGCACACGTGGTGTGGACTGACTAGCCTTTGCTGACTAGCCTTTGGTGACTAGCCTTTGCTGTGCACGCATGCCCAGTGGCAAACGATATCACTAGGGTGCAGGAGATTTGCCAGATGCCACCATGTAAAGGGCAACGTACTGCCACTGACATGCTCTTGATTTGTATTTTTTGTTATAATGCTGCAAGCATGTTTACCAAGAATTCATGTACCACTGTTCTTCATAATCTAGCACCTGACAATCACCAGAGTCAAATCCATGAAGTTTCCTTCAAATGGTGTGTGTGCTTTGCAGGCGAAATCTATCTGGCTCATTGTGATAGCAGTTACAAAGAGAAGCGTACTCGACTCCAGGAGAGCATCTGCAAGGTGTCGCTACCCAGCCACAAGGACTTCAGCCGCCTGCCGCATGCCCTACAGATCAAGTTCTCGGCAGACAAGCAGCCGCCACAGGTGTACGTGAGCAATGAGCAGGACTTCGAGAAATGGTGCAGCTGGCTGCAGTACATACTGACAAAGGCAGACTGTAAGTACAACGTCGGCCAGAGCCAGATCAGACAAAGGCTTTAAAAGTACCTGTCTGTGATTGTGGTCATGCCGCCATCTTGTGAAGTTGAGTGTGCAGGGCTTGGCATGTGAGAGGAGTGGTGGTTGAAGAATCATGGATGTGCAGGGCTTGATGTGTGAGAGGAGTGGTGGTTGAAGAATCATGGATATGCGGGGATTGATCATGTGTGTGCTGAGAGGAGTGGTGGTTGATTGAGAATCATGGATGTGCAGGGATTGGTGTGTGCTGAGAGGAGTGGTGGTTGATTGAGAATCATGGATGTGCAGGGATTGGTGTGTGCTGAGAGGAGTGGTGGTTGATTGAGAATCATGGATGTGCGGGGATTGGTGTGTGAGAGGAGTGGTGGTTGAAGAATCATGGATGTGCGGGGATTGGTGTGTGAGAGGAGTGGTGGTTGAAGAATCATGGATGTGCGGGGATTGGTGTGTGAGAGGAGTGGTGGTTGAAGAATCATGGATGTGCGGGGATTGGCATGTGAGAGGAGTGGTGGTTGAAGAATCATGGATGTGCGGGGATTGGTGTGTGAGAGGAGTGGTGGTTGAAGAATCATGGATGTGCAGGGCTTGGCATGTGAGAGGAGTGGTGGTTGAAGAATCATGGATGTGCAGGGCTTGGCATGTGAGAGGAGTGGTGGTTGAAGAATCATGGATGTGCGGGGATTGGTGTGTGAGAGGAGTGGTGGTTGAAGAATCATGGATGTGCGGGGATTGGCATGTGAGAGGAGTGGTGGTTGAAGAATCATGGATGTGCGGGGATTGGTTTGTGAGAGGAGTGGTGGTTGAAGAATCATGGATGTGCGGGGATTGGCATGTGAGAGAGAGGAGGAGTGGTGGTTGAAGAATCATGGATGTGCAGGGATTGGTGTGTGCTCAGTGAGAGGAGTGGTGGTTGAAGAATCATGGATGTGCAGGGATTGGTGTGTGAGAGGAGTGGTGGTTGAAGAATCATGGATGTGCAGGGATTGGTGTGTGCTCGGTGAGAGGAGTGGTGGTTGAAGAATCATGGATGTGCAGGGTTTGGTGTGTGCTCAGTGAGAGGAGTGGTGGTTGAAGAATCATGGATGTGCAGGGATTGGTGTGTGAGAGGAGTGGTGGTTGAAGAATCATGGATGTGCAGGGATTGGTGTGTGAGAGGAGTGGTGGTTTAAGAATCATGGATGTGCAGGGATTGGTGTGTGAGAGGAGTGGTGGTTGAATGGTCATGAGTGTGCTGGACGTAGCGTGTGAGAGCCTGAGATGAGTGGTGGTTTATGGTCATGGACATGGTTCCTGTGTGATTACATGCTTGTGTGATAGTATGCATTTTAAGGAATGCCTGAACAAGAGGCGTTGGGCTAGCATTAAAAACCCCTGGTTGAAGAATCATGGATGTGCAGGGCTTGGCATGTGAGAGGAGTGGTGGTTGAAGAATCATGGATGTGCAGGGCTTGGCATGTGAGAGGAGTGGTGGTTGAAGAATCATGGATGTGCGGGGATTGGTGTGTGAGAGGAGTGGTGGTTGAAGAATCATGGATGTGCGGGGATTGGCATGTGAGAGGAGTGGTGGTTGAAGAATCATGGATGTGCGGGGATTGGTGTGTGAGAGGAGTGGTGGTTGAAGAATCATGGATGTGCGGGGATTGGTGTGTGAGAGGAGTGGTGGTTGAAGAATCATGGATGTGCGGGGATTGGTGTGTGAGAGGAGTGGTGGTTGAAGAATCATGGATGTGCGGGGATTGGTGTGTGAGAGGAGTGGTGGTTGAAGAATCATGGATGTGCAGGGATTGGTGTGTGCTCAGTGAGAGGAGTGGTGGTTGAAGAATCATGGATGTGCAGGGATTGGTGTGTGAGAGGAGTGGTGGTTGAAGAATCATGGATGTGCAGGGATTGGTGTGTGCTCGGTGAGAGGAGTGGTGGTTGAAGAATCATGGATGTGCAGGGTTTGGTGTGTGCTCAGTGAGAGGAGTGGTGGTTGAAGAATCATGGATGTGCAGGGATTGGTGTGTGAGAGGAGTGGTGGTTGAAGAATCATGGATGTGCAGGGATTGGTGTGTGAGAGGAGTGGTGGTTTAAGAATCATGGATGTGCAGGGATTGGTGTGTGAGAGGAGTGGTGGTTGAATGGTCATGAGTGTGCTGGACGTAGCGTGTGAGAGCCTGAGATGAGTGGTGGTTTATGGTCATGGACATGGTTCCTGTGTGATTACATGCTTGTGTGATAGTATGCATTTTAAGGAATGCCTGAACAAGAGGCGTTGGGCTAGCATTAAAAACCCCTAAAAAGGTGCCGAAGCATGGGAACTTGGGAAGAGGTGTCTATCGGTTGTTACTCTTGTGCCAGTACTTCAAAACCGAACGATCACAATTAATGTTGGGCCTGAAAAACTCGTCAACTAGTATTGCAACAGAATTGCTTCTCTACTAACTGAGTGTATAGCTATGCCATTGTGGGGCAGAGAACACTCGTCACAGTGCGCAATAGAGCATCCTACTTGCTACGGTCGGCATTTCAACGAACTGTGCATTCCTTACATACCTGGTGTGTCCTTCAAGTGTTCATGCATACTACATACTTGTTTATGAAACTTCATTCCTCAACTCCAATAAGGGTCTCTTTATTGAGATTCAAATCTACATTACCAGTGTCTGCTCCAGCGCCGGGTGAGCCGGGTAATCCACCCGGTTGGGCGGCGCTTGGACCCGGTTGAAAATATAGTGCCGGGTCACCTGTGACCCGGTTGGTACTTTTCACTTTCGAACTTTGAAAGGACTGACTACATGGCTTGTATGTGTCAGATACTTCTTCTTCTTTCGTAATTTTCTAATTCCTGTTCTCTCTTTTCTAAATGCGGCTTATCCATTCGCCTTTATATCATCGGGCGTACATGTGTACCCTGCTCCGACCCGGTTGAAATGGTTGCGTCAGGTACACGTGTACACGGCTGTCCTACAATCCTGGAGCAGACACTGATTACCCCAAATTCTCGCAGGCATGGTCCCTCATCAGGGTAATAATGCTGCTCAATAACAGCACTGGTCAGTGCTGCAAGTCAGCTAGCACCTGTTGCTGTCCAGCTTCCTACCCGGCCCGGAGAACGCCGGACTATGCCCTGGTGATATACGAACTTTCAAGAACCTGTATTAAATTTTGTTGAGCCAACCCTGTGCTTGTCTTTTGTATGTATTGTGTTGATTAGCTGCGCATGCTGATGGTTCAAAACAGCTCTATGTTTCTTTCTGATTTCTTCTCCCATGGCGAACAGACAAGCCGCTGATTCCCGTTCACATCCCCAGCTGCACGTTGCCCATAGTCGGCCCGGCTCTGCTCCACATCACGGACGGTTCGATTCTCTTCCTGCAGCCGTCGACCATGAACCCGGTCAACGTGTTCCCGGTTCAGAACGTCACGTCGTTCGGCTCCACGCAGAAGGACGTCTGGTTCAGAGTGTGCCACTTCTGCGCGAAGGCCAAATCGGCGGACAGGACGGCGAAACAGACAGAGTACAACATGCGAAGCGACATCGACATGGCCTGCACTTCCTTCATCGCACAGATGCAGGAGGAGGGGAAGGCGCAAACGCGCGGCATCTGGTCCATGGGGCAGGCACTCAACTGCGAATCGTTTCTCCTGAACCACGCCAATGTTTGCACCGCTGGTAAGGGGGCTGTTGGGCAAGAAACGGTGAACTTTGTGCACCAAGTCCACTCATTATGCGACCCATCCTGTTTTGAGGATGCGTTTCAGTCCATCGTAATTGACAGTTACTTGGGCAACTTCATCCTTCATTATAGTTTCTGGTAACTTTGCGGTCACCTGCAAACTCAAATTATCATGTTGTACGAGTTGCTCCATTGAGTAGAGGCTTCTCTTGCTGACTACATTTCAAAATCTGACAAAAAGGTTCCGAGGAGTACTTTTCCATGCCCATGTGCCAACTTTGATGTGCTTGCCGAACCCTTTTAAGTAGTATGATGTGTGTCGTGTTCTTCTCTTTGCAGACAACCTTTGGTTTATAAAATTTGAACCCCACTTCCTGCCCAAAATAGCCACCATTTTCAAGTCATCCTGGAAGAAGCTTGCGCGCCAGGCGGGCTTCAAGGTCAGCGACATCAAGGCCCTGGATGACCTAGGTGGTACCAAGTCGACGGTCCACTTCCTAGAGCGATGGCTGACCTCCTTGCCACCAGACGTTCCATCTGAGCCCAAGAAGCTGTTGGCACTAACGGAGGCAGCGGAGCTGACAAAGGAAGCTTTGGACCTAAGGCATATGTTCCTAGGTAAGGTCGGGCAGTGGCTACAATTTTAAGATTTAATTTTAGAACATTAAACACGTCTGTCCTCATGCAAAATTGCCACACACCCCGTATCCACCAATCTCCCATTGCTGTGTTTTTACACTGAGACGGTATTAGAGTTGAACCCAAGGAGATTCCAACCATCATCTGCAAAAAAAGAAGCATTCCTTGGTTTTCTCCTTTCTAGCGAGGCAAAGCATCCAGACTGAGTCTCTCTTCTTCAAAAAGGCTTCTCCTCCCCATCCTCCTCCTCCTCCTCCTCCTCCTCCTCCTCCTCTCTCTCTCTCTCTCTCTCTCTCTCTCTCTCTCTCTCTCCTCCTCCTCCTATTCCATTGTTGTTGTTTGTAGATATTGAGCATTCTTATGCACGTGATAGACCACGCTCACCCACTGGTTTTGATCGTCACTTGAGTCCGGAACTGCTTCCTGAGCCAGCACCTGGTAATTACGGCGGGTCGGTCGGGCAAAGCACAGCTCGCTATGGGGAACATACTAGTACTAACCGTACGTGCGTGGTCTGTTACATTTGTTTCTGTGCGTGCGCGTGTGCGCGCGTGTGTGTGTGTGTGCGTGTGCGTGTGTGTGTGTGTTTGTGTGCGTGTGTGCATGTGTTTATGTGTGCATTCATGCATGCGTGCGTGCTTATGAGCATGGGGTGGGTGTGACAAGTGCATGCGCGTGCTCTTTACATGCACTGACTACTGAAGTACTTCACATGTTATTTTGTGTATGGGTGTGTGCTGTTGGTCCTGATGGCAAATTGAGAAACTCTCTTCTGTATCATGCAATACACTGAGATCATCAGGGGCAGATGTTAACGATATATTTATTATGATGTACTTGACAAGAGCTGGACCATCATCACAAGATTCACAACGATAGGCTAAATGTACAGCACTGCTCAATGAAATTTTAGCAAGTGACTTCAGTACAGTTGCGCTCACTGAAATCCGACCCAAATTCGCGGCATAGCTGGCGCTCTGGACCAGTTCCGGTTACTTCATTGTACGTGTACATGTGTACGTCCAGCCGCATTCGTTCCATTTCCAGGGCGTCAAGGGCCGTGGAAGTTGAGGGCGCCGGCTTTGCACGTTGGGTCGGATTTTCAGAGAGCGCAACTATATTACGGTGCGGTGGGTGCTGTGCTGCAAACACTGGGATGCTCACTGTTGAATGGCGCGGAGCTCACTCGCTCGATCGGATTTCATTGAGCATGCAGCACGGTACTTGTACTGTTGGACTTTTGAGAGTCCGGGCACACGATTTGTCAAATTGATTGTTGATGTCAGTAGCTAATTGTGGATAGGTAAACCAAACCGTAGAGTTTGTGCAATTACATCACCTGTTGAGGTGCTTAGTGTGTACAAAATATAGTGGCGAAGCAGTGGTGCAGTCAAGTGCTAGTACTGGTTTGCCACTCAATACGTCATGCCCATAAGTGAATGCACTGACTCGTGCGTTACACATCGCAACCATAAGCGATTGTGCCCATTCGGTACTATGCCATCGTCGGAGTATCTTGCTACTAAGACTACTGCATAGAGTATTTGTGTGACTCCACTGCATGTGCTGTGCTAAACGTTCTCCTCCCACTTTCAGGTATGTCATCGAGACCCCTACCAGAACCAGGTGCATCAAGACCTCTACCAGAACCAGGTGCATCAAGACGTCTACCGGAACAAGGTGCACCATCGGCGGGTACACTAGATGCACGAGACACTACACTGCGAAGTGCAGACAGTCAAATAGGCAACCCGGACCCCTCGCACCCGCTGAGCATGAAACTGCTGATCGGCATCGGTTTTGTAATCGAAGACAACTACGCCGAGAGTTGGGAGTACTTTCCCTTGCAGCTCTTGTGCGGTGAGTGGAGTTGGTGGTGTATACACAAAAATAGCTGCTTGGGTACTCCAGCAAAAATCAAAAAATCCTGGGTCTGTAGAGTAGACCCAGGTCCAATGGTCATTGTCAGAGTGGTCTGCAAGGGAAGGAGGGGGGAAGGGGCGAGAAAGAGAGAAAGGGGTATGTGTGTGTATATATGTGTGTGTGGGTGTATGTGTGTACGTGTGTGTGCGTGTGTGTGTGCGTGTGCGTGTGCGTGCGTGTGTGTGTGTGTGTGTGTGTGTGTGTGTGTGTGTGTGTGTGTGTGTGTGCTCGCCTGTGCTTGCGCAAGAGCGAACGAGTGAGTGAAAGTAAGTGAGCGAAAGTTACTTGGGGCAGTGGGAGAGCAAGGATACTGGTACTTTCTTATCAACTCCCGTACAAAAAAAAAACTCAATCTCCGGAAAGCTATGCTTTTGACACTGTTAGGTCTCAGCAGCGACACACTAAATGACTGGCTGCACCATTTGTAATGAGGCCAAGGGAACAACAACAACTACAAAAAATCACGGTTCGCGTGAGACACGGCTGGAAGCCGGGTTTTCCGCATCCGTAGGAACGCCACCACCCTTCAAGGATCAAGGCGCAGATGCAGCTCCTAAAGCGGAACAACAAAGCATCTTTAAAATTGGCTCAAGACATCACAGTCCTCGTCAGTACAATGAAAAACAAAGTGAGCTTTGCCCAAGGGCAAATACTGTAAGACATGTATATATAACGAGGAAGTAAAATCTAACGTTTTAACGGATGACATTTCTTCGTTATAATAAGATCCGTTGAGGCTGTACTGCTTCATATATGTTGTGTGTGGATATGCCGGTATACTGCAAGATCGTTAAAGGGGAAGTTAAGGCAAAAATTAAAATTTCACCAGTTGTAGTCTTCGGGGTGCTGAGTCGAATGGTCTTGGTCCGAGAAAGCTGAGACGCTCCCTTCCTAGTTGAATCCCAATCGAACTCGCGCACTTCCACCGAAACTGGGTGACTGCGCCCTACTAGATGGGGATTTGTATGCAAAATGTCACTAAAAGCGCCGTTTCGTTCTTATAAAAGCACGGATGACCGCGATTGGCCCATATGTTGTAGTCTTTTGGACGCTGAGTCGACTGGTTTTGGTCTGAAAAGGCTGCGATGCAGCGTTCCTCCTTTATTCCCAATCGAACATGGTTGAACAAGCGGTCACGTGCTCCTGCGTACACCAGTCAGCTGGTCACCGTGCCTGCAGGGTACAACTTACTAGCCTGTTTGACCTTTTTTGGGTGCAGTCCTGTCACTCGAGTTGAACTCGAGTTGAACCTTGGTGTGAAAGTTGTCGCCTGCTGGCGTGGTGACCAGGTGATTTGGGCATCCAGGAGCACGTGACCACTTGTTCAACCATGTTCGATTGGGAATAAAGGAGGAACGCTGCATCGCAGCCTTTTCGGACCAAAATCAGTCGACTCAGCGTCCAAAAGACTACAACATATGGGCCAATCGCGGTCATCCGTGCTTTTATAAGAACGAAACGGCGCTTTTAGTGACATTTTGCATACAAATCCCCATCTAATAGGGCGCAGTCACCCAGTTTCGGTGGAAGTGCGCGAGTTCGATTGGGATTCAAGTAGGAAGGGAGCGTCTCAGCTTTCTCGGACCAGGACCATTCGACTCAGCACCCCGAAGACTACAACTGGTGAAATTTTAATTTTTGCCTTAACTTCCCCTTTAACATTTCTTCTCGTTAACATATGAATTTTGGACAATCGTTAAATTTGCGACTCGTTATAATAACATGTCTTACAGTAACTTTGAAACGATCAACTCCCTCTAATTAATAGGGAGGCTTCGCTCTACGTAATTACTCATGAAAATCCGTACGTCGTACGCGCCGGGGAGCGAGGGCAACTTTCATACGCAAATCTCTCTACGGCCGGATTTCCGTAGGAAAGCTCTTTCCTACTTTGGGTCCTCCATAGGAATTTTTGAAATATGTTTCGCATTTTCCGGATTTATCCATGGCAACGTTCAAGCCACGCGAAACACAAGGTACACACACCGTATACCACGTGCAAAATTAAATGGAAAACGCGGTTTCGGTTCGTGGTGCATGCAGTGGACGCATGCAGCCAATACGCCTCCGAAGCAACAAGGCATGTTTAGCAGTCGTGGAGAAATCACGTAGAGCGAAACACGACAGCTCTGATTTTTACGTATGAAAATTACGTGCAGTTCCTACGTTGTTTTCATACGTAATTCCGTAGAGCAAAACCTCCCTAATAACGAGTTATCTTTAATACCTCAATAATGTCACAGATATTATCCCCCCCCCCCCCCCCCCCAAATCTCAACCTCATCGTGATGTCACAGAATATAGTCCCAACTTCCAGATGCTGGAGTTTGAGAATGGTTACTTCAATGAACTTAGTACTTTTTCCGTAGGACTCGGTGTATTCTCTCACAACAATAGAAGTGCATGTACATGTCCAATGTCCGGCTCAGATTAATCCCCTCGTACACGTTATGCTTGCGTCACACCGCATTAATCCCCTGGTTTGTATTGTGCTTGCCTCGCACTGCATGCAGAGGAAGACGTCAAGGTCATCGCGGCCCAGAACGAGAATTTGTCAATTGCCATGAAAGTGAAGAAGTGCCTCGAGCACTGGAAAAGCACGCCCGCGCGGCGCACGCCACCCACAGCGGAGAACCTCAAACGTGCGCTGCACAATGCCAGAATGCCCAAAGCCGCCAAGTGGTACCAAGGTAAGTGAACATCTATCGGCTGGGATGATGGTGATGCTGCTGCTGCTGCATGGTGGTTGTGGTGGTGACAGTGATGGTGATGCTGCTGCTGCATGGTGGTTGTGGTGGTGACAGTGATGGTGATGCTGCTGCTGCATGGT